GTAGAACCTTAGATAACTGATCCGTTCAAGCTTTCTGTGCTTCTGCAAAGCTAAGTTTTGGAGTAAAAACCACAATTTTCAAGATTTCTTAATTGCACAGTCATTATTTCATCTTAATTTCTTTACAGCCAGCATTAAGTCTTACAACGAAATATCAGTGTCTAGTTTGATCACATACAAATGAATATTATCAGTGTCTGAACTACCAATATCATTTACATCTGGTACATCGTCATGGCTTGCTACATCACGTAAAGGTTTGTATTTGTTTTGCTAAGTGTCACGTGCTCTTAAGGTGTTTTCCCCCCAATTGTCTTGAGACGATGGGGGCGTAGGGTAGCCTGGTGGTTACAGCGTTCGCTCGTCACTCCGAAGATCCGAGTTCAATTCCCCACATGGGTACAACGTGTGAAGCGCATTTTTGATGTCCCATTATATTTCTGGAATATTGCTAAAACTAAACACACTCATTCACTCTTGAAACGATGACCTGGTTCGTTGTACAAACCAGATGAAGTTCGAGGAGTTCGTACAGATAGCCGCCATAGTCACTCGTATGACCCTTCCTCTTACTTCAGAAATTCATATGAATGACTTGACACACTTGTCGATTTTACTTCGGGTGTCAGCTGATTAATCCAGTATACTAGGGATATTACAGACTTCAGATTTTATCTTGTTACTCTGGAGCGCTCAAAAATGATTGTTTCTTCAATTCGATCCTTTTTTATTTAATTTGTTTATTGACATTGATGTGATCAGGAACTTGTGAGGTTCCTAAGATGTTTAGTGATTTGTACATGATCAGAGAAGTCCGTCATGTAACTTCCAGAAAACAAACAAACTGCAAACAAACACATCCATGTTCAAAATCGCATAGTCCAATGTTCTGTTTTGGATCATTTCTCAGTTTAGTTTAGTCCATTAAAACTGTATGTATGTTGTACGTTTGTTAATCAAGTGATTGAGTTTAGGTTTACGTCGCTTTTAGCAATATTCCAGCAATATCACGATGGTGGACACCAGAAATGGGCTTCGCACATTGTACCCATGTGGGGAATCGAACCCGGGACGTCGACGTGACAAGCGAACCTTTAACCGCAAGGCTACCCCACCGCTCCTAATGTCATAAGACGGTTCATTTGGATAAATACTATTTACTCCACAACACTGCTCCCATAAATGTCTGTAATTATCATGCTTGATCGGGTAGTGAGTATTCCAGCAACATCACGATGGGGGCACCAAAAAATGGTCTTTCACATTGAACCCATAGGGGTAATCGAACCCGGGCATTTGGTGTGACGAGTGATAGCTTTAACCAGTAGGCTACCTCACCAGTCCTTATTAAGGAAAGAGAAGCCCAAACTACATATCGACTTAGGAATGGCCAGCAGCCAGGTGGCATCGATCTACCACATATAATAGCACAGCCAAGAATGAGATGACTTGATCTGATTTATGTCACAATATGCATTTGTCCATTCTGGGCATAGAAAATGCATTACTGCAAGAGTTATTGCAGATGATTTTTCTACAGAAATCTCTGTCAGCAACCGGGATAATCCAATAGATATTTGCCTCTGGGAGGAAAATATATCCATGAGAAGCAATACTATCTATATCGTATAGTATATTGTAAATGTATTTCTGTTAATTGTGGACTGGAGGAGGAATTATTCGCAAGTTCACTTTTAGATGGTTCAGCAGAGTTATGTTGTTTGCCTTCACAAGAAATCAATATGCGTTATGACATTTCCTGGTTCTTCAAGAATGTGTGTTCAGATTGTAATTATTCAAATTGAAAAAATATGCACTATGTTTAAAAGGATTTACACTTCGCTGGCGAGAAATTCATTATATTGATTCGAAAACAAGCCGCTTTCGTCAATTTCGATGTCTTTTTCCGCCTGTACCGCATCGATGGAAGTACTGTTGAATTTCCAATTCACTTGTAATGAAGGTTTGTTATATGCTCATTATACAATCAATATTGCTCGTTACGTTCAATTAGCAAAACAGCAGATAGCAGAAAATATTAAGAGGAAACTGGAAGTTGAAACGACTTTTGACATTCACGATGATAATGAATTACATTTTAATGATTAACTGTCACTTTTCAGTTTTATGGAATAATCTATAAAGCATATGTATGATTGCATATTCTTAACTCTTAATTCAACTCTTTGGCAACTTTCAGACTTCGTAATTCGTACACTGACACCATTCTTGCAGTCGGGTATGTTCGTTGAGAACTATTCAACCATTGCTGCCATGCATACTTTATGTACGGCTTGGTGAATGTCATCTTACATCGCTTGTGATGTAAACGTTGCAGCGTGTTGTGAAGACATCGTTGCAGGTACATGGATTGCAGTTTTTTTGTTAGTCGAAAGCCTGCAGACATGTCCATTTCTTCATTATATTTTTTGCGCAAAGCTCCATAAATATTGCAAGATGTGTGAACTGCATATTGTGAACATTGTACGCAGTGGTCATTCCAAGAGGTACCATGCGGGCTCCTCTTCTTCCGATAAATCTGTTTCCTGATGCAAACGAGTCAGAATTTCTGCTTGGATTGCCAGCTCAAACCAAGAGGATCTGGCACACAAATTAAGATTCATGACTCGCAAAAACCCTTCCTTACACATCTTCCCGAGAAATAAGGAAGATCAATGAAAACGCCTCATACCGGGTCATAGATGTCGAGTAATATTCCAGTAACTCACCCATGGCGTCATCATTGCCTACGTCCGTGGTTCGATCGAGCGTACTCGTTCTCGGAACAGAGTTTCATTTACACAGAGAGCTTCATAATCTGGGTGTGGCATTGAGTTACTTAATATTGGTGGACTTCGCTAGGGAATACGTTCATTCTGGCTACAACGTTACCAAAGTGAACACAATCGTTGGGATAAACAACGATCCTTGACAGGCAGGTCTCCTGTGCCTTAATGTCCCCTCCAATGTCCCGGGTCTGGCATTCTGTGGAGACATCAGCTGAACGATGTAACCATTTTGGAGTCTTCGTGCATCTTTCACCTATAAGATTTGTTTCAAATCAAGGACACGTTCCTTTGAGAAGTTAATTTTAGAATTTCCATAGAAGACCATTCTGCGACATATTCCTCGTACAAATATTACCAATTCATACATTTTACTTGTTTAAGTGGGGATAGTATTTGAAAGCCTTCTGGAAAGGTCGACCCGTGAAGATCCGGGGTAGAATAGGTCTTCAGCAACCCATGCTTGCCACAAAAGGCGACTATGCTTGTCGTAAGAGGCGACTAACGGGATCGGGTGGTCAGGCTCGCTGACTTGGTTGACACATGTCATCGGTTCCCAACTGTGCAGATCGATGTTCATAATGTTGATCACTGGATTGTCTGGTCCAGACTCGATTATTTACAGACCGCCGCCATATAGCTGGAATATTGCTGAGTGCGGCGTAAAACTAAACTCACTCACTCTGGAAAAGTCAGGTATGTTGTTCAAGTCGAGATTGCCGCTGGATTTGTAGAATACTGCTTCAAACAACATTCCATCTCTCATTCACCTGATATGTTTGGTCAATCACTTGATTGTCGTATTTGTTTACAGACTGCCGTCGCAAGGCTAGCGTGTACTGCTGGGCGACGTTAGGCAAAAGACTTACATGTACATTTCTATGCAAATTGTGTGAATGAATGAATGAATGAATGAATGAATGAATGAATGGTTTATTCTCATGAAGATCACGCAATAGTGACATAGAGAAAAATACAAATGTACAGATTTGTTTCATGGGAGCATACGTAGTCCGGTTTTCACATAGTTGCTTATTTTAAACAATAGAGCTCTATGCGTACAAGACATGAGGGATATAAATGATGGATAATTACAGTAATAATTTGGTAGGAATGAATTTCTTACATTACTTAAACATGGACAATATAACAAGAAGTGATGTTCATCTCCTATTGTGTTCTTACACAGTGTACATAATCTTTCTTCTTTAATAATATTATACCATCTACCTGTTTCTATTGAAAGTTTATGGTTACAAGTTCTAATATAGGTAAGCCAAGTGCGTACATTTAATGGGAGATGTAATAGATAACTTTCAAGGTATGGAGATATCTTAAACATATTATAATAGTGGCCTTTAGTAGATTTCGATTTACATTCGTGTGAACTGCTGCTACTGGTAGAACATGATTGGTTTACCATTATTTGTGAAATATTATTATTATTATTTGTATTCACCAATTTTCAGTACACAATAGAATCTGTTTCGTCCTATAGTCGAGACTGGTTAATCTTTCATTTTCCTTTATGTATGTATCACTGAAAGCAGAATACCAACAATCTGTCTCATTTGAAATCATGAAAAATAGTCAAAGCACCAAGATTGCCTGTCCACAACAAATATGAGAAGTGTCAACAGGTGTGAGTTCAACGTTTGCCCAGGTAATCCCCGATCATTTCTTACACAATATTCTGAATCCAGGCGATGACTTTGAACCTAGTACTGAAAGCTAAAGGGTTAATGACAAAGTCATTGATGGACACTTACACTGCATACAATAAATATATATAAAATTTGTCTCGCATTGTTAAACACTAATCACTATTACTTGCATCAAACAGCATTAAACAACAACAAAACAAATAGGGTAGCAACACGTGTCTACAATTGCCCGATACTCTCCAGTAAACATAGTAATATACCGTAATTAAGATAAGCCAAAATATCATGACCTTCAACTGATCGGTTAGATACTCACAGTTCTATAATTCTCTTTTTAAACCAGCATTCTCAACATGGATGATTATGACATAATAAAGTCCGTATTAGCTAAAATACCTAGTGTTTCCACCAGAGATATTCTTATCCCTGCCCTAGTAATCCGCTCAACATTGAGCGATCCTTGTTCAAACATGACCCCAACTGACTATGGCGACCGTCTGTTTACCAAAGAGTCATGTAACGGCGTACCTGATTGGCTGAAATGTTATCAGCAAACTTTATCCAGGACATAGGTGGGTTCCATGGTTGTCGTGAACGCACATATATAGCTAGTCCTGTTAGTACATTCCACCAATTAGTCTCAAGTGCATTTTATTATTTCTATTTCATTACTTTTTCTTAAAAAACCGCCATCATGTCCGTGGAAGAACTCTGGAGTAAGCTCAAGAATGCTGCCGGGTGTAAATCACTGCTGAAAACACATTTAACTGAAGAAAGGTATAAAAGTCTGAAGGGCAAGAAAACTGATTTTGGAGGAACTTTGGCAGACTGTATACGTTCTGGTAAGTGGGTCTGGGTTTCTTGCACGTTTTCATACATTCCGAACGAAGTCCACTCAGAATCAGCTTCATTATTGATTGCGGTGACTTTGCATGTCCTTGACGAATGGGGCTGAGTGTTGCAGAAGAAAATATTACAACGTTTAGTTCAATATGTACCATTTCAGTGAATGTGTGGGTTTTAAGATAGTATTAATAATGATTAAAATGTCTATGTTATAGTTTGTTAAATAAGGGACATACCATGACGACGACCAGACGCCATTTTATGTCGGACTTACATTGAAACAAAATAGACATGTGATCCCTCATAAACATATTTCCATTCATTTTTTATGTAATTATTTTGTGTGTAAATAACTAGTTGTTTAAAATTATATAATAGCTGAACTGATTGTAACATTTCCATGTTGTGGAGGTTTCACCTTGACCTTCCCCCATTTGACCTGTGCAAGTGGCAGATTGTTGATACACGAAGCTGTTGAAAGTGATCCTCGTGTTTGTTTCGGAAGATGGATTATGAGGGGCAAATGAAAGAGTAAAAATAGTTTCACCCCACATGTGTTGTTAAAACAGCCGCACACCATTAATCACTGTATACATGCAGGAAATATTTCAAAACAACATGGCCCTCGCCACATAAGAGAAAGCTCTCGTTTTTTCATGTATCTATTTGAATGCAACATATGCACTGCAAAAAAATAATTATGTAAGGATTTAATAATTTAGTGCTCGGCAATGTATATTTATATATATGTATTCACTTAGCTTCACACATTAACAGTGTAATTAAATGGCAATTGGTTGCAAATGATGACTCGCTACGCCATATCATTTACGTGCAAGTTTCACTGAATTTCTGCAATCAACGTCACATTCAGATTACGCGGAATATGACTGCAGTCATATGACAACCTGTGCCATGTTGAAACAGAACCATCCGAGTAACAATATTTTTGAATGATGACGAAGGAATAATGGCATAGTTCTTACTGGCTTACTAGTTCTTACTATACTTTTTATACATGCTTTAGTTTAACGGAAGGCGAAAGTGCTGAATCAGCAGAATTTTGTTATCCTGCTTATTAGTAGGTATTGATGTGGTTCACATTGTTACAGCGGATGATTGCATCAACATATTCCAATATCAAATCTAGCAGCCATAGCTTGATAACTATCAGACGGGTATTATTTTCGCAGCAGTCGTAACGTCAGACAATATTTAACCATGGGTAAATAAAAATATGGGTAAATGGTAAACACGTTTTAGCTGATGAAACAGGGCACATCAGCGAGTGGGTTGAGCTTAAGGTCGTTTTACCATGAATAACACTCATTTCTATGTTATTGAAATGATAAATGTATTGTATCAAGTGGTTATCTTGAATTTTGCTATCGGTGTGATAATTATGAAGATCAGAAGAAAATACATAATGTTCACATGAGGAAATAAAGTAAGGTTGATTGTATCATCATAATAGGAGAGACGGGTTGGTTGGTTTGTTGTTTAACGCCGCACTCACGAGCATTCTAGCTATATGGCTGGTTTGTAAATAATCGAGTCTGGACCAGACAATCCAGTGATCAGCAGTATGAACATCGATATACGCAGTTGGGAACCGATGACAGGTGTCAACCAAGTCAGCAAGTCTGACCACCCGATCCCGTTAGTCGTCTCTTACGACAAGCATGGGTTCCTGAAGACCAATTCTCCACGGGTAGTAGACACGGGGTGCCTGCAAGGGGAGAAGTAGACAGACTTCCCGGGGAGGGGGTGGACTGACGTGAAGCTAGGTTGGTGTGCTGGGGGTTGGGGACTAGTTGTGGGGGTGGGGGACTAGAGATACGTCTGTACACGAGAGTTCTCAATCAGTCAATATCACATTCCACCGATCACTTAACAGACCTGGTACGACTGACTGACTGAGTTTGGTTTTACGCCGCTTTTAGCAATATTCCAGCAATATCACGGTGGGGGACACCAGAAATGGGCTTCACTCATTGCACCCATGTTGGGATTCGAACCCGGGTCTTCGGCGTGACGAGCCAACGCTTTAACCACTAGGCTACCCCACTACCCCACCTGATACGAACGCTAAGTAACAACATAATGTGGTAAGCAGACCACAGATTTTCACTGCATGTTAATTACATTATTGTAAATCGGTCTGTACTAAAATAGAATATTCATTTATATACTTAATCCCTTTAAATCATATTTCTACAAAGCATTATCACCAGTACTCAATCAACACAGGAAATGATTTGTGGTTCTGATTCATATTAGCTCACAAAGGGTACAATGCGGGTATTGACAATATGGCTCACGTTACCCATTGGTGGATGAAAGGCAGACTAGGCGTATCCAGGGCTCTAATCTTGAGGTCGAACAAGGACGTGGTATATTCCGCTGACATGGCTGATTTGATATTCCGAAGTCTAGATACCGTGCGTTATAGATAAGCAGATTGATAACACGGTAGGTTAACTGTATGATAGGTAAAGTAAACTTAAAAGCCTAGCAGAAAAGTAAATTGGTCAGAATATTGACAGGTCAAGAGCTTGACAGGCTGACTTATGTAGATCGATATACAGATAAATAGATAAATGGTCAGACGGATAAATATGTAGGTAGGTAAATATACAAGCGTACAGAGAGGTGTGTGTGTGCAGCAGGTTGGTGTACGGGTAGTTATAAAAGTAATGCTGAGTCAGAGAGAAAACGAACATGGAGCAGGAAGTTAATAACACTCGTAGCTCAAGGATAGTGTTGAACATTTGTATCGAGGCAAAATGAGACAAGGTTTGAGGGAAAATAGCGATCACGTGTTTCTTTTTATTATGAAAACTAATGAACATCAACGACCAAATTTTATTTATTGCACATTTGTGTAACATGAATTCGGATGTGAATTCTGTTCATTGATTACCGAGTCATAACCAATCAGGGCTCGATTTAAGAGATGTTAACCTACTTGCACCAGGTGCAACCTAAGATAAAAACCTAGTTGCACCAGCCAAATTCCAGTTGCACTGATTTTATGGAGAAATGAAAGAAATGTAATGAAAGAAATATGCTATTGAGTTATTTAGATGTTTTATTCAGAAGTTTACCCACTCAAAAAATGACCTGCACCTGGTGCAAGTTAGAATAATAACTACGTTGCACTTTGTAATATTGGCTAGCATCAGTGCAAGTAACAAAGCACTAAATCGAGCCCTGCCAATACATCCGCAAGTATGACCTGTAGAGGAAGGTTTTGTCACCCACTAAAGATTACCTGGCCAGTAAATCAGTAACATCATCAAACTACTTAAAGTAAAGAAAGTTACATGATAAAATACCTTAACATATAGCAAAATGTCTTCAAAATGTGTACTCCTGACGTAGAAGATGTGCGGGCTTCGCTGATTAAGATCAGCAAGGCTCTGCGTGTGAATTCTGTTTATTGATTACTCAGTTATAACCAAAGCCTGAAGTTCACTACGCAGTCGATGCACACTATGCACTGTTTCTCCCAGTGTTATGAAACAAAAACAGCAAAGCTTGAAAATACACCTGACATGCAAGTCCAGATCTGCTTATCACCTGCATCATACACTTATTTTTAGCTGTATATACATGTATATAGACAGTTCCTACCCCCAATACAAATCCCAAACAACGATACATCGAAAAATATATCATTCTTAGATGAAAATAAAAATACTGGCATAACTACACAAAGTTTTGGACTATAGCAATTCAGATATTTCTCTAAGTAGACATATAAAGGATAAGCATATGAATGACAAATCTACAAACTACTTACTGCGAAGAGGCGAATATAATGATAGGGGGGTTGGGGTGGGGGTCACTGACTTTGTTGATTCACGTCCCCGTATTTCAACTGAGTAGATAGATGCTCATGATGTCAGTCACTGGATTGGGGCTTAGTACGGCGTTAAACAACACACAAAACGTCTTACTACTGGTCAAAGTGGTATCAATGAATGTGTTGTATCTATTATAAACAAACACACCAGAAATATGTCGTGTAGACCTTGATTGCATGCCACAACTAGATGATGAGTGAGTGAGTTTAGTTTTACTCCGCTTTTAGCAGTATTCCAGGAATATCAAGGCGGAGGACACCAGAAGTGGGTTTCACACATAGTACCCATATGCAGAATCGAACCCGGGTCTTTGGCGTGACGAGCGAACGCTTTAACCACTCGACTACCCCACCGCCCGTTCCACGGACAGACATACAGAAATTTGTTAATTTAAACCTCATTTCTGTACATCATCATCATCATCACCTCCACCACCACCAACAACAACATCAACAACAACAACAACAACAACATCATCATCATCATCATCATCATCATCATCAACAACAACAACAACAATAACAGAAGCTTTACAAAACCGTACAACAATGATAGACGACGGACAATTAAAATGCACGGCTAGGCGCCACATAGCGTCAAATTATGCAAACAAAATAGTGGTGTTTTTAACTGTACACTGAAAAGCAATATCTCGTAAACATATGTTTGCGTCATGAAATATGTTTTTCAATAAATCGAACCTGGGTCTTCAGACTGCATAGTCAAAATATCTACACATATGGACATATGCTAATAATACTAAATTTACACTAAAGTAACTTCCGTACACAATACCCTGAAGCGTGTTGATCTTATTGATGAAATCTAGTAGTTCGTATGAATGTGGAAAGGTTTTGTCGCTTCTAGAATATAGGCATGTCTATAGATCTGTTAAACGCCGCCATTCATAACATATAAATACCTACCATCCCAGCACCATCAAAAACATCCACACTGTACAATATATTTACCGTATGCTTGATGAAAGCTAAAAACTGAACACGGACAAATAGACGTTCAGATGAAGAGAGAAACAACCAAACCCAAACACACACAAGCGCATTCACCGACACGATGGTAATTATATCTATACTAGTATTATACTTTTTAGGTTATAATGATTATCTCAATCCTCCATGTGTGTAAATGATTTGCACGCAGTACGTATCCAATCTGAAGTGTACCGAATACTGCACGCTTCAATAACCTACAACTGTGTGCGACAGGGGTATCTTGTCTTCTTTATCGATGAGGGCGGTGGGGTAGCCTAGAGGTTAAAGCGTTGGCTCGTCACGCCGAAGACCCGGGTTCGAATCCCCACATGGGTACATTGTGTGAAGCCCATTGCTGGAATATTGCTAAAAGCGGCGTAAAACCATACTCAGTCAGTCAGTCTTTATCGATGAAAGAAGAATATACTCAAACGGCGAGGAGCTTTGGGGTAGCCTAGTGGTTAAAGCGTCCGCTTGTCACGCTCATGACCCGGGTTCGCTTCCACACATGGGTACAATGTATGAAGCCCATTTCTGCTGTCCCCGCTATGATATTGTTGGAATATTTCTAAAAGCGGCGTAAAACCATACTCACTCACTCACTCAAAGGGCGATGTAATATGCGGAACCTTTTCCATACTATATCTGCACATTTTTTTTCCACATACGCTTTGAACATATTAAGCGACCAAGGAAAGCAAGTAGAGGTTTACTCGTTCAACATGTCCAATAAATTTTACAACAATATTTAGCAACTAGTCTTGTCCTCCTTGTCCTGGCTGTGACCTTGACCTGAAACATATGCATGTCTGTCCTTTAGGATGTGAGAACCTCGACAGCGGTGTCGGCATCTACGCCTCCGACCCCCAGGCCTACACCGTCTTCGCCGACGTTCTGGACGCTGTCATCAAGGACTACCACAAGGTCGACAAGCTTAATCACCCTGAACCTGACTTCGGGAACATAGATAAACTCGGATTCTCTGATCTGGACCCTTCTGGTGACTTCATCATATCAACCAGGGTCCGCGTGGGCAGAAGTCATGACAACTATGGGTTCCCTCCCGTCATCACAAAAGAGGTAACACGCTAGATAACATTCAGATGTTCGAGATTGAGATATTTAACTAAACTCACTGGAAGATTAAGCTAAGGGAGGGGGCGTTCTTTCCATTTCTATAAAGATCGTATGGGTCAGGAAGAGATTTTAAATGAGTTATTTGGAGATTTGCCTGAAATGAATTGTGTGTTGCCAGCGGTAAAACATTTAAACGTCTGTTTTGTGGAAAAATCTCAAATGTCAAAATATTTGTTAATAATGAAAATGCATAGACTGTTTTGTGGTGCTTAGTAACTAAAGAGCTTGTTAGAGATAGCTTGGAAATTACAGGTGTTTCTCAGGAAGATCCCCTCCCCTTACAAAAAATAGATATTCTCTAAAAACTCAGCTGAATATCGTCTGCTGCGAAATCTAGATAAGTGTCTGCTGCAAGATTTAACATTATAAATGTCGTCTGTTTCAAGTTTCATGAAATGTCGTCTGCTTCAATAATCACCAAAATATCGTCTGAAGTTTGAAATATGTCCCGTCCATTGCAATGTTTGAAATATTGGAGCAAGACTAGAGAACGATTGATGTATTTTGTATTTGCACTGGCCACCGTTGCTGGAAAATCCACTGACAACTGCTTTCTTTATTTAAGCAACGTCTGGCAATGGAAGCAGCGACTGTGTCTGCACTGGATAAGCTGAAGGGCGAACTGGCCGGCAAGTACTACCCCCTCACTGGCATGACCAGGGACACTCAGAAACAGCTAATGGACGATCACTTCCTCTTCAACGACAGCGATAGGTGAGTGCATCTATTTGGTATTCACAACCACAAACACTAGTACACTCGATATAAGTTTTCTGGTACTTTTTGTTCCTACCCAAAATATCAGCCATCTTCCTGTTCGCTTACATGTCTCTTGGCAATGTGTCGCTCCTTCTGGACTAAGAACAACCAAGCTATGTAATTCATCCCTCGGTCCAAATTATAGCCATTGATGGGCCTGGACTATGCTATGTGTTCGTGGTAGCCTAGTGGTTAAAGCGTTCGCTCGTCACGCCGAAGACCCGGGTTCCATTCCCCATATGGGTACAATGTGTGAAACCCATTTCTGGTGTCCCCGCTGTGATATTGCTGGAATATTGCTAAAAGCGGCGTAAAACTAAACTCACTCACTACTTGAAGTGAATTAGTGTTAAGCGTCAGCTGGAACGTCATGATATAACTGAACCAAAGCACAATGCTGACTCATCGTTTCTGTGTTTCAGGTTTCTCCGTGACGCCGGCGGATACAAGGACTGGCCATCCGGCAGAGGCATCTACTTCAACCATGCCAAGACCTTCCTTGTGTGGGTGAATGAGGAGGACCATCTGAGGTTTATCTCCATGCAGAAGGGAGGCAACCTCGGGGAGGTTTACAGCAGACTGGTCAAGGTCAGACATCACATACAATCTCGCTGTCCAACATTAGTTTATATTCGTAGATTACATCAGTAATCTTGAATGTAGCACGAAGACATGCTAAACATCTGGGCCAAGATTTTCGAAGCTCTCCTAGAGCTAAGATAGTTGTAGGTTAATATTTATGTATGGCACTTGCGACCATCTTAACACTAGGAGAGCTTCGGAATTTTAGGTCCTGGATTCTTAATACAAACAGATCTCTTGCTACAAATAGATGAATTGTTTTAGCTGAAAATCAGATATGATACTTAACTAAATATTTCTAAACTAGAGGATCTTCTGCATGGAGAAGGAATCTGGACTACTACTACTACTACTACTACTACTGCTACTACTACTACTACTACTACTACTACTGCTACTACTGCTACTACTACTACTACTTCTACTGCTACTACTAGTACTACTACATACTACTATATACTACTACTCCTCCTCCTACTACTGCTACTACTACTACTACTCCTACTGTTACTACTACTACTACTACTGCTACTACTACTGCTACTACTACTACTACTACTGCTACTACTACTACTACTGTTACAATTATATTGTTATCACCTGCTTTAGGAGGTTAACGGCCAAATTAGCAGCTCATCCTATCGGGCACCCACTAGATCATCCAGCTTGTAGACGACAATGGTTTTGCATTACTTAAACGGCTGGGCGAAGGGGAAAATAATAGTATTACAGCTTCTTGACTGTAAGACAGGCTTTAAGAGCATTTTGATTTGAGATAACCTTTAAATGGCGTCTATCTCTCACAGGCTATCCGTGCAATGGAGTCTAGTGGTCTGTCATTCGCCAAGCGTAAGGGTCTTGGCTACCTGACCTTCTGTCCCTCCAACCTGGGCACCACCCTCCGTGCGTCCGTCCACATCAAGATACCCAAACTTGCCGCCTCGCCAGAGTTCAAGGCCTTCTGTGATCGCTACAACGTTCAAGCTAGAGGTAAGACTCTTTGCACTGCAGTTATTACTCCGGACAGATGAATCAACAACTCCGTCAGATTACTGATTACTCCGAGGCCAAATGTAGAGGTAGTATCAAAATCAGGCAATATGGTACATCCGTCCTTATCACCCATACTGAATATCTTGACCGTGTAAAACATCAGCCTTTGTCACCCTCCATTAGACCAGGGGGTTAATATTCATGCAGTTGGTCTATGGACATTTGGACAGTGTGGGTCAAGCACTGAGGCAAACTTTGTTTGTTTTTTGTAACCTGATACATTCTGTGGTTAGTTCCATATTGACAAGAAGTTTTGGACGGTAACACTGTTACTTCTGCTGAGAGATCCTAAAAGATAGGCACTTTTCTGGCATCTGGCCTAGGACTATGATTGAGAGTTAGCAATTGAGAACTCATTTCAGAAAACAGTGTATCAAAGAAACGTGATGCAAGTTTCAGGAAGCAGTCAAAATTTAAACATGGATGATAATTCCATATTTCCAGGCATCCACGGCGAACACACCGAGAGCGTGGGCGGCGTCTACGACATCTCCAACAAACGTCGTCTTGGTCTGACGGAGTTCGAAGCTGTTCAGGAGATGAGGAAAGGCGTTGAGGCCTGCATTTCACAAGAAAAGAAACTGGGTAAATGGTGGAGGATTTGGTAAAAGTCAGTTAGGTAGCAGACGACAGTGAAGCTTGTGAGGCAGACGACACCAGGGAAGATCGAAACATCTTCATCCAAGCTATATCTTTGCAGCTACAACCACCAAACATTCATTGATACTTGTGTCTGCGGAAAACCTAACTAAATAACAAATTATGACGAACTTTGACGAGTTGACGTTTCATTGCTTTGCATCGTGTCTGTGCATACGGTATATTGAAGTATCTGAACGACTACTCGGACTTCCGGGATCTCAGTAGTCAGGAGATTCGGAAAAGATAACATTTCTGATGCTTTTACAGACTTTTTTTCGAGAGCTTTCACCCCAATTCCAGGGGTCTGTGATATGTGTGACAATAATGTGTTTTACGAAAATGCAAATAAAGTTATATTTTACGACAAAAATTCTTATCTCGATTATTTTGATGAAAGTAAGCTAAGTATATTACTCAAACAAAGTTGAGGACCATCCGATTCCTTCATATTAACAGTTATTCGGTCATTAAGAAGCTGGTATTCCTTAACCGACTTTGAGAAGTATATTTGCAGACCATATAACACCATGTCAATGACACACGCAATTACCTCCGACGTCATTCGTAGAAGACTTTGTTTGCATCTGATATTAAATATATATATTTCCTTTTTTGAGGAAACAATTGAACATCAAATCAGAACTCCCCTTCGGGCCAAATGTTCTCTTCATTCTTATTCATTCTGATATAATTATATTGATGAAAATGGGACAGAACAATTACTTGGAAGCCTTGGTACATGAACATATCCTTGGGTCATCAGTCAATGTAAAGTGCAGGGGAAAGAAAAAAAATACATTTAAAAAATGGATTTGACCAAAAGCACAAATGATCCATCAAAAGGTTACTAGGCGGGCAGTTGTCACACAAAGGTCCGGTACACAGTGGCGACACCTGCATCAAATACATCGCCATAGAAAAAAACCGATTTCTGTGAGCTTCATTTCCGTCACTATCAAACATGGATACAATCAATAAATGGCTCTTGACCGACAGATAGTTTCATAATATACCATAAGATACCATTCATATCTTGTCCGCAGGAAGATGAAAATGACTACTCTACACTGTATATACTGCATCCACACAACACCCTGGCTCTTGACCGACAGTCCGCTTGTTTCATAATACTATGAAGCGATTAAGATACCATTCATATCTTGTCCGCAGGTTGATGAAAATGAAAATGACTACCCTACATTGTACATACTGTCACTGCATCCACACAACACCCTGGCTCTTGACCGACAGTCCGCTTGTTTCATAATACTATGAAGCGATTAAGATACCATTCATATCTTGTCCGCAGGAAGATGAAAATGAAAATGACTACCCTACATTGTACATACCGTCACTGCATCCACGCAACACCCTGGTTCTTGACCGACAGTCCGCTTGTTTCATAATACAATGAAGCGATTAAGATACCATTCATATCTTGTCCGCAGGAAGATGAAAATGACTATTCTATAGAATACATACTGTCGATGCACGCAACACTCTGATGAAATTATTTTTTCGCTAGATTTGTATACTGCGGCAACAATGGAATCCAAACACTCTAAGGTCATAGTCGTCAATGACATTTGCTACTTCACGAAATTTCAAGGTTTTAAAGAATTGTGAGAAAATTATTGAAATATCTATAAAATAATTGATATAACGAGAAAATACTCCCAAGCACCGACAAAATAATCGAAGCAACAAGAAATTCCGCCGAAAAAAAGCATAAGGCTTTCGTAAAACCTATCGGCAGCTGCTTCAATTGCTTACGTACTGTTTCAGGGGTGGGAGGAAAGCTCTAGGTAGTGGACAGGTGAAACTTCACAAGAAGGCTGAGCGCTGGGTATCAACATTTTCTTTCTTTACATTTCATTTTTTAAAACATGGTCATATTTCTAAACAGTAAAGAAATATTCTAATGATCGAGTTGTCTAACTTTGTGAGAGTAACATCTGATTCGATCTAGTTTGATGTTCTCAGCTCAAAATCTGCAAATTTCGCTGTATATAATTTTTATTTTCCGAATAACAAAGAAAATAGAACAAATACTTTTTAGGACAATTTCTTTTTTTCGTTTCCAGATGCAGACTTCCCATACCCACTCATAAACAAGAAAAATATAGCTGTATCAAAGTTGCAGGTGTGTTTGTCTTCGTATCATTTTTAAAAATTATTATTTTTTTTAGTTAAACCGACCGACCTAAAATTAGGAATTTAGAGTGAGTGAGTGAGTTTAGTTTTACACCGCACTCAGCAATATTCAAGCTATATGGCGGCGGTCTGTAAATAATCGAGTCTGGACCAGACACTCCAGTGATCAGCAGCATGATCATCGATCTGCGCAATTGGGAACCGATGACATGTGTCAACCAAGTCAGCGAGCCTGACCACCCGATCCCGTTAGTCGCCTCTTATGACAAGCATGGGTTACTGAAGGTTCATTCTAACCCGGACCTTCACGGGTCAAAGGCATTTAGAAGTTGGTGTAGATATACAAGACAAATCTTATGGATAACAACTTCTTGATTTATTTTTCACAACGTTTCTGGGCTAGTTCTTGCTCCTTCTTCGGGTGGGCTAGTTCTTGCACCTTCCACCTGAAGAAGGGGCAAGAACTAGCACAGAAACGTTGTGAAAAAAATAAATCAAGAAGTTGTTATCCACAAGATTTGTCTTGTACGACCGACCTAATTTTAGATAACGGTGGCTATAAATAAAACACATAAAATAAAACTGCTGCCCTAACCAGCTTTGGTGGCAGAGATCTTTGTGAGATTGACAATGACATCGGTTTTGTAGGCCAGAAAACATGACCTTTTCAGAAAGTGGGTCGTAAACAGTAAATCACATCAAACAAGAGACGAAAGAAAATATATGAGTAAGTTTGACAAAGAATGACATGCTGACTAAACAATAGATACCGATAGATATGGAGCGTGTCGGGATTTAACTGGGGACTTAAAGTGTATATGACGCCTTGTTAACTTTATAAGGTAAGATTGGGTGGCGGGGAGCCTAGTAGTCAAATCGTTACCTGGCTACGCCGACAGTTCTGGTTTAATTCCCCTCATGGATACACTGCGTGAAGCCCATTCCTGGTGTAGTCCGCCGTGGTATTTCTGTATTTTAAAAAGCGTCGTAAAAGCCTCACTCACTCAATGTAAGGTACGTCCAAAGAATATTGCTATACGCCGCAGTCAGCAACAGTGTAAAATAGTCTGTAACAGACACACCTTTGGTTGAAAGCATGATCAACGTCCCACGTCGCAGCACCTCAGACCGCCCGATCCCCATGATATTAAAGGGTTTAGGCTAATGGTTCAAGTGTTCAATCAAGAACTGGTTCAGATCCCCACAAGAAAACAACGTGTAGAGATTATTTGTTTCCCTCGTCACGATATGGCTATTTACTTCACATAGTAAGGGACAGAATTAATCTTGCTGCACGTATTTTGATATCAGATTATTAACACAATCATTCTTAAAACCATTTGTTTGTGAACAGCCATAACCACTGTTGTTTGAGTAAAGGGCACAGCTAGCTAGCCAGCTTCGATACCAGATCTAGACATGAGAAATATCGCTTGATTGTGACGTCAGTCACTGATCTTGTTCATATGATCTTGTTGAGATAAATTCGGTATACATGTATAATATGTAGAAAGTACGAGCTCTCAGGGTGATCAGTTTACGAGAGATCGCGCGCTTTCTCGTGGTCAACAAGCCCATTGACCGCCTAAAATCCCGTACACCAGGGGCCAGTGTAGTTATTATTGCGTCATCTCGAGATATAATCAATCTCTTCAAAATTATTACACGGTACTAAATATAAATAATATGGTGACAACCTGTCCTAACATGTTAGAAAGGCCAAGGGGTTGTTTGGTTGTTTTTAAAAAAAAATTAATATCTTATTTCTGAATCCCTGTTACATACAAAACCATACAACCAGTGTTTGTCCCAGATGTCAGGTTTTCCAGGGTTTTGTCCGTCAAGAATAGAATGAAACACGTAAAGTTGTCTAGCCTGCATAAATTACAACGTGTGACCGAATGGTGTCACATGTCAAAATCACTTGACAGAGTTCCACGTCCTACTTAGGGTTGATGGAGTGCACATTGGCCTTCCGTAGAGGACGTTGCAAGGACAGTCAATGACGAGTCCGCTAGCTATATTTAACGCCCCAACTCGGTGTACATACAGGTCAGATCTCGTATCACAGGGCGAGTGACATAGTTTTACACACTGGCAGGTAGGACTGGCGTGTGATAAATATCTATAAAAATATATGATATTGCAGTGGTCGTACGGCTTGTCTGTTGTGTGCGTGAGAAGTGAGTTGAGGACGGGTAACCGTTCTTGGTGAGAGTTATAATCCTGAAAAAAAGTTATCTTTTAAATGCATTTCAACGATATAACAGTTGGTTTTGACAAGGTATAAGCTGTTTATGTCGTAAATATTTTCCACCTTGTTGAAACACGCATGTACTCCAAGGTTCGTCACAAGTGAGAATGTGGGATTCGAACCTTCAATCAGAAGTTTATCTCTTCTTTGATCAGTGCGTTAACACTTGTAATTTCAATGCTAAAATTATACCTTAAAATAAAGCATCAAAACCTCTGCTTCCATTTTATTAAGACCAAGAGGCCCTAAAATATCCTAGAATTCAAAATGCCCCGATTGTTGAATAAATTTATATTTAATGGTTATATATGTATAAGGTTGAGAGAAAGTGTATTGTCTGTCGTGCTAACTGTCACTTCCATAAAAGGAGACCTAAAAATAGAAAACATTAATATTTATATTTTATCTTTTTATATAAATCGTCGAAGTATTATATAACGAATACGATTTCGCATCGTGTGAGTAGGTGTGTTCATCTTAATTCGAACAATTAACTTTGCAAAAGACTAAGACATGGCCGTCTGTCGCCTCCTGTCAAGCAGAATGGAACCCAAATCATTCATGTCCACCGATAGGATTTGGACAGGAGGTAAACCACGCGTAACACAAGCTCGTCTTAACACAAACTGAACACATTGTGGCCTTTCCTTACAGGACCCCGCCAATGTGCTGATTAATCAATATTCATTCACCCACCTTCAAACACACAGAAGACCGTGCGACCATGTACAGTCACCGTGTCTGGTCATATCCTATCGCTAAATAAATTACTTGCTAGCCACAGAACTGTTCATAGTAATTAGACACATCGTAGACCATGTAAAGGGGCTCTAGTCACATTGAATGTTTGTGTTAAAAATTAATGAAACAGATCTCAGATGTCTGAAAATCGCTCTGTTGTTAGAGTGAATGAATGCCCAACGAAAACGGGGCTCAGCGGTGTCGAATCTCTTTCCATTTAGCTCTGTCTGGGGAAACATAGTGTTTCAGCCAAACTACGGTGTGGCAACAAGACTGGAATTCCAATGATTTGCTTGCTTGTGAAGAAGGAACAATCGGGTTACTCTGACCTAGCCATCAGGGTCATACCTGTTGGGACGTTTATTGACAAAGGATCACGTTTCCATATTTACTTTCGAGGGGGAAACGTGGGTTTGGGGAAGGTACATGTATGGCTATTTGCACTGTGGAAGGTAGGGAGGCTGTCCTTGTTTTATCCACGACACCTTTCTGGGTTCTAAGATCCTTTGACCCACTCAACTGGTATGGGATATTATTATCATGTCCACATTATATTTATCATTATTCTTCGAGTTTTGTCACAATTTTCAACACGAAACAGGATATTATGTTTGTTTTATGCTTGTTGCAAACCGACTGTTCAGAGTTTTTTTTACACTGATTCATGTAAGGTGAGATGACATGGGTTTAACATTGCTTCAGGAGTTTTAATTACATAGTGTTCAGTATGTGAGTATGTGTGTGTGTGTGTGTGTGCGTGCGTCCGTGCGTGCCTGCCTGCATGTGTGCTTCTACCAGTTTAGAGTAATTCTAGTTTTGTTTTACCTCCCCCCGAGAGAATACATGGCAGTAACAGTTTACCTACAATCAGCAGTTTTCAGCTATATGACCGCCAGTTTGACACCATGAGCATCAATCCACACAATTTGGACATGATGACATGTGTCATTCGAGTCAGTCACCCCTTACCACAAGCATTGGTTGCTGAAGACCAATTCTAATCCAGATGATGATATGCATCTTCCTAGTCAGTCAGCCTGACCCGTCAGAAACACCTCACCACAAGCATAGGTTGCTGAAGACCAATTCTAATCCAGATGACGATGTGCATCTTCCTAGTTAGTCAGTCAGCCTGACCCGTCAGAAACACCTCACCACAAGCATTGGTTGCTGAAGAGCAATTCTAATCCAGATGATAATATGCATCTTCCTAGTTAGTCAGTCAGCCTGACCCGTCAGAAACATCTCACCACAAGCATGGGTTGCTGAAGACCAATTCTAATCCAGATGATGATATGCATCTTCCTAGTCAGTCAGCCTGACCCATCAGAAACACCTCACCACAAGCATTGGTTGCTGAAGAGCAATTCTAATCCAGATGATGATATGCATCTTCCTAGTTAGTCAGTCAGCCTGACCCGTCAGAAACACCTCACCACAAGCATTGGTTGCTGAAGAAAGAGCAATTCTAATCCAGATGATGATATGCATCTTCCTAGTTAGTCAGTCAGCCTGACCTGTCAGAAACACCTCACCACAAGCATGGGTTGCTGAAGACCAATTCTAATCCAGATGATGATATGCATCTTCCTAGTCAGTCAGCCTGACCCATCAGAAACACCTCACCACAAGCATTGGTTGCTGAAGAGCAATTCTAATCCAGAGATGATGATATGCATCTTCCTGGTTAGTCAGCCTGACCCACAGAAACACCTCACCACAAGCATTGGTTGCTGAAGAGCAATTCTAATCCAGATGATGATATGCATCTTCCTAGTTAGTCAGTCAGCCTGACCCATCAGAAACACCTCACCACAAGCATTGGTTGCTGAAGACCAATTCTAATCCAGATGATGATGTGCATCTTCCTAGTCAGTCAGCCTGACCCATCAGAAACACCTCACCACAAGCATTGGTTGCTGAAGACCAATTCTAATCCAGATGATGATATGCATCTTGCTAGTCAGTCAGCCTGACCCGTCAGAAACACCTCACCACAAGCATTGGTTGCTGAAGAGCAATTCTAATCCAGATGATGATATGCATCTTCCTGAGTTAGTCAGTCAGCCTGTCCCATCAGAAACACCTCACCACAAGCATTGGTTGCTGAAGAGCAATTCTAATCCAGATGATGATATGCATGCTTGTAGTATCCCAGTCAGCCTGACCCGTCAGAAACACCTCACCACAAGCATTGGTTGCTGAAGACCAATTCTAATCCAGATGATGATATGCATCTTCCTAGTTAGTCAGTCAGCCTGACCAAAATTCAGAAACATCTCACCACAAGCATGGGTTGCTGAAGACCAATTCTAATCCAGATGATGATATGCATCTTCCTAGTCAGTCAGCCTGACCCATCACCACAAGCATTGGTTGCTGAAGAGCAATTTAATCCAGATGATGATGCATCTTCCTAGTCAGTCAGCCTGACCCATCAGAAACACCTCACCACAAGCATGGGTTGCTGAAGACCAATTCTAATCCAGATGATGATATGCATCTCCTAGTCTGTCAGCCTGACCCATGAAACACCCTCACCACAGTGTTGCTGAATACCCCATTCTAGACACAGATTATACTGACTATGAGTCGATCAGTCCTTGTTCCTACCCATTAATGCCAGCCAGGCAGGGACCAACAAGTACCATATTTTAACGTCTTTTGGTATGATGCGGTCGGGGATCGAACCCGCGACCTTCCACTCTCCAGCCGGACGCTCTAACCACTACACCACGGAGGCGGTCGGTTGCTGAAGAGCAATTGTACCTTGGATCTTCAAGGATACTCTGCAGTAAAATCCCATTAAGACACCTCCACTCTTCTGATCATGTTTCAATGTCTGTTGGTATTAAATGGTCTGAGATTGAACCACAGACCTATACTCTCCACTGAACCATGGAGTGGTCTGTTTCATTTGACAGCTACTTTGTGACTAGATAATGAAGCGTGGGAGGTCTGGTTGTGAGAGGAGGAAGGGATGAAACTCTAATAACACTTTGTCATGACAATGCATCTATAACACAAAATGCAAATCAAACCAAAAGATAATAGAATAATATATATCTATTTTTAATATTAATAAATTCTTATGATCCATCATCACAATAAAAAACAAATATATTTTCACAGAAATATACTTCATCAACCATCACAGAATACTGACTCACACACTATAAGAAACAATAACACACGATATACCAAGATAACAGATACACCAAACTGTCACAGATAACACATAAAAAATACAATGACATAAACAAAATACCCATAACTATCAGCTGGACACACAAATAGGTATAGGAAACGTCTCAGCCACACTTTGTCCCAGGCAAGATCCATACTAAATATATAAAATATCTTCCTTGCATCGATGGACATCCTGGCCATCAGGCTGTTGTGGAGCTTACATGTACAGTGGAAGGAACCTTGGTTTGGCAGAGGCCGAATGGAACTTGAGAGGACATCAGATGAGTGAGTGTGTAAGTGTAGTTTCACATTGATTTTAGCCATATTCCAGCAATATCATGGCGGGGGACACCAGAAATGGGCTTCACACATTGTACCCATGTGGGAATTGAACCTGGGTTTTTGGCGTGACGAGCTAATGCTTTAACCACTAGGCTCCCTCACCGCCCCTACATCAGATAAAAGTGTACCTTGCTCTTCTGTATAAAAACACAGTAAAACCTATATAATCCAGACAGTACAGTTAACGTGGAACTGACTGGATTAGGTTCCACTACAACTACATCTCAAACATGGTCCAGATTAACAAGGTCATATTGTACTAAGTGACACATCTCAAACATGGTCCAGATTAACAAGGTCATATTGTACAAAGTGACACATCTCAAACATGGTCCAGATTAACAAGGTCATATTGTACTAAGTGACACATCTCAAACATGGTCCAGATTAACAAGGTCATATTGTACTAAGTAACAAGGTCATATTGTACAAAGTGACACATCTCAAACATGGTCCAGATTAACAAGGTCATATTGTACAAAGTGACACATCTCAAACATGGTCCAGATTAACAAGGTCATATTGTACAAAGTGACACATCTCAAACATGGTCAAGGTCATAGATTAACAATGGTCCAGATTCATATTGTACTAAGTGACACATCTCAAACATGGTCCAGATTAACAAGGTCATATTGTACTAAGTGACACATCTCAAACATGGTCCAGATTAACAAGGTCATATTGTACTAAGTGACACATCTCAAACATGGTCCAGATTAACAAGGTCATATTGTACTAAGTGACACATCTCAAACATGGTCCAGATTAACAAGGTCATATTGTACTAAGTGACACATCTCAAACATGGTCCAGATTAACAAGGTCATATTGTACAAAGTGACACATCTCAAACATGGTCCAGATTAACAAGGTCATATTGTACTAAGTGACACATCTCAAACATGGTCCAGATTAACAAGGTCATATTGTACTAAGTGACACATCTCAAACATGGTCCAGATTAACAAGGTCATATTGTACTAAGTGACACATCTCAAACATGGTCCAGATTAACAAGGTCATATTGTACTAGGTCAAACAATAAGGGACACATCTGAAACAACATCATCATCTCATCACATTCTCAGAGTTCATATGAACATTCTCAGGCAACTGCTTCACAAATTGGAATAACCAATGATTTTGGAAAAGTAAGTCCATTTTTGTGGATAACACACGTTGTCCCAACTATTTATTGAGACAGATCAACAGATTCAGGGTCACTCCTGGATACATACACCATGGTTCTCCCTCTCTCAGCAAAGCCAAACCCTGTGATATGATTTCAAAGAGAATTTTAGTATGATATATTTTTCATGGATTTGACCCTAATTCCACATGAAAATGAAAGAATGGTTGATTTTTATTGGCCAAAACAGGAGTAATATCAGGTGTCAAATTCAAATTCATACCTCTGTATCAACAAGAATTTTCACACAAAACTCTTGCATTTCAGGAGAAAAAGTGAATCCATTGATAGCTTATTTTAAAGGGCTTGGTTCCGAACTGAAAAAAGAGTTTCTAATCTATGGTTGGACAACATCAAACTTCCAAACGCAGTAGGACTGCATTCCAGATCAATCCTCTCACGTTACATTCCCTATCATGTGTAGTTGTGAATGCTGTTAAGTGAGTGAGTGAGTATGGTTTAATGCCGCTTTTAGCAATATTCCAGCAATATCACGGCTGGGGACACCAGAAATGGGCTTCACGAATTGTACCCATGTTGGGACTCAGCCCAGGTCTTCGGCGTGGCGCACCAACGCTTTAACCACTAGGCTACCCCACAGCCCGAATGCTGTTAAGAAACAAAAACTAACTGACCTGCCCTTAACATAAGAAATAGTATTTCGATCAAGTACAAGATCAAAGATTAATCCTGTTAACCAGTTCAGTGATAGGAGTAACATGCTCTTCAGGTCACAATATTGTTCATATGTGAAGAACACGTACCGCAATGTTAATGTCTAAAAAGATCTTTTCTTCATCACACTCAATCCATATCATGTTACACTGTCACATGCACAGAAAAACAAACAAAACACATTACCATGGTAACTAAAACAACACTGCAGTCGGACGTCATCACACTGTTACAAGGAAGGGTGTAAACCTTCTCTAACATCCTCATCCACAGACTGCTGCCCTGAGCTACAACTGGTGTATATACACTGAATGTACTGGAAATATGTCCTCAGGGAAACACTCTCTCCTGTTTCCCAATGTAAACTGGAGCGAGAGCTGGTGAGATAAACATATTTCTGTTTTATGTGGTTGGAAAGCACAAACTCCTACAGGCCATACCATTTACCTCAGTCTCATTAAAATCAAGTCTTAGTTTCTGCTAGTGGTGATCCGATTAATTGAAATAATCGAAGATTGGTTGCAGTGACTAAACGACCAAGCAATTGATCATGTTTTCTCATTATCGAACACAAACAATTTTGGAACACTTGTTTTCGTCAACAATATTTTTCACAAGGATGGTTTTGTCTTTTACATTTCATAAGCACTACAAGCTTGTTCATGATTGAATTTATCTTAAAGACACCAAGAAATGTATGTTCCTAACATACTAGTCATCCTTTAAAGATGCGAAATATTGCCCCCCAAAAAACAAAAATAACTACATGTTTTTTTCCTTATTTTTTTTACCATTAACAATTTTCATACATGACGCTAACCAATTATTTTCGATGATTGATCGGTGGTAATGAACCAATCATCAGTTATGAGATTTTAACCAATTCCCAACACTAGTTTCTGCAACTGTTAAACAAAGATCTAAGGACATCCTATTGTGGGTAAAAGGTCAGAGTGACCTTCCAACCAATCCAAACCAGATTAGGAAAGTGACAGTTGGAATGGGTTTTCCTTTCATGCAAACTTGAAAAGATTGATACATATTCTGAACAACAGTCATAGTGACTCCATCCATCAAATCAGGTTTATCTTCTGCTTCAATGAGGCATAAACTTAAAGGGAAAAGACTGCTCAACTTTTAACAAGAAATGAGTGTGTCTAGTTTTACTCCGCTTTTAGTAATATCCCAGCAATATCCTGGCAGGGACACCAGAAATGGGCTTCATACAATATACCCATGTGGGGAATCGAACCCGGGTTTTCGGCGTGACTAACATGTAATGACATATCTAGTCCCTCTACTAGACATTCTTAGATGCTGATTCTTCAGTTTTTCAAATTTCCAATGAGAACTTCTGCAAAATATTTGTAAAGCATTGTCTAGAATGGAAGTTGCCAGATTGAAACTTATATCATATGGATTCTGAATAGCTAATATCAACTTCTTGCTAGTCATTATTCATTTGTTATATTGATTTGTTAATGTTTGTGAAGGTCATTCTGTCATGACCTCTAAGGGATGTCCTCAATTCTGTGTTTATCTGTAGCGAGAACTGAGATGTTTCTAATGAGACTGATGCTCACCTTTCAGTAAACCCATGACAGACGAAAGGTCATAGAGTGAATCTGGGAGTGAAACAAATGACCAACGGATTCTGCCACAGCAAAGGGACACGACTCAACCCTCAGTCATTATGACTTCACTTCTACTATTATGATAGGATGTATGATACATATCAATGATCACATAGACAATGACAAATAATGTCACTTGTGGCCTGAATAATAGATTTATCATAATTGTTTAAGATACAACTTCTTCTAAACCTCCATTCCAAATAAATGAAAGTTCAAACAATGATTACTGGATACAAAGATTACAAAGATAATAACCCTATGATTCATGTATTTAAAGTTTTACAGTCACATCGGCAATATTTCAGCCATGTCGTGACTAAAAAAGGTACAAAGTATATAGGTGATGAGATCATACTTAGAACAAAGAGCATCAATATGTGTTCAGATCTGAAGGGAAGAGTGATTCTCTGGTTAGGCTCTTGTTCCACAATGGTAGGACAATCCTTAAGTAACACTAAACATCTGAATTGTTTGAGTGGCATTCCAGAAGATGGTGGTATAGTGATGACAAAACTTTACTTATGATCAGCTTCTTATTTTTTCATGTATATGCTTGAAAACAGTATAAGGATCTATACAAAAACGTCACCATTGTTAAATTAAGAAGTTGATCATCTGTACAGTTTTGTCATCACTAGACATTTGCACCAGCAGTCGCATCAAAAACTTTAAAAAGTGAGTGAGTGAGTTTAGTTTTACGCCGCATTCAGCAATATTCCAGCTGTATGGTGGCGGTCTGTAAATAATCTGGACCAGACAATCCAGTGATCAACAGCATGAGCATCGATCTGCGAAACTGGGAACCAATGACATGTGTCAACCAAGTCAGCGAGCCTGACCACCCGATCCCGTCTGTCGCCTCTTACGACAAGCATGGGTTACTGAAGATCAATATTCTAACCCGGACCTTCTCGCGTCACTTAAAAAAGTAAATAGTACAACAGTTTGTATACTGACAATATACACTAAACAAAATAGTTTACAAATGTTGAATGTAGATTATACTTGATGAAGCAGTGACTTCGAATGAGAAAAAGAAGAAGTATTATCTTGAAGTATCTAACTCAATTGGTCTTACCTATGACTTGTTCCCATATTCCCTGGGTCCAATACAGCGAGTGAGTGAGTGAGTTGGTGGGTGGGTGAGTGAGTGAGTGAGTGAGTGAGTGAGTGAGTGAGTGAGTGAGTGGAGTGGGTGGGCAAGTGAGTGAGTGAGTGAGTGGGTGGGTGGGTGGGCGAGGTTGGTGGGTGGTGAGGTGGGTGAGTGAGTGAGTGAGTGAGTTGGTGGGTGAGTGAGTGAGTGAGTGAGTGAGTGAGTGAGTGAGTGAGTGAGTGAGTTGGTGGGTGGGTGGGTGGGCCAGTGAGTGAGTAAATGAGTGAGTGAGTGAGTCAGTGGGTGGGTGAGTGAGTGAGTGAGTGGTGAAGGAGTGAGTGAGTGAGTGAGTGAGAAGGAGTGAGTGAAGGAGTGAGTGAGTGAGATGACATACAGTAATATCATCTGGAACATCAGCCGAAGGTGGGAATGAGCACAAAGTGTTGCTGATGGGAGACGTTTACCTCTTTGGTGTTAACAAACCAAGAAACATGATCAAAGGAAAACGGATTCAAACCCATGATCATAGGTTTCTGGTGCGACCAAGGGATGTAACTCTGCAGAGCAAATTTCTGCCCCTTAGATGACTCAACCACCTGTGCCGCAACTATGTTCAGAATTAATATTTTAGGACATTCCCAGATAGCATTCGGACATTGACCCAACGTTGGCAATGTTGGCAAAACCATTGCCAACATTGGGCCAACGTCTGAATTCTATCTGGGTTGCTGCTAAGAAGAGGTCAATAATGTACAATCTTGTTGGTTTCAGCCACAGTTTCTAAAGCTGGCATGTGGTGGAATGACCTTGTGAAGGAACTGAATGATGTAGTATATCTATGGAAACAAAATGGCAGCTTATATCACATTCTATATCGGAACATGCCTTGAACTTTGCCCTATGATGTAACGATGAATCACTATGAGGTCAGAATGAGGTCAGTACGAGGTCACGATGACGTGACCGTGAGTCACTTCGATGTCGCCATTAGATCCACCCAAGTTGTCAGCTTGATGATCACCTGTGATCAGCCTTTTCAATGATTAATGGTGCAAATGGTGAATTTGATAAGATACCGATGGTTTGAATCAAAGCAATGTCTATACTATGGACAAACGTCCAGTGAAGCTCATCACAAATAATACACAGAAAACACTTGAAATTACATTGTCTGGTATAGTTACTTTTTTATGAGGCTGGGTTATGTAACTTTGATGGTGGTGGCTAATGCCTCTTTGATAATTACTAATGATGTTTATGAACATTGCCACTTTGATCATTACTAATGATGGTCATGAACAATGCCACTTTGATCATTACTAATGATGGTCATGAACAATGCCACTTTGATCATTACTAATGATGGTCATGAACAATGCCACTTTGATCATTACTAATGATGGTCATGAACAATGCCACTTTGATCATTACTAATGATGGTCATGAACAATGTCACTTTGATCATTGCTAATGTTGTTTATGAACAATGTCATTTTGATCATTGCTAATGATGGTCATGAACATTGTCACTTTGATCATTGCTAATGATGGTCATGAACAATGCCACTTTGATCATTACTAATGATGGTCATGAACAATGTCACTTTGATCATTGCTAATGTTGTTTATGAACAATGTCATTTTGATCATTGCTAATGATGGTCATGAACATTGTCACTTTGATCATTGCTAATGATGGTCATGAACAATGCCACTTTGATCACCTCCAGTGATGTTTATGAACAATGCCACTTCGATCATTGCTAATGATGGTCATGAACAATGCCACTTTGATCACCTCCAATGATGTTTATGAACAATGTCATTTTGATCATTGCTAATGATGGTCATGAACAATGCCACTTTGATCACCTCCAATGATGTTTATGAACAATGTCATTTTGATCATTGCTAATGATGGTCATGAACAATGCCACTTTGATCACCTCCAATGATGTTTATGAACAATGCCAGTTTGATTAACATGAGAGATGATCATGAACAATGCCACTTTGACAATTTCTGATGGTCATGTACAAGGCAACTTTGATCGCCCATGATGTTTATGAACAATTCCACTTCAATCACCACCATTGAAGGTCGTGAACAATGCTACCATGGACTGTACAAGTCATATTCATCAGGTGTCCATATATATTTGGAAAGACTGAACACTTTCACCTAGCTTGCCCAAGCAAGGGCAATCTGCAACTGTAGTAACAACCATTAGTAACACAGGCAAATATTCTGCCGTCCACTGTTTCAAGGTCCGAATCATGTATCACATCCTACATCCAGTGTCCTCTAGGTGGGTGTGGTGTTGACCGTCCTCCACCTAGGATCACCACATTGGGTTCTTCTTGAACATGCCCCGCCAGTTGGCGCTGTCGGCATCGCTGATCCTCTTCTTCAGGAACTCAATCTTCTGGTCCAGCTCCCCATCTCCTGCAGCAGAAGACAATACTGTCAGAGGAACTGGCACGGAACAGATTATGTTGAGGCTGTGTACTGGCAAATAAACTGTATCGCAATACACTGTGGTATACATATAGTGATACATATTGTGATATACTGTAAATCATGAAATTAATGCGAAAAATGCGTCTGTACTCTTCTCTCATTATTATAATGACGCATTTCAGTCTGACCATGTCTACTTAGTAAAAGACAGAAAACGTAAATCTGTTGACGCTACACATTACAGCAATACAGGTCACTTCCTCATTACAGGTATCTCAAGTCACATGTAATTATCACTGGTTACAATCACTGGTCATTGTTTAAAGTCACTCAAGCACATCAGCCAGGCTGGACATTCTCCAGCCACTTGTTTGTTGTACCTTGGTAGATGAAATGGTAGATGTCCATGTAGCAAGCAATCACGTGATCAACCATTGCAGCGTAATCGAAACATCATCAGCTCATTTCCATTCATTGCTTAACAAGCTCAATTCATTTTATCATCAACACAGATTCCTGTGCTCGCATTAATTTCGTGACGCATTTAAGACTAGACCCTCTCACTCGCATTAAATTTGTGACGCATTAATTTCATGATTTACAGTATTGGGATATAAAGAGTTTGGTATTGAGTGACACTGATTGTACATGCCAATCTTATTTTCTAGATACTAATGCCCTAAAAACTAGTGACATGGTTCTGATAACACCAATCTCAAAAACAGACTGGATAGTTTGGGATTCTTTCTGTTTTTATGCAATACGTAGTATGTAAAGAAACCTGTTTAGTGAATTCATTGCAATAGGAAACATCAGAGGTGAATGAAATTCTATGTAGATTTAACTATAGAGATAATATAAACACTTGCTATGATTTTTTTATCAGTGTACCAGTTTTCAGAATAAATACTACAATACATATTGTTTGAAAAGTGTATTGTGGTGTACTGATAATACAGGTTGAGGTGGTGAGTTGAAGCATGTGGTTGTATCCCAATTGCACAGAACGATGCAGCCCTGGATATTACACTACATACGTAACTGACGAACCAGTATCCCGACAACTGTCAATGAAGGACTACGGTCTCATTGTTCCCCTACATAGTGGTAGTGGAATCAGTCTGCAAGTATACCAGAGGCCCAGATAAGCTGTGTATCTGGGTAAAATATGCATAGAAAATTTCCATTTACGCATTGAAAATTAATTGTTGCTTACCAATTATGCATTTTATTAAAATCTAAATATTTTAGATATTTAAATACTTACCTTGCCATTGGTCTTATGCATATTACCTCAAGCTCCGCTTAAAGAGATCAGACAGTCGTTGATTCGCCATTCTGTAGAACGGCCACCTCGCGTATCGACGAGTGTACAGGCAACGGAAGTGACGTGATCTCCCCTCCCGCGGTCCATCCAAAATCACTTTTACTGACCAGGTCCGAAGAGCCCAGAGAGGGGAGGAGCATCCAGCGTTGGGAGGGAGTTACCGCCCTATGGTAAGGTAAGTATTTAAATATCTAAAATATTTAGATTTTAATAAATTTTTAACTTACCTTACCATAGGTCTTATGCATATGGATTTGACAGTAGGACGGCGGTGTCGGGCTCCAGAGGACCGTCCCACGAAAAACCCACATGCCAAGGGAAAACCAGAAGAAACCACTGAATCGCCAGACTGTCGCAGGAGGCGCCTGGAACAGGAGACAGATAGTAACTAAAGGCAACCCTAAGGAAAACAAATACACCCAGAGTGTAAGTTAACCTGAAGACCAGAAGGTAAGAAGAAGTAGTTACCTAATGGGCGGTGGGATGGGTGAGTTGCTGAGCAACCACCAGTGGACCAAACGATTGAAGACCTTCCACGCCCTCGACGGCCAAATCCCCGAGGTAATGACTAGCGAAGACAGTAGAGGACTTCCAAAACAACCCTCCATGATGGCTGGAACGGTGCAGTTTCTGTGGAGAGCCATGGTGGATGCCAGAGCCCTAATCTCATGCGGATTAGTGGCTGTAGGATGAGGCAGATCTTGCATCGAGGCGGTCAGGATGGTAGTACGGAGCCAGACCGCAGAAAGCGTATTCTTATTAACTTCACCTTTGGCCACAGAAGACAGCGGGATGAACAGTCTCTACTGAGACTGCCTCCTGGGAAGATGACTTGGCAATATAAATCTTAAGTGCCCTCACGGGACAAAGCAGCTGTTCCTCAGCGTCCGTGAGGTCCTAGAATGGAAGACAAAGGAGGGATGGAGAAGATCCTATCCGGTTGTCCCGCAGCTGGTTCTTGGCCACGAAATCCCAAAGCAGTCCGAGATGAACAAGACCATGCCGTGACTGCTCAAAACGCACCCTGGTGACATCCAATGCGTGGATCTCACTAACCCTAGCTGCTGTGGCCAGGGCCAAGAGAAAGGCTGTCTTCCTGGAGAGGTTCTCAAAAGAAGCCGTGTCCAAGGGCTCATAAGGGGACCTCTCAGATGACGAAGAAACCACGTTTAGGTCCCAAGCCGGAGGATCGGAGCTTTGCCTTCTGGTCCTCCAGCTTAAACGCTTTGAGGACGGGCGATGAGTTCTGGCACCTTGGAAATCTTTTTGTCGCACTTGACCGCCAGAACGGAGTTAAGAGCCGATAAATAAGTTCCTATAGTGTTGCCCTTGAGACGCCGGGACTTCCGAAGAAAGAGAAGGAACTCTGCTATAAACTGAGGAGAAGCCTTCAATGGGTCCTTGGACTTCTGTGCACAAAACTTCTCAAAAGAAACCCACTTATCATCATAGAGTGATCTTGTGGAGACTCGATGAGCACGAGCAATAACCTTGGCGACACCCGTGGAGAAGCCCTTGGCCTTCAGCGCCTTTTGCAGATGATCCAACCGCACAGATGAAACCGAGTCGGATCGGGATGCCACTGTCGACTGTGGGGATGCCTGAGCAGGTGAGGCCAGTCTGGTAACTGTTGCGGACTTCTTTCGGCGAGACGGCGCAGATCTGGGAACCAGGTTCTGGCTGGCCACCAAGGCGCGACCAAAAGCAGACGAATCGTCTCTGTCCGCTTGACCTTTGCTATTACCGCTGGCAACAGAACTGGTGGTGGAAAGGCGTACACGTCCAGACCCTCCCACGACAAGGACATGGCGTCGACCGCCCATGCCGCTGGATCTGGAATCGGAGACACGTACAACGGCAGCTGTGTGTTGAAGCGAGTCGCAAACAGGTCGATCAGAGGGCGGCCGTGACTGTGACAAAAAGAAGTTTGAAGCGCTTCTGGATGTAGCATCCACTCTGTTGGAGACGGTTTGCCCGGCCTTGAGAGAGCGTCTGCCAAAACGCTCTTGCACCCTGGGATGTGTCGGGCTCTGGCGCTGATGCCATTGTCGTCCAGGAGACTGGCCAGCTGGAACGTCTGCTCCAACAACTGTTTGGACCTGGTCGTTCCCTGATTGTGAATCAACCACACCACCGTGGAATTGTCCGACGCTATCAGGAGCCTGGTGTTCCGCAACAGAGGCACCCAGTGTCGAACCGCTAAAATGACTGCTTGCAGCTCCAAGTTGTTGATGTGCCATCCTAGCTCGGTGCCTGACCACAGCCCCGAGGTGGTCTGGTCGTTGAGGTGAGCACCCCAACCTTGAAGAGACGTGATCTACTGAACAGTTCGCGTGATCGTGAACAAACTCTGTCAAGGAGACTCCTGCGCGCAGACGCTCGACTTCGACAGTCCACCAACGGAGGTAAGCGTGGAGATGCAGGGGCAAAAGAACCTCAACTGAAGGTCGGCCCCGCCTGGATGTAAGGCAACAGGAAGCTGTAACGCCCAAGCATCAGCGACCTCTGAGCGTCAAGTCCTGGGCTGAGGTGAGGAGACCTAAGAGGGACTGCCACTCCCTGAGCACGAAGCGGCGGCTGGGATAGACCTCGGTTGGCTTAAACTGACAATCTTTCTCCAGCGATCTGGCGGAATCCTGACAAGGTCGCAATGTGTCAGGAAGAGGCCTCCTATAAACGCCAGTTCCTGGGACGGCTCCAGGTGGGATTTGTCTATGTTGATAATCCATCCCAGTTGCTGCAAGAGATGAATGGCAAAGTGCATCTGTTTGGCGAAGCAACTGAGGGTCGAGGTGGTTCATGAGACAGTCGCGTCTATATAAGGGTCGAAGTCGATGCCCCTGAGATGGAGGAACCGGGTGATCGGGCGAGGTAATCCGAAAGTAAAAGCCACGGGCCGTGGAAATTCCAAATGGAAGCACTTTCCACTGGTAGTGGGACCCGCTGAAAAGAACCTCAGGTACTTTCTGTGACGGTGGTAAATGGGCACATGCAGGTAGGCATCCTGAAGGTCCAGGCTGGCCAACCAGACAATGGACGCTTAAGCTTGGCTCGTAGCTGTTCCAGGGACACCATGCGAAGTGAGGCGGTTCCGAAGATAAAGGTGGTTGAAAACTGCCATGTTGTGAATCATGCGTAGTTTCCCTGAGTCCTTCTTGGGAACCAGGAAGATTGGTGAGTAGAACCCGGGGACTGTCGGGGTCTAGCACTGTCTATAGCTTGTTTCGCGTAACAGAGTGTGGATGCTGTCTGCTAGCAGTAACTGTTTGTCTGGAGCATACACACGCGTGACTTGGGCGTTGAAGTCAGAGGCGGCTGACACGGCGATTGGCAGCTTGTAACCGGTCCTGAGAATGTTGGTGATAAGCGGGTCTTCCAGGATTGTCCAATTGGGCCAGAAGATCCCCAGTCTCCCCGCCTACTGGAGTAGGCGGAACCGCACGACTGGGGCGGGGAGGTCCCAGTCGTGTTAGTCGCAACTTCAGCGACCCGAAGTAAGGGCGCTCCCCTACCCCTCGAGCCGGGCCGAAGGGGGTCCGGGGACGATCCTGCTGACGGGCGCTGAAAAACAGGTTCGGATCTGCCCACGCCACGCCCTTCGCCAGAGGCGTCGCGGACGGAGTCTCTTCGGGACGTAACGGCGCTTCCTCTACCCCTTGCAGATGATCTGCCACGAAGGCCGAACTCAAAGCTTCGAACGTAGACAAAGAAACCTCCGTATTGGTAAGCTCTGCGTGTTCCTTATACACCTCCGAATGCCGTCATTAAAGAGGAAAGCGAGACGCTTAAAGGGGCTCTTAACAGTTTCCTTTTAAACTCTTCCTGCCAAGAACAGGGCTCCAGGAAACCCATCCGCTGAACAACCGTTGTCATGGCCAGAGCCGCCCGGAGGTGCGCCAGCAAATCATGCAACACCTTGCCCTGCCATTGAAACAGGGTGGTAAGATGTTCTAACCTTGACGTGTTGTCTTCCGTCAGATCCCAAGCAGCAGCCGAAGTTGCCGAGGCCAACGCTGATACCGGCTTCAACATCCGCTTGAGTTCTGCATCAATGGCCAACATCTTGGAGTCCTGCACTCGGTAGGATGCCTGTGGGGAAGCCGATAAGCACTTGAGGGACTCGTCATGAGCCGCGCCTCCATCGGCAAAATCCAAACTATGAATCTTGTAGTCTCCTTTGCGTGACTTAGGAGCCTTTATCGTGGTATTGAGAGACAAAGTAGCAAAATCAGCGTCCAAAGAAGCCACAGCATCGGCCACCATCGGGTGAGGCGGGAGGAGTAACTCCGGAGAAGACCGAATAGCCTTCGGGTCGGCCGAACCTGAAGAGGGAGAAGGACAATCCGGCAGTCTGTCGGCAATCCAGTCGAACACAGCAGAGAGAGGGAGGTAGGTGCCCCCATCATCATCATCCTCTTCATAATCGGGAGAAAAATAGCGCTCCTCAGTGTCCTCCCAGGACACGGTAGGAGCAGTAAATCGTTGACCCAAAGCAGCAGGCTTCGGTGGGCGCACCGATGACAACTGAGAAGCAGCACTCAAAGTAACTGTCGGGGAACGTGGACGTCGCGGCGAGCGGCGAACAGGAGGTGACCTTGAACGGGACCGACGGTATCGCCTACCACGCATCGGTGACCGTGAGCGCCTCTCCCTATCCTTGGAACGTACGGGAGAGCGAGACCTTGAGTCAGACCGACGACGGCGAAGAGAAGTATCGGAACTAAGACGAGGACTCCTAGACCGATGATGCTGCCGAGGAGACCTGGAACGAGATCGTCGAGAACGATGGGAACGCTCGGCGTCCTGACGTCGGGAACGCTCTTCCATTAACTGACGTTGTAGGTTCTCCTCTCTAGACACTGTAGCCTTCCTGGGGATACGGTAGTCTGCCAAAGGCGTCGGAGTTGGTGCTGGCGTCGGTACAGGCGTCGGCGTCAGCATGGACGTCGGCGTCAGCGTCGGCATAGGCATAGGCGCCGGCGTCCGCATGGGCGTCGGCGTAGGCATCGACGTTGGTTGAAGCAACAAGTCAGCAACTGGAGAATCAAGTGCCACAGGTGTCGGCGCAGGGGCAAAGCTAGGCAACGGCGCTGGAACGGTGCTAGTTTGGCTCCGCAGCTGCCGCAAAAGGAGCGTCGAAGCAACTTCTGAACTCCGGATGCGATAAAGCGTCCGGGTGGGATAGGTCAACAAAGCGCCAGACGAAGCTTTGGCTTCAGGCGCCAGCAAACGAGGCGCAGGGTGGACGGCTGATCTATCACAGGAGAAGAGCGTCCGACCGGCGCACGAGGGGAGAAGACCGAGTCCACAGAAGAAACAGGGGAAGACATTTTCCTCTTCGTTGTGACAAGCGTTTCTTCTTAGCTGAGGTAGGCCTTGAAATCTGCGACGGACAGCAGAGTACAAAAGTGACAGCGCTCGCCAATGGAACAGGCAACAGTCGCACAGTCTGGGCACCAGGGTGTGGGTCTTGGCAGACTTCTGCACCTTGCAGATGCAACAAAACTGCCGGGTCATGCACACCAAAAGCTGTAACACACAAATGTGAAACGTAAAAACCTAGAAACAACCCCTGCAGACGAAAAATGGAAGCACCCTCCCACAAGAATGGGCACGCCTAAGCAGTGGGACAGTCGTAAACAACCAAGATGGCTGCCCCACACTGAGCCGAAAAAGCGTGGAAAAAAACACACAAATTAGGCAAGAAAAAGAAGGTACACACAAAACAAGCATGAAACAGAAGGTGGAAGAACCCTAGAGGTATCAAAACACCCAAACATGCCACGTGGAAAAAACTTCGAACGTGGGGACACACCTGCCGGAAGTGAAAAACATAAACACGAGGGTAGCCAGGTAAGTGAAGTTACTTGTAAATTATGTTCTTCACCCACAGAGAAGAGACATAAGATAGAAAAACATACATACCAATAACTTTAATATCTGAAATCTATTAGTAAGTGTCTGAAACTTAGCGAACCAAAAACGTCTGACCTAGACGCTTGAAGTAAAAGTGATTTTGGATGGACCGCGCTTGCTGCGGAGGGGAGATCACGTCACTTCCGGTGCCTGTACACTCGTCGATACACGAGGTGGCCGTTCTACAGAATGGCGAATCAACGACTGTCTGATCTCTTTAAGCGGAGCTTGAGGTAATATGCATAAGACCTATGGTAAGGTAAGTTAAAAATTAAAATGTTAGATACGCAAAAAGTTTAAAACAAATGCGTACGGAATATATTTATAAAAATCGCTTGCGTAATGAATAAGACATCGATTGCTATCAAGTGGTAATGTTAGTACAGGAATAGTGTTTTATAAAATCATTCCCATTATATTTAAGTTGGTTTTGATTAGGTATGACATGAGGCAGAACATGCCTGCTTAGTAAACTTGCTCAATGACATATACTTAGGTGAGTAAAATGACTGAAATACGCACATATTTGAAAGCAGTGGGTAACGGAAAATGAAATACCCACTCAACATTCATAATACCCACTCCAAAAGAATACAGTGGGTACAGTACCCACACGAGCTAAATCTTATCTGGAGCTCTGTATACACTGTGTCTGGAGTGTTCATGGCAATAACCAGAATCAGATTCAGATGTCTGTGGATCAATTTACCTACAGTCTACTGAGGTCACTGCACCTCCTCAACTCAGTGTGCAACTTATACAGCACATGAACCATAGAAATCACAACCATTTGACTTAGTATCAGCGGATTATGTGTTTTCGGACATTTTTTAAGGCAGTGTTTACTCGCACTATTATGAGGCAGATTGTATCACGCAGACATTGTAAATACTGGGATGATGGCTTGTGTACAAGATAAAGTTGGCTTGAATCAGCTAGTGACATCCTAAAACCCACAACACAAGGATAATCAACCTTTTACTTACTTTGTTCAATCTGAGTCAAGCCAATCATCTCCTGTCTAGTACTGACTGACTGACTGACTGAGTTTGGTTTTACGCCGCTTTTAGCAATATTCCAGCAACATCACGTCGGGGGACACCAGAAATGGGCTTCACACATTGTGCCCATGTGGGGATTCGAACCCGGGTCTTCGGCGTGAAGAGCCAACGCTTTAACCATTAGGCTACCCCACCGCCCCCTTCTAATAAGTACAGGTATCTTTGATATAGTAGTAACACTGCATATATTAACGCTAAAATTGACTAAAACAAGACAAGTTAAGGCACAGATAGTTTCATGAACAATTTTCTGACAATATAACTAAGACTGTCTACTCACAGCTTTGATTTTCTCTGAGCGTCTGTTGTTCAGTTCTGGTGTGGCTGTTTCCAGAGCCTGCAGCTGAAACAGAAGACGCAGATGCTGAATACCCTGGTTGTGTGGGTTCTTCCAGTGATGTCATCAGAAAGGATCACCTTTACTGATTCATAAACATGCCAACCACGACAGATTCTCATTGAAGTCATTAGTCCACAAACTAATCTAAATGCTGAAATCTTTTCTAGTCCATAAACTGATTGAAAATAATGAAATCTTAAGATTAATGTTTAGTATCACTAGTGATTCAGAAAGTATTCTTAGAGCAAAATAACATGAGCAAGTCTTTGATAAAGATGTAGGAACATCTTTGGTCAAGAACTTGATCACACTTCTGTTTGTTAAAGTTTGAAAAACCTTTCCTCTTTTGCCAAAAGAGAATCAATCCTAGATGAAATTAGTTTCAACACATATTAATTAAAAATTCTTGTTTTGGGGGTAAATTCCTTCAACAAAGGTCATCATCTACACTGCCTTGTCTGACTCAGAAAATGCCTCCCTGAAAGAGGTATAGAAAGATATAGAGTGTACCAACCCTCATGGTTATCTCGGACAGTTTGGTCCTGACAGTGTCCCTGTATCTGCTGAGCTGGACTGACCTCTCACATGGCATCACTGTTAAAACATCTACATCATTAGCAGTGTTATTGTGTGATGGAATGTTATATGAATGACTATCTCTACTGCACTGGAAAGCTAAGGAGGCATGGCTGGACGTGACGTCTAAAGTATTGCTATTTGCCGTGCAGAGTTACTTCTGCAGAGCATGACAGAAAGCTATTGTCACAGGTTTGAATCCCAAATTGGTAAACATCAAAGACCTTCATCACTTTCCTCCCCATCAAGCTCTGACAGAGAGTGAGTGAGTGAGTGAGTATGGTTTTATGCCACTTTTAGCAATATCACAGTGGCAGACACCAGGAATGGGCTTCACACTGTACCCATGTGGGGAATCGAACCCGGGTCTTTAGCATCATGAGTGGTCTCTTTAACCATTAGGCTACCCTACCGCCCCTCAAGCTGAGTGAAAGACTGTTCAAGGTACTGTTCACCTACATAACATAGTGAGTGGTGACACTGGCTAAACACTGGAAAGTATCTACAAACTTTTGTTAGTTATACATGAGAAGTGAGTGATTAAACGAGCGAGCGAGTGCGTTTTTAAGCAGCTTTTTGCAATATCCCAGCTATATCATGGTTGAGGACACCAGAAATGGGCCTCACACATTGTACCCTTGTGGGGAATCGAACCCGGGTCTTCCACGTGACAAGCAAACACTTTATCTACTAGACTATCCCACTTCTCCTTTTACACAATGAGAAAGATGGCAAAAAAGTGGCACTGGTCCATCAAGTTTACTGAAACATTTTCTTAAAAGTTAACTGATTTAGTAGATCCCAGACAAAATAACTTCATTCCAAAGCATGTCCCAAACAACTACATGCTGAACACGTCCTGTGTTATTGCTGGAATATTGCTAAAACTAAACTAAACCCATTCACATGCTGAACAAAAAAAAATAAAAATACTGAGCTGCATAAATTTATATAAATTTCTTTCAGCTAACCCAAACAAATTGGACAACAAACTTGAGAAAAACACACAGTACAAAAACTGGCACCTTTGTACATTGTTATGCTGTATTCTTGGTCTTTCTCATGCTTACCATTTTGATAGAGTCTCACAACCTCCAGTACATAGGGTCTGGAAACAAACACAATACATGGCTCAACAACAACAGGATATGGGCAATGACAATGTGACGTGTGTATTAATGTGGATCCACTCTTCCCACCTTCCCACTGATGGCTGGATGTGGGATAAAATGTACAGCATGTATATGTTTTGCTTGTTTTTTATTTAATGTTGCACTCAGGACTAGTCCAGCTACCGGTATATGACAGCGGCTTGTAAATATTCAAGTCATGGTATATGATACTGAGTGTTACAAATGCTGTAAAATCCCAATATAAATAAGTCAGCTCAATGGTTTACTAAAACATAACAACAGAGTACTACTAATAAAAATACTGTTTCAGGGCTCCAGATAAGGGCCGTATCGGCGTATGTACGGATATAAAATGTGCATGATACGGTAGGAAATGATTTAGAAAACAGCAGATACGCATCACAACAATGATGTACGGTCTAAGAATCATTTACAGACGTATTTATCTGAAAAAGTATTGTTTTATTGTTTATTGACCTGTTTACACAAGAGTAGCTATGTTGTTGTGCATGTATGAAACGAAGCACAAGATTACTGGTACTCCATTAAATTCCATTAAGCACTCTAGAAGTATTCTTAAGGCTTTCCAGTACTCCTGCATTGAAAAAGTAAGGAGTAGGAACTCCTGATGTTGAAAATTTATCTGGAGCCCTGCTGTTTGTGTTATTGTGTTATAAATTAAAAAGTAATGTGGTCCTCAGAGTCTGGTACCATAAACATGATAATGGTAATGTAGTATTTGAGTCGGGATCGTAAAAGACATAAACTTTCAACATCTCAGTAACGTTAAGGACTCTGACACTCATGGATAGCTTCAAACATTGAAGAGAGTGGATACAGCTGCTCTTACACATCGTTCGAGTTGGCCTCAATCCTGCTGTTGATTGGGATGAGGGAACCCCTCGTGTTCCGCAACTGAAAATATACAACCCAACTATTAGTGAATACTTTCGTTCTTTCTTAGTGACCGTTTATAATTTATGGCAAGGGTGTGGGCAAGTCACGTACAAAATCTATGACCCCCCATATTTTTAAGCGTAATTTTTAAACATTATTATGTACATAATTAATCCCCCCCCCTGTACATGTGTACAAAACTGATGACCCCCCTACCTCCCCAGAAAAAAATGGGTGACCCCTCCTTAAAATCATTATCATGCCCCCGAGCCATATGTTATGAACGGTCCCTTATCGGTCACAGGCCCTCGTGTCTTTGCGAGGATTAAAGATTATATAAAATATATACAAAAATTTGAGATGACCCCCAACTCGAAATGCTTCACAGTATAATACATCATGACAAGGCCGGACACTTCTGTACATCCCACCCGACTGCTTTGCTGATCGCTACGCTACCATTGCATGCAATCAATTAAAACGTAATGTAAACATAATCATGGATGATTGGCCTATTAACTGAGCACCACTCATGACACCTTCCAATTCTTTATTGTTATTTCTGCAAGTCGACTGAAACCCGATTTTGACTCTCAACTAAACGATCTTGACACAAATGGCTGACGATATATCCACACAAAACGGGGGGTGTGGTCGAAGCAAGTATGACAGACTAGGACAACAGTAACTTCCTCAGTTGAGTCAGCACAAGGACACAAACTACCAGCCTGTTATCTAGTAGGTCAGGAGTTGCCCACTAACTGCCTGCTTCTACATGCCCAACAGTGTAATGCATGAACCTCATCACCCCACCACTACAGACAGCACTATACCAGGCACTGCATGGCCTGTGTTCCAACAATCGAGATAAGGGTCGTCTCTGTAGGTCAGACAGGGAGGACACGGTTACATGTCCAGTCATTTTCCCCTTCAAACTCGTGAGTGCTGGAATCTGCACTTGTGAAATAATGGTGTGACTGTTTTCTCCACTTTAAAGTAATTCTGTTTCCGATTATCAGTCCTTGGAAGAAGGTCTTCCTGTTATCTGGGAACAGCCTTTGGTTTGTGAACAATCTAAAGCCTTGAAGATAATGACAATGACTGTGATAAAGAAAACAACAGGTTGTTGTCAGGTATGAGACGTTAAACAGGTTAAGCCTGAGGCATTAGACATATAATGTGTTCCACCAACAGAATACGAACAAGCCTCCTGTTCAGGGTGAAGAGACTGACTGAGTTTTGGTTTTACGCCGCTTTTAGCAATATTCCAGCACCATCACGGCAGGGAACACCAGAAATGGGCTTCACACATTGTGCCCATGTGGGGATTCGAACCCGGGTATTCGGCGTGACGAGCCAACGCTTTAACCATTAGGCTACGGCACTTCCCCTCAGGGTGAAAAGAATAGAACACAGTAGGAACAATGTTAAATTTCTGTTTAAGCATGATAATTTTGTATATGACAATGTTACTATTGTTTGAGGTGCACAATGTTTATTTCCATGCTTGACACATTCACCCATTGTCCTTTATCAACAGTTGTGATTTAGTTTAATGTGCACACTGACATCTATAAACTGCACACAGCCCTAAGATGTAAAGAGTGAGTGAATCATTGCAATATGGGGGCAGTGGGGTAGCCTAGTGGTTAAAGCGTTCGCTCGTCATGCTGAAGACCCGGGTTCGATTCCTCACATGGGTACAATGAGTGAAGCTCATGTCTGGTGTTCCCTGTTGTAATGTTGCTGGAATATTGCTAAAAGCTGCATAAAACTAAACTCACTCACTCACTCACTGCAATATGCTTTGTCTCCTTTCCCTTCCTTCCCATCACATGTCATCATCAGACATGGATACAGGGCCCAGGCATGAGTGAGGCGGTCAGGTGACAGTGTGGTGACAGGGTATGTGATAACCATGATAACACCAGCACTATTATCATGATCACTCAATCAGGAGTTGATCATGCTCTTATTACACCAGATAACATGTTACACAGCATTTCTCTGTCCTGACCTGGTACAGCTAATGACCCTGAGGAGTAACCATGTGCAGCAGATGCAGCAACTTGTATATAACTAGTTAGATAAAGTGATTGAGTGAGTGAGTGAGAGTAGCAGAGTGAGGATTTTGAGCCAGTGGGTGAGTGAGGATTTTGAGCCAGTGGGTGAGTGAGGATTTTGAGCCAGTGGGTGAGTGAGGATTTTGAGCCAGTGGGTGAGTGAGTGAGCCAGTGGGTGAGTGAGTGAGAGGGTGAGTGAGTGAGCCAGTGAGTGAGTGAGACAGTGGGTGAGACAGTGAGTGAGTGAGTGAACCAGTGGGTGAGTGAGTGAGTGAGTCAGAGGGTGAGTGAGCCAGTGGGTGAGTGAGTGAGCCAGTGGGTGAGTGAGTGAGCCAGTGGGTGAGTGAGTTTGTGAGTCAGTGGGAGGAAAAGTGATGCAGGTCACATCTTGGTGAAACCCAAAATGAAGGGTATGATGCTGACAAACATCAAAACATAATGTGGCCAACATGGATTTAAACTCACAATCAAACGTTTCTTGCAAGCATTTGAAATGAATAATTGCCCCCAAAATGTGTGTCTCCAACATCAAATCCCAGTGTTGAAGACATCAACACAACTCAGACATGTTCGAACAAGCCAAGGACTACCCAAGAGAAGATGCCATTGTTGCCAACACAGATTACACAATAGCACACGGTATCTCACTGTATTGATTTTCCACACTCATTAATTCTGGCAAAATCAGAAATACACAGCATGGAAATATCAGATGTATAAATATGCATAGAATACATTGAATAACTAAATGCCGACAGTTAACATGGGAGAGACCACTACTGCAGCCTAATGTAATCAAAGTCTCACTGCAAAAGTCATCTATGGTTCTAGGCTACAATGGTGACGCTTAATGGAGCCAATTAAGTATAATCTCCTGGCAAACTGGTAACAAACATGACCCTCACATTCTGTCATATGCTAATCATGGAGTTGAGTCATCAGTGGCAGTGTTCAACATGCTTGGGATATCTGGTACTGAAGATGTAATGTTGATGCCCTGTTGATGCCCTTTCTAATTCCACTCACTTCCCGATCCACCCCACTCATTCACTGCCCCACTCACCCAACCACCCATTGACTCAATCACCCACCCAACAACTCATTCACTGCCCCATCCAACCACCCATTCACTGCCCCACTCACCCAACCACCCATTGACTCAATCACCCATCCAACCACCCATTGACTCAATCACCCACCCAACAACTCATTCACTGCCCCACTCACCCAACCACCCATTGACTCAATCACCCACCCAACCACCCATTCACTGCCCCACTCACCCAACCACCCATTGACTCAATCACCCATCCAACCACTCATTCACTGCCCCACTCACCCAACCACCCATTGACTCAATCACCCACCCAACCACCCATTCACTGCCCCACTCACACAACCACCCATTGACTCAATCACCCATCCAACCACTCATTCACTGCCCCACTCTGACCCATCCATTCACCCAACCACCCAGTGACTCAATCATCCCCCCACTCACCCACCCATCCTTCTGCACTCACTCACTCACCTACTCACTTGCTCACTCACCCACCCACCCACCTGTGTGCCAGCCTAATGTTGGAGGGAATCCTGCCATTATGTTGGTCTTATATGTTTACTGCTTGGTGAAACCTACAAGCAAGGGGATAGTTCTGACATGCAAAGACTCATCACAAGGATGGGCTCAAGCATGAGCATGAAGCAGATCTCCATATTTTCTTTTCATGGATTTGATTTACTATGACCTACAGCTACAATAAAAAAATACAAAATAATATACTTCACAGATCAACAAGATGAAGATTAAAAAAAAGGAGAAAATTTAATTGTTAATATTTTAAATGGTAAGCAACTGAAATCAATGTCCACAATGTATATAGTCATGACTGTGTTAGGACACACAGTCAAAATCAAAGGTAACCCATCAAACATACAACATGTGGCCTATCGATAGTTTTTCTCTTCAGTAGTCCTACCTGGGACTCTTTTCGTCAAGTAAATCCCTCATGTTGCAACTTGACATTACTGGTTGAAGGGAGGTAACTCTTTACAACTCTCATGCTGATTTCACTAGTAGGAATTACTGCATGAAATTGTTTGGATGTTGTTTTACTCTATAAACCTCTAATGACATACTCACTCAAAAAGTTCAAAATTGTGTAACTGGTGCTTGTTCTGCCTTACAATAGCCTTTTTCAGAAAACAGAACTGACATTTTTAATACATTAAACTGCTTCTTCCCATGTGAAAAACCTATATCAAAACAAACCAAAAGTAAGCAATAACAAATGTTATTGAATAAAGACTATGGACAACAGATTCGCCAATGAAGCCTGAATAAGTGTCAAGATTTGAAAAGCAACTATGCATGATACAGAGATGCCAACCCTATTTTGGGCCTAAGTGTAATACTGGAGGTCAAAAAGTGTAATTTGGACCTAAAAATTGTAATAGTTAAACCACTTACTTAGGAACAGGAAAGATTCTAGACAGAAATACACGTGACCAATCATTATGAAGTTACATACATCGAAAATTGTTGGTCAGGTGACACAAAATACTTTAATTCCTTACAAGTTAACTGGAATAAGCGCAATGCTAAGAGTAAGCGATTCCTATCGGTGTAAGGCCATTTCTGAACCCCTGCACAAGTGCATTACGAGAAAAATTCCCTATGAAATTTAATGGTCAAAATCGTAATAATTACGCCCAAAGCGTAAGGGTTGGCATCTCTGCATGATATCATGCTTTCATTTCCTCTTGTTGAGTAACTGATGCATCCTATTGCCCTCAGGTTATGGTGCATTAGTCAAAGGGAAGTAACTCTTTGTTGGTTTGCTATGGAATGTGATAAAAGACACCAACCAGAACATAAAAACATTGACCCAATGAAAAGAAGTGCTATGCAGCTCAATATATGACATTTCATTTAAACATGATCAATTCATTTATCACATTACTACAGGTATGTAAAGACTGGAAATAACGCTGTCAGCAAACGTGAATGGCTGTATCAAGCACTCCTTCCCTAAACCACACTTTCACGGCACCCTGGGCACTTTTACAGTAGATATATGTTGTAGCTTATGGTACATCTTGACTACTGTACCAAAGTGTGTTTAATGTACAACTAGATAGTAGCTAATGGAATAAATTGATCAGCAGTCTGAATAAATCAGCCGCTCCTTAATCTGTTAGCTGTATATTTATAGTATGTCATAAGATGATGGATGTTAAGGGGTGATTGACGTGGAAAGTCAGCTTAACATGATGACAATTACAACAATTAATGATGACCATCAACAGATGAGTAATTATATTTTCATATTTATAATATTTTAAGCAAGACCCCTCTGTTAAATACATTACAAAGTGACATAAACTGGTCTTAATGAATTTTAGTAAATTGTCAAAAATTGCATCTCAAACATGTAAAATTCACATGAAACCTTTCTAAAAAGCACACACTATATAAATTGTTGTCAATGCAGTGTCAGTGCTTCATGCATTGTCTAAACATCATTCCACCATTAGCTATGAACATATATATTGAGGTGAGGTGAAATAGGGTTTAACGTCGTACTTAAGAATATTTTGCTCATATGACGGCATGCATGAGTGTGTTTGTGTGGCTGCTTGTACTAGCCCAAACTTAAGTTAGTTCAGTGAGATACCATGCTGCAGTTAAGCACGAATACCCCACTCAGACACATTATACTGACTCCGAGTCAAGTCGACCAGTCCTTGTTGTACCAATTAATGCCAAGCGTCCGACAGGGACCAACAAGTGCCATATTTAAACGTCTTTTGGTATGACGCGGCTAGGGATCGAACCTGCGACCTTCCCCGGATGGACGCTCATACCACCAGTCACATACACATTGGAATGTAATAGCTAATCATGAATGAATTTAGGAGGGAAACCAACCGGTGCTTAGACCAATGAGTGCTCAGATTACATGGGCATTATCCATAATATGCAGCCTCTAATCCAAGGTCTGCCTGAATGTCAGCCACTGAAGGTGGAACATAATGTAGGTATGTGCAATCTAGGAAGTATTGCTAACATGCTCTATAGTCACATATTTCATACCCATACATCCGTGGCAAGCTAACTGTATCAGGGATTGGGATAGAGAACCTTGACAATGGGCCATTTTCAGGATTATTAGCCATTTTCTAAATTTAGAATGGGCCACTGCCCTTGTATCAATAGTAAACTTCAAAATAAATTTTAATGGGCCATTTTGTATTCTAAAAATAATGGCCCCTGCCTTTCCCAATCCCTACTATATCCAGAATCTATTCAGTAGTCTCTATACCTTGAGGATGAGGTCCGGATCGCTGATGCTGAATGTATTTCTCAGTGCGAGTCTGACCATTTCAGTGTCCTCGTTGTCATTGATGTCCATAGACGCTGCATCACCATGATCACTGTCTGCAATTTCATCTGAAACAGAGAGGTGAGCTCATAGACATACACCATTAACAATACACTCAGTCTTATAGTGACACACCATTCGTGGAAGACACATGATTTAGCATTTGTGAGAGAGTGATGGTAAGTTAGCAATATTAAAACAGTGTCTGAAATTTAGCATTGAGGTTGCATTGTGTGATTCAGATCTGAGATGTTTATCACTTCATTGAAACACACGAGTACAAATATATTGCAGACAAACCTACAGGCACAGTGTGCAAAATAGCCACTGGCCCGCTAGCCAGTGGCTAGTAAAAATCCAGTTGGGCCAGTAATCTCCACAGTCACTGGCCCGACTAGCTAGTGAATTTTCATTTTGTAAATATATCACTCTTTCAGACATGTTAAGTTATAATACACTATTAAATCATGCAAGATTATGGCCTGATGAAAATGTTCATCATATTCAGCTTAATGATGAAACTCGAGTCTACATTCAAATCTCGGACTAGTGAAATATTCTATGGGGTAGTAACTTCCAGGCATAGCTAGCCTGACTGGCTTGCAAAATTTAGAACCTGTTTCGTATACTGTACAGGCATAACGGTCACTACTCCATCTAGATCTCAGTTGCTATTACTAGGGCCTATTCTGACTGAGACTTTTTACAAGGAAACAACACTTGTGATGCAATATTATTAATTTCAAGACCAGATATACAGTTTCATAAAACAAATAATCAGATACTGAAAGTACACTAATCACTGTATAATTGGACATAGACAATTTTATGTTCTTTAATTCTGTAACAAGTGAATAAAATCTGACACTCATCACACTTGTCTTTTTCTTCCTGGTACATCATTATAACGGGTGCTTTTGTTGTTTGTATGTTGTTTAACTGACTGACTGACTGAGTTTAGTTTTACGCCGCTTTTAGCAATATTCCAGCAATATCACGGCGGGGGACACCAGAAATGGGCTTCACACATTGTGCCCATGTGGGGAATTGAACCCGGGTCTATGGCGTGACGAGACAACGCTTTAACCATTAGGCTACCCCACCGGCCCGTATGTTGTTTAACACTACACTCAGCATTATTTCAGCTATATGGCAGTGCTCTGGACCAGATAATCTGGTGATCAGCAGCGTGAGCATTGACCTACGCAGTTGGTATATGATGACATGTCAACCAAGTCAGCGAGCCTGTTAGTTGTCTCTTAAGACAAGCATGGGTTGCTGAAGACCAATTCTAACCCGAATCTTCATGAATTATATATAACAGGTAAATAATACTAATAGCAAGCAGTATTAAAGGTACATCTCCAAAGGGTCCAATAGTGACAGGTACAGTGGATATTTGGAAGAAAGCATCCACTGCAAAATTTGTACAAGCTGTCCAATCACACCCTGCTGAGCCAGTGAGTGAGTGGGTTTTACACTGCTGTTAGCAATATTCCAGCAATATCATGGTAGGGGACACCAGAAATGGGATTCACACAATGTACCCATGTTGGGAATCAAACAAGGGTCTTCGTCATGACAAGCAAACACTTTAACCACTAGGCTACGCCACCGCCCAACACCCTGCTGACTTCCATGTGATTATAGGAATCATAAGACTGGGCTAAAACAATTTACTGCAAAAATTATGATTACTTTTTACAGTTCTCAAACATGTCAGTGCACAGGTGAGATGAAATGGGGTTCAACTGCGTGTTAATTAAGATTATTGCACTTGTCATACAGTGACTAGCTTGAGCATGATTGCTAACACTATTCATATGTAAGTGTTACATTGCTAGTTCACAAAGATACCATGCAGTTTAATATGGATACCTACTCAGGCACACTCCAAGCTAACCAGTCCTCATTATATTTCCCTAATGCTGAAAACCCTGAAGGGTAGCATCGTTTAATATTTTCTGATATGCTGTAGCCAGAAAACCTGCTCTTTTTATCTATATTGGTAATATACCACTGAGGTAAAACTGCCATGGCCTCGCTTCCTTCATATTGGCAGCATGTGTTTAAACAGTTTTGAGCTTTTTCACTAATTGGTAATTGAAACACCTTCACAGATCTTACGTCTCTGATCCAGTGGAAGTACTGCACTTTACCGGGCGCACTTTTTCAGATTAAGTAGCGCTGCTGGGATTCCCTAACCCTAAGGATCGTAAAGGCAGCAGCGAGGGCTGAGCCCGGTAAAGTGCATTCCAGTGAACAGCAAGTATGTTCGGACTCGTCACAGTGTGAATTTTATTACCGTTGACCTTTGCACAGTTTTTAAGACTAAAGATGATCTTGAGTGCAAGCTTGTCAGTAAATCGTCGAATATGAATGTACGCGGTAAAGAGTGACCTGATCCATACTTGAGACAATATGAAAGAGCACTTGCTGGACGAACGTGTTGCCCCTAGAGCCGCACCCAACGATGACCAAAACAACGAGCCCCAAAGCTGAGGTGATCGACTGTCATAGTGATTGCCTGTCATTACGATTTGTAGCTGTTTTTCAAGCTTTCCGAGTGTTTTAAAATCCACACACTCTACCAGATATTTGCACCAATAAGGATATGAACCGCACATGTACGTAAAATAACAAAAATCACTCGCAGTAACTTACCATCCACATCAAATCGTTTGACAACGACCCAGATCTTCTTACTTGCGGCCATCTTTGTTTACACTCAGCATGAGATAAGGGAAGTAACTCTTGATAATAAGACGGACACCTGTTGATTTCGAAGCGGCCGTAAAATATCGAAATCCTGGCCATGGATCCTAGGACAGAATGATCAGTTTTTTTATCCCCCAAAGAAGGTAACTTTCAGTTGTACCAATACCACGGTATGGAAAAGATCAAATGGAGAAAAAGTTGCTTCATATTTTTGGAGACAAGATGGAAAGTGCCAAGTGAACTGAATCGACGCTTACCGCGAGACAAAACTAGAGATAAGCTCAATGTTCATTTGTTCTAATTTCCTCCAATATTTACAGTTGTTATATTGATTCATATGCAATTCCCTTTACAGATTGTTCCGACATAATCGGATCGTTTCTACAATTAGACACGTGGAGATAGTTGAGGCTCCTGTGACTGACTTGTTTTATGCCGCTTTAGCATGGCTCAAGAAATATTAAGGCGGGAAAACAAAGAATGACATTCCCCCATCGTTCTTATGTTAGAAAACGAACCCCGATTTTCAATGTTTTGCGTATACGAACGATCGGTCTAACCACTAGGCTAACACAAGAGGCGTTCCAGGTTTGTGTGAGTGAGCGAATACAGCAAAACGTCGTAATTCGCGGACTGTGTGGTTTGAAAGATCATACACACTTTTCAGAGCCACAGTTGCCCCCATAATACCAAATTATTCCGCTTTTTAAAACCAAATTAACAAATTCCGTAAATAGTGTGTTGAGTTATTCATAATATTCGCGATATGCAAGCCAACCCGCGATCCCGGGTTAGAATTGTCTCCAGTATGCTATATTCGTGTTTGGCGACTGAGTGGATGAGGTGGTCAGATTCCGTGTCGTGGTGAAAAGCGTTGACAGTTGCTCACTTACCGATCACTGGATTGATTCGATCAACAGACTGGTGTCATATTGCATGAAAATTGCTGCCGCGTTGCCCAACAAACACACCGAATTGAACCGTGTGAGTATGTACCTGTTTACCTAAGTAAATTTTTAGATTCTTCTAGCAGTGGCAAAGTAGGGTTGTTTAGTTTACAGATTCAAATCAATCAAATGTCAATTTTTAATATCATACGTAATAGACGTCATATTTTAACATGACATGATTAAATATCGAGGTAAAAAAACCCACAGAAATGGGATCAATTTGGATCAGTCATTATACCGTCATTATACAAGCCTGAAAAAGTCCAGACTGCTTTATTGATACTTTATTACAATCAGACAAGAACTACCGGGGATATTTTCAAATAACGGCATCTGATGGGCATCCACCCTTCTTAATGTCGCACTGTTTAGGTTGGAGAAATTAACCGAAACCGTGATGAGCGAGGCTGATCATCATTTTCACCATCACTAGCGTCTGGCTCGAACAAATAAGGCCTAACGACACCAAGCGATTTTGACGGAATCATCGTCCATGAAAACAAGTTGTAACTCGGAAACTAGGCAAAGCAGGAGACAAAATTAAATGACAGTAGATATAGTGAGAACATATAGCTTTCATTTTTCACAACAGTTGTCACGATTTCAGGTTTATACAAGCCTGTAAACAAGATAATTTATCCCCTAAAATGTACATGAATTCTGCATCGGCCCTCATATCTATTCCTCATATGACGTCACTGAGACGCACCGCTCTGATTGGTTGAAATTTCGTTCGCGGGTGAGAATTGTGCACTGTTGTCAAAAAGGTCGATTTAAGTCAGTTAAAGATCGAAATGAGTAGTTTTAATGAGGGGGTTTCATTTATAACGATGCCAATTAGCGATTTATGTATTTGTACCCCCCTAGAGTACATGTGATCTTTAAGTGACGAGTGTAGACTACACTACTTACTGTACCATGTTCTACCGGGTACCCGTTTAGTGTTGCATCATCGGAAGACAATTGTAGCTACGTAACTAGCAAACTGCGAAAATATCGGTCGGGTATTGGTGATGTTCTTCACAAGTCGGGTTGTGTCAACACGCTGAAGCAAAGCTACTGGCAGCTGAACTGTACATGTCAGCTGATAAGCTATCAGCCTCTGTGAGGTTTGCACTTATCGTTATGTAGAGGAATACATGTAGGTTATCAGTTTAATGGTGGGAAACTCAGCTCCCGTGGTGGACACAACTTGGTATTTTCGGGGCGATGGGAAGTCGAGTAGTTAAACGATGGCTTGTCAAGTCATTAATTCGAATCCCAATCTTGGACACATCTGTCTCTGTTTTTGAATGATAGATCAAAATAGTGAAGTGACATTATTTTCTATCAACTAAAATTTCAAACATGCACTGATGTCCTTAGTTCTTTCTGTCAGCTATGTGTGTATTTACTAATATATAAATCTGTGTGAAGGAAGCATGCTTTAAACACAATATAGAGCAAATATATATTTGATTACAAATTTTAAATTTAATACTTATTGTAGTGCTTCGGCGAATGTTGTGATCATGTTTGCAATTTGTTTAGTTAAATCCAGTTAATCTTTTCCGTCCGCAACGTTTGCAGTTTTATTAATAATTCGTTATTCTTGCCAATGCGGCAATTTAGTATTTTCATTCTGAGGTTATTTCACCAGCAGCAGCAGCAACAACATCAGACTATTTCAGCCTCGCATATTAAAATCAGATTTAACATTGAGTGAGTGAATGAGTTGAGTTTTACGCCGCACTCAGCAATATTCCAGCTATATGGCAGCGGTCTGTAAATAATCAAGTCTGGACCAGACAATCCAGGGATCAACAGCATGAGCATCGATCTGCGCAACTGGGATACAATGACATGTGTCAACCCAGTCAGCGAGCCTGACCACCCGATCCCGTTAGTCGCCTCTTACGACAAGCATGGGTTACTGAAGACCAATTCTAACCTGGATCTTCACGGGTGGATTTAACAATAAAATGCAATGACACAAATAACATAAATGATATCAAGGGGGGCAATGTATTGATGTCAACTTCTGTGTTTTGAGGAACATCACGTTTCGGAGTATATGCTTACTCCGTGGGTGATGAAGGAGCAAGAACATCCCTCGAAATATCGTGTCTCTCATAATACAGAAGTTGATATCTCCATTTATGTGTCATAATACAGAAGTTGATATCTCCATTTATGTGTCATAATACAGAAGTTGATATCTCCATTTATGTGTCATAATACAGAAGTTGATATCTCCATTTATGTGTCATAATACAGAAGTTGATATCTCCATTTATGTGTCATAATACAGAAGTTGATATCTCTATTTATGTGTCATAATACAGAAGTTGATATCTCTATTTATGTGTCATAATACAGAAGTTGATATCTCCATTTATGTGTCATAATACAGAAGTTGATATCTCTATTTATGTGTCATAATACAGAAGTTGATATCTCCATTTATGTGTCATAATAAAGAAGTTGATATCTCCATTTATGTGTCATAATACAGAAGTTGATATCTCCATTTATGTGTCATAATACAGAAGTTGATATCTCCATTTATGTGTCATAATACAGAAGTTGATATCTCCATTTATGTGTCATAATACAGAAGTTGATATCTCCATTTATGTGTCATAATACAGAAGTTGATATCTCCATTTATGTGTTTCACTTCTACATGACATTCAAAGATGACTGATATTATCTTCACACGCACTGAGTTTTCATTTATTCCCTTTTACGGATTATTACTCTATCGCTGGTATGGTCTGAGTGAGTGAGTGAGTATGGTTTTACACAGCTTTTAGCAATATTCCAGCAATATCACAGCTGGGGACACCCGAAACGGGCTTCACATATTATATGGGGAATTGAACCCGGGTCTTCAGCGTGACTAGCGAACGCTTTAACCACTACGCCACCCCACCGCCCCAGGTATGGTATGAAGTCCGTATTGCCAGCTACAAAGTGCAATGTCACGAGGTCACGTGCGCGTGGATGTCACAGTAATCTAATCCTTTGTTTGGGGATTATATGACAACCACGTGAGGGGGCGTGACCACCAGGTGAAAAACGGGGTTTGGTCCATTGCCGGTCAGTCAGTTTGAACCACAACAATGTCCAGTTCGCAAGTGACCGCTGCTCTTCTATTATCCGTTATAACGGGGAGTGTGGGGCATATATGCATTGTCTTTCCCCACCAAAGAGGCCCCTTAAATATATCGACAGTGAGTAGATAATTTATGTTTATATAATTTGTGCTTAGTCACGTTTCGTTGCGATGAGACGCATGGTAAATATTATTTTGTATACGCATCTGAAGATTTATACGAGAAAAACAGCGATATATGCTCTGGAGTTATAAATTTCTCAAAACAAATGTTCAACACTCCATCAAGAGAAGATAATAAACATATTAACATGTCAACCCTCTCATCGAATAACACCCGTGACTTCACGTGACTTTACGTGAAGTTACTTGTGATGAAGAAAGGCCTGATTAATTTCGTGTTTGATGTCTCAGTCAGCATTGTTTACAACACGACTGACTGTGCTCAACAGAATCTGAATCCCGCTTCCGAGTTTACACAATCAGCTGGAAAAAATATGGTAACCACCGATAACACGTATATATAACATGTCAACGCTCTAACACCCGTGATTTTACGTGACTTTACGTGAAGTTAATTGTGACGAAGAAAGGACTTGATTTGACTTCGTGGTTAGATGTCAGCATTGTATCCAACATGTTCGACTGTTTGACTGATGTACACAATCAGCTGACAAAATATAGTAACCACTTACAATACCAGACAAATAACGACTGTACATAATGGGCTCTCAGACTCTCCTCTGTAACATGATGGCGGGATCCTGTAAGCCACCACGGAAAATTATTCATCCATCGTCTTTGTACACTAATATATACAGATTTGTAAGATAACCTAGTTAATCGGCAAAGGAACCTGAGTAGTAAACACGTTTAGCCCACTTAACCTGATCTTTGACCCTGTATCGGACTAGCGTTCGGGTATGTCGTGTATCTTATATAACCAGGATCCGCTGGTCGTTAGTTCCAATCCCTATTTTGTTTATCCAATTACGATCCTAATCTGTGAGTACTATACTCATGGCAGTTCCAGCACACAAGTGACAGTATCACACTGGTTCATAATTACCACCAACACACTTGCAGCGATTATACCCGTGAAGATCCGGGTTAGAATTGATCTTCAGTAACCCATGCTTGTCGTAAGAGGCGACTAACGGGATCGGGTGGTCAGGCTCGCTGACTTGGTTGACATATGTCATCGATTCCCAATTGCGCAGATCGATACTCATGCTGTTGATCACTGGATTGTCTGGTCCAGACTTGATTATTTTCAGACCGCCGCCATATAGCTGGAATATTGCTGAGTGCGGCGTAAGACATGTATGACATGTGACAACCATGCCAGCGAGCCTGACCACCCGATCCCGTTAGTCGCCTCTTACGACAAGCATGGGTTACTGAAGATCAATTCTAACCCGGATGTTCACGGGTAATGAATATTGGAACAAAACAGTAGACATATTGTTTACGTATGATGAATATGTTTTGTGCTATTAGTTTCAAGAGACTGACATTTTTCAGAGCGGCAATCCAACGTGTTTTCGCCATGGAGCGCCCTGTGGGGGACAGAACGCCGAGGACCCTAAGGTGACCTTGGCAGCTGGCGGTACCGCCTTCATCAAGTGGCAGCAGAACTATAACCACTATAGCGTTGGGTACTCAGGTAACAACGTCCAACATAAACACAACGGTAGTATGAGAGAGTGAGTGAGTGGGCTAGGTTTAAATGCCGATTTGTACCCTATTTCGGTTATATCACGGTGTGTCGGGGGCGCGGCGAGCGAGCTGGCTAAGGCGCCAGGCTAGTAATCCAGCGAGCTAGGAGGTGCCGGGATCGAGCCCACCTGGGACCGGGTGTATACTCTTTCAGTATTGTCACAACCCCTAATGTACAGTACACAACCCTGTACACTTAAAAGAACCCGCGAATCCGTTGGTAGACGACCAGATGGTGGCCACATGAAAACACCTAGTTGCGGGTACAGCAACGTGCAGTGAACTTGAACAAAGTACTGTGACTATGTGTCCCAGTCAACCCAGCTGTTAATGGGTACCTCGTAAGGATGGGAAAGCCACATTAACTCGGTGCGCCTAGTAGGCAGCAAGAGTTGTATGCTCCCAAGGGGAGTTGAAATTGAAAATACGATATGCCGTTGTGATGGACATCCAATGATCGACTGACTGACTGACTGAGTTTAGTTTTACGCCGCTTTTAGCAATATTCCAGCAATATCACGGTGGGGGACACCAGAAATGGGCTTCAAACATTATGCCCATGTGGGGAATCGAACCCGGGTCTTTGGCGTGACGAGCCAACGCTTTAACCACTAGGCTACCCCACCGCCCCTCCAATGATCGAGGGGAAACAAAGCGCCTTTGAGCAGTTGTACTGGCTATCGGCGCTATACAAATGTTTGTATGTATGTATGTGTCAACTTTATGCTGGAGGAATATTAATGCCGAATACAGATGTCACGTAATGAAATAATCATGTGCACGGGAATGCAGCTGGGAAACCACGAGGCATTATCGGTATTAGAACTCACAATCATATAGGATTCTGGCGTGCCCAGGGGATGTAACTCTGCGAACTGCGGTGCCTTGGATGACTGTGTCGAGTATATAAATTATGAGAACTACACCCTTGATAATAATAATAGTTTTGATATATCTTTGTACTCGATAATTCTGTCGATTAATTCCGTTTTAACATATCAATCCCTCCATTAAAATGCACGCTTTTATGAAAGCGACTCAAATCAAGAAAAGAAAAGAAAAACCTGAAGCACAAGAAATCAGTAGACAAGCAATTAAACATATTTCTATTGTAGAAACAGCCTCAATGGTAATTACTTTCACCTCATGACATTGCGTTGTTTCCGAACCACTGAATCTGTATTTATTATAAACAACATTTATAGAGATAATTGAATTAATTTTCCCCTTTGTCCATATAGAATATGTGCGTGATGTCAATAATTCCCTCTTTTGTAGGGTACATGGATGCCGCCATTGCCCCGCTTTCTTCAAGTGACTTCAAGCTGCTGGCGGTTGTTTCTGACAAATACGTCTATGCCCAGGACTATCAGAGAAACTACACTGTTGTCGTGGTGAGTGAGCGCCGTCAGGGTAGACTAATCTTTCTAGTCCTTCAAACTTTAGGCGCTTTAGTGTCGAAGGGTACATTTTAAGGTATATTTGACAAGAGTCAGTGGGTTGGTAAACCGAAACATCAGTCTCATTAACCTATTCAGACAATGACCTACTTTTCAGCCGATCCGAATTTTCTCGTGTGAAAGTAAAAAGGAACACCACAAACAACTATGGTTACACTGAATTCCAATTCCTTGTTCCATAAGAACATGGTATTTACAAGTTAATTTTAATTTTAAAGTTTAATAACATCGTATTTCAATATTTTATGCCGAGTTTTAGGCAGCATGACCTTAACTAAGACGTCACAGACTGCCCCTGTTCGATGAGGTCGTAAAATGATTGACAATTTATCTGGCTCACTGGTTACACCTGTTATGTATTATTTGCGCTTAGCCAGTGTAGATTTATAACGCACAATGTGATTGATATAATGTCAAGTCCGTACCAGACCGCCAAACGTTTCTAGCGCCAGAGCCTCGTTTTGAGATTTCCACGATTTCCAGATTTCCGTTTGTCAGAGCAGGCTGTACAGAGCACGCTGCACGACGTGTTTGCAAGGATTATAAGGAGCGTAGTGTTGCAATATACAAGTGCTTATATGTATCACATAATACTGATTAATATTTATGTATCCAGTTGAATGAACTGGTCTCAAAATTATGGACTGGTTATAGTACTAAGCTGCGCAATGGGACGGAACCCGGTCAGCAGGAAACGAGACTGTTGTGTAATCAATGTTTTGACTTGTTTTACGTAACGTTTAGCAATATTGCAAATAGCACAGAAGGTCTTCAAACACTGAACCAATAGGGAACGTCGCACAAGGGAAATCTGTAACCATTAGGTTAGTGAGAGAGTTTAGTTTTACGCCCCTTATAGCTATATTCTAGCAATATCTCGGCGAGGGACACATTGAGACACGAAACCGGACTTTCAACGTGACGTGCGAACGCTACAACCAATAGACTACCATGTCGTTTCAAGCTTATCTAATTGAGCTTGCGCAACCAGGAGTCACTTTAAAAAAAACTATGTTCCATGATGCATTAATTTGATTATTTCAGAGCATACCCGAGATGGAGTGTGACCACTGTGTCATTCGTGTTCGGTACAACGCTCATAAACCTGGCGAGAACACGTTTTACCAGTGCACAGACGTGCGTGTGACCAAGACCCAAGGGACACAACTCCTCCCCCAGCTTCCGCCTTACGGGAAGAACGAGCAGAACTACCTACATAAAGCTCTGCAATTGATATCCCCGCCTCAGCGCCGCACTGCAGATGATGTAACAATTTACGGCATCGTGTACAGCCGTAACCAGCCCGACGTCGCCGACTACGTAGCCGTTGATGCCGCGACGGGTGTAATCACGGACATCACGACGTTGAAATATGGTGTAGGATTTTCCAGTGGTCGTGTCAGAGATGTCAACGCTAACTACATCGCTGACGGCGTAGCCGCTGTTGACCCTCCTCGAGGGGTAACGGTCATGATGAACCATCAACAGTCGTCGTCGCTGGACGCCCCAGCTAGTACAATGCTGGAGCTCGGCACGAACAATGGCAGCGTCGTCAGGCATGGGAATATACTTGGGTTTGACCAACGGCCTTTCAGCGCTGTTGTGTATCAGAGCTTTGGGCAGTACCTCACCTTCAGCATCGAGGAGGAAACGGCGAAGCCAGGTGAGACTAAGAGACTGTAAATATGATATTCTGAAGTGGGGGTTGGCAATTTATTTAAGAAAATATTTATATTCCTGAGAAAGAGAGAGGTATGTCTGACAACAAATGGAGGTGTTCTAAGTGTTTGAGAGAGAGAGAGAGAGAGATAGATAGAGAGAGAGAGAGACAGAGAGAGAGCGAGAGAGAGAGATAGAGAGAGAGAAATAGAAACACCAACAAACAGAACTTTCAACCAAAAATTAAATGGTAGTCTTAAAGGCTTCCTCTCTGTAATTTTTAGTTCAAGTGAGTGAGTGAGTGAGTTTAGTTTTACGCCGCACTCAGCAATTTGTAGTTAGACGGATTAACTAATAGAACTCTCGTTGTCAATATTATTAACTACATTCTCGGCAAAAAATTATTTCTTTTTCAAAATTACAACCCATGGAGATCCGTACTTTGTTCCCAGTAACCTTGCTTGTCATAAGAGGCAAAGAAGGGGATCGGGTGGTCATTGATCAACACACATGTACGTGTCCATGTACCCAATTGTAGCCTCTTCAGTTGACCTTGGAGTATAGGTCCAAAGGATGAATGTTCATTGATGACAATGAACCAATTACGCATCTATAATCTCTTTTACCATTGTCTCAGGTAACTTCTATTTCGTGGTGGGTGGACTTGACTGGTCGGGTAATTGGCAGGAGGTTGTGCGCATGCCCGACACAGAGGACACGTATGTCAACTTCCAGTGGGCAGAGTACGATCCTGGACGTATGATGTTGTTTGTCCTCTTGGGTAATGAGAACGACGCAGATGGTCTCTCCGCCAGGATCTACACATTCGATATCTCCGCTAAGTGAGTACTGGACTAAAGATAGATCACAGAATTGCTGGGTTCGGTTATAGTTGATACGGTTAATCCTGAGTCAAGACATTAAGGAATAACAGATAATCGTGCTTGAGCCAGATCTGTATTATACATGCTTGAATAGTATCCGTTTGCTCTATCCAATAAACACCACAGACGTTTCTTGGCAGAGAGGGGCGATGGGGTAGCCTAGTGGTTAAAGCGTTCGCTCGTAAGGCCAAATGGGTACAATGTATGAAGCCCTTTTCTGTATCTCCAGCCAGGATATTGCTTGAATATTGCTAAAAGCGGCGTGAAACCATACTCACTCTTGATAGAGACATATGCGGTTCCCAAATGAACACGTAACCAAGCTAGGGGATGTTTGAGAGACGTGAGACTTAATTAACGGTTGTTTAGGTTTATAAGGTGAGGTGAAATTGGGTTTAACGTCGTGCTTGAGAATATTTCGCTCATATGACGACGTGCATGCGTGTGTATGTCTATGCGCGGCTGCTTGTACTAGCCCAGACTGAAGCTGGTTTTATAGTGCTAGCTCACTGAGATACAATGCCGCAGTGAAGCATGAATACCCCACTCAGACACAGTATACTGACTCCGCCGACCAGTCCTTGTTGTACCCATTAATGCCGAGCGACAGGCAGGGACCAACAAGTACCATATTTTAACGTCTTTTGGTATGACGCGGTCGGGGATCGAACCCGCGACCTTCAGCTCTCCGGGCGGACGCTCTAACCACTTCACCACGGAGGCGGTCTTAGGTTTATGAGCAGCTGAGGGAAGACTTACTTGGATGGAAGCGTGTGGATGCTGATGCTGTATAGAATGGCGCACTGTTGGTTTTTTGATCATCACAATGCGGGGATGGTTGCTTATCTCCCTAATACAAGGTCATGTACTTTGATTGGAAGGGTTTTGCGATAAAGCGGAAAAGGTGAGTTTCCTGGGTGCGAAGGTCATTCTTGCAAATGTAGGTTCTTGAATACGTTTTTGTGGAACCAGGTACAGTTTTGGGAAATGAGGTTCTTGAATGACCTGTTACTGAGGTGAGGTGCTTCAGGGATTACTTCAGGTATTTTGTTGGGGTTGTTGTTGATGATTAGGTCCGGACTATAAATGTTCTTGGAAGGCAATTCCAACCAGAAAAGGCTGTATTCTACACCAGAAATCTTACTTTCAACCAAGAGTGTGAGTGAGTCTAGTTTTTACACAGCCTTTAACACTATTCAAGGGAACACCAGAAATGGACTTCACACGATGTACCAATGTGGGGAATCGAACCCGGGTCTTCGGCGTGACGTGCAAACGTTTTTACCACTAGGTTACCCCATCGCATTTCAAACAAGAGAAAATCAGTAATTTAATGAAAGAAGATGAATATATATATGTTTCTAAATTGCAAGTGATGTTTCAGAGCCTTCAAGTCCCACGCTGATATTGACGTTAGCAAGTATACATTCATGTCCATGCAACTTTACACCAAGACAGGTACGTTGTTTTGAACAGGTAATCAGAGTGACTGGATGTATATATCAGCAAGTATCCCGGGGTGGTGTTTTTTTTTGTTTTTTTTTTAAGCCTAGTGCTTACAGCGTTCGCTCATCACGCCGAAGGCCCGGGTTCGATTCCCCACATGGGTACAATTTGTGAAGCCCATGTCTGGTGTCCCCCGCCGTGTTATTGCTGGAATACTGCCAAAAACGGCGTAAAACCATACTCAGTCAGTCAGTCAGTGGTATCCCAGGTAAGACACGGAGAAACATCCTGTGATTGGACGCTGCGACTAAATGGATGGCGTGGCCAGGCTAGATGACTCCGTTGATTGCCGGCCATTGTAATTGATGCTCAGAACATCACTCACTGGATTATCCCATCCAGATTAAATTATTCACTGATCACCGTCAACAACTTGGAATATTGTTCCCCTACACAAAAAGGGGAATAAACATAAGAGAAACTGAGGGGGGAAACACAAACGCCTGAAAACTGGATTTGATCGAAATTGTTCAAACGTTAATAATATAATATCAAACCATAATCAGGCTGAACTGTTGTGAGATACTCTCTACATGCGTTCGATTAATTCTTTTCACTTGAGTCAACCGATGCTACAGCATATATGGGGCGATGGGGTAGCCTTGTGGTTAAACCGTTCATTCGTCACGCCGAAGACCAGGGCCTAGATTTTCGAAGCTCTCTTAGCGCTAAGATAGTCGTAAGTGCCATACAATAACATTAACTTACGACTATCTTAGCGCTAAGAGAGCTTCGAAAATCTAGGCCCAGGGTTCGATTCCCTACATGGCTACAATGTGTGAAGCCCATTTCTGGTGTCTCCCGCCGCGGTATTGATGGAATATTGATAAAAGTGGCGTAAAACCTCACTCACTCACTTATGGCACAAGTTATATGGCAACCAGTGTTGACTAGATTCGACCTGAGTTAACCAGTGTCCTCAAAGCGTGACCTAGTTGTAAGTGAGTGAGTATGGTTTTATGCCGCTTTAGCGATATTCCAACAATATCACGTCAGGGGAGACTGGCAATGATCTCCACACATTGTACCCATGTGGGGAATCGAATCAGTGAATATAGCTAAAAGCGGCGAAAAACATACTCTCTCACTCACTCAAAGGTCGATCTCTGTCACCTACAGGTCAGCTCCTGGCTGTGTCCCCTGGCTTGTTTAAAGACACCTACCCCGGGTACAGCCTGATATCTGTCGACCCTTTCACTGGCGCTGTGGTAGATCTGGCCGAGATCACACAACCAGGTAAGTGCTGAACCCTGAACAGTTTACCAGGATCCGCTGATTCAAGGGTAGAATACATCCCTGGTCTGTCGTAAGGTGGACTAAAATGAACCAGATGACATCTGTACTTGCTCGTGTGCCCGGTAGTATGGAGTATGGATTATGCTTTCATGTAGTTTTCTTGGTTCATACTCGATTATAAGTCTCAAATCTGCAATCAAATATCCGGGTCTTCACTTGACAAACCAGTGGTCGATAGTGTGAGTAACACATTCGTATAAGAAAGCTTGTTAGTGCTAAACTAAATGGCTTCTTTTCAGGAATATTCGAGAAATACTACGGTGGTACCATCTTCAACGGGATGGATCAAGAAAAGGGTATCCTTTATCATGTGTTCCGGGTAGCCGACGCCGAAGCTGACGTCATCGCCACGATTTCTCTAAGCGACATGAAAACGACGTTTTCCAAGATTACCAACATTAGACATGTCCACAACTTAGCTAGGGGAATCTGAGTCGAATGTTAAGGGAATATTGGTGGTTGGTTGTCAAGGATGTGAACTGAATGGACATGCTCGTCCAAGTGACCTGACGTATCCATACGTGGTTCTGTTCATCAAGTCAGAAAAGAGAGATATCTGTTTCCTAACAACTGATGATAACACATTCAAATGTTTACCGGAGAGAAATGTTAGTCTGAAAATGTCTCGCTGAAAATGGTCTGACATGATGTAAATATTTTAATCTACGCATCTTTGTAAAATTTAGCTCCGTTATTACATTGAAATATACATTTTGTTTCCAAACATATTGTTTTGTTGAAATGCAAAGAAATACGTTGTGTGTCACAGGGACTTAGTTCCAAGACATTAGTTAGAAAATGCGCGCAGTTACATTCATAAAATAAACTTGACATTTTTCACAATATGTTCCACTTTTCCACCAGCTTTCAGTTTAGATATTTCTTCACTTTTAAACGTATTTATATTTTTAAGAATGAGTTTTCATGGAAACAATAAGTTCATCGATGCCTGTCATTTAAAGGATCTCTATGGGAAATGTTGTCAAACTGTTACCAGCTGCAAAGGATAAGTGCTGGAAGGTTTGCCTTTACAACGGGGAGGAGCGCGTCTTAACGTTCAGTGAGGACTTTATGTCTAATGCGTTTGATAAGGTTTAAGTGAGCAAACATAAGAAGAAATATGAAAGGAGTAAAATATAGTCTTTGATCTTCAATATAACCTTCCTAAATCTATAGTGAATGGCAGTTCCACTTCAAAATATAATCTTTCATGCGTCCCCCATTTCACATTATAATCTTTGATATATCTACACACTGCCCAAAGTTTAAAACATAATCTTTGATACATTTACACCAAAATAAGTCGCTACTTCAAAGTATAATGTTTGAATTGACCACACCGAACGACTGTCTCCACTTCAAAATATAATCTTTTAATACATACACGATAACGACAATCCACACAAAAGACAAATAATCCTTGATACAACTTTATTCAGTCAAAATTTGCATATTCTTGCACTACTATATGCTGCATTTACAATGCATTTTCAAAATATAATCTTTGATATATCTACCCACAGTTCCAATTTCAAAATATAATCTTTGATGCGTCTACACACAGTTAACGCTTCAAAATATAATCTTTGATGCGTCTATACACAGTTACCACTTCCAAATATAATCTTTGATGCGTCTATACACAGTTACCACTTCCAAATATAATCTTTGATGCGTCTACACACAGTTAACGCTTCAAAATATAATCTTTGATGCGTCTACCCACAGTTCCCCCCACTTCCAAATATAATCTTTGATGTGTCTACACACAGTTAACGCTTCAAAATATAATGTTTGATGCTTCTACACACAGTTAACGCTTCAAAATATAATCTTTGATGCGTCTATACACAGTTACCACTTCCAAATATAATCTTTGATGCGTCTACACACAGTAAACGCTTCAAAATATAATCTTTGATGCGTCTACCCACAGTTCCCACTTCAAAATATAATCCTTGATGCGTCTCCCCAAATTTCCAACTTTAAAATATAATCCTTGATGGGTCTACACACAGTTCCCACTTCAAAATATAATCCCTGATTGGTCTACATACAGTTCCCACTTCAAAATATAATCTTTGATGGGTCTACATACATGTCCCACTTCAAAATATAATCCCTGATTGGTCTACCCACAGTTCCCACTTTAAAATATAATCTTTGATGGGTCTACCCACAGTTCCCACTTCAAAATATAATCCCTGATGGGTCTACATACAGTTCCCACTTCAAAATATAATCCCTGATGGGTCTACATACAGTTCCCACTTCAAAATATAATCTTTGATGCGTCTACATACAGTTCCCACTTCAAAATATAATCCCTGATGGGTCTACATACAGTTCCCACTTCAAAATATAATCCCTGATGGGTCTACATACAGTTCCCACTTCAAAATATAATCCCTGATGGGTCTACATACAGTTCCCACTTCAAAATATAATCCCTGATGGGTCTACATACAGTTCCCACTTCAAAATATAATCCCTGATGGGTCTACATACAGTTCCCACTTCAAAATATAATCCCTGATGGGTCTACATACAGTTCCCACTTCAAAATATAATCCCTGATAGGTCTACATACAGTTCCCACTTCAAAATATAATCCCTGATGGGTCTACATACAGTTCCCACTTCAAAATATAATCTTTGATGCGTCTACCAACAGTTCCCACTTCAAAATACAAATTGCTCTGCGGCTATATTCGAGCTAATGCCTTATAATACAAGAGATGACGTTTGTAGGTTTGGACCACAGCATCTCGCGTGTTCTGTAAGATACCAAGTTAGATACTGGTCATGCTCTGTATATTCGATTACAATAGAGAGAATCACCAAGGAAAAGAAACTTGAACTGACTGAATTCAACACTCTTTGAATGTACAGGAATTGTTCACTAGGGTTTCAATGTGGTCAAAATGAACTTGTTTTCATTACTTCCCACACATCATAATTACTGTTCAATTAAATACAATTAGCTTTATTTCCAACATTCTTATGTAAATGATACTATATGTCATAATATAACCTACACAATATCATTAGTAATCTATTCTAAAAGCCGAGCCCATTCTACGATTCTGACTTTATGATACGTATGTCATGTATTAACAGTCACTATTCAATAGTAATGATACAAAGTGAGTTCATCTTGTCCTTATTGTGGATTCTATTACAAACACACGCAAAGGCAAATGAAGTATTTGCCAAAATAAACCAATGAACATATCATATCATCATACACTCTTCAAAAAGTAGGGGAACCTGAACTTTCATTTTGGATAAGTATTTGCGATAGCAAACTTTTCAAAGACAGACATCTTATGATCGCACCACCATTTCTCTTTATCACCATCCCTAAACACAACGCATGGTATGCACGTTCACAACGCAGTAGCCACACACACGTGCATGGGGTGTCATTCTTGATTTTGACGGTTTTCACTGCAGACCATTAATTTTGACAATCATCTTGCATCACACAGTTGTAAGTGTTTGTTTCCAGCCGTTTCCTTGCTTGAAAATGAAAATCGTACACATGCAAATTTCACGTCATAGACGAATCATCTTTCAAGAGTGATTATTGTACAAACAACTATGGTCATAAGGAACTGGAAGTGGTGATGCACTCTCAAAATATTCATTAGTATTATATCAACATTAATTGGCTCCGATATATCTCCAATTTTTTTCAATAGTAAATTAAAAACGAAGTTCCCCTATTTTTTATGGGTATAATATAAGCTACAGAGTTCTTTCAATATCATATGTAATCTGCTTAAAACAGAGTTGTACGATTCCGACTTTATGATAAGTATGCCATGGGTTAATGAATCACAAACACATGCAAAGGTAAATAAAGTGTTCGCTCAAATAAACCAAAGTACATATGGCTCAAGTCCCAATGGAAGTTGCATCACTTTGCTCAGTGATGCATCACATTTGGGAATGCCCTCAACGAATCTAACATGAAATATTTTGAAATACTTTTAATGCTATATTTTACTTGTCTTCCTGTTTCTTGTTTCTCAGCAATATTCCAGCTATATGACATTTGGTCATGCAATCCAGTGATTGATATCATGAGCATCGATCAACGCAGTGGGGATACGATGACATGTGTCAACCAAGTCAACGAGTCTGACCACCCGATCACGTTAGCCGCCTTTTACAACAAAGATGAGTTACTGAAGACGGGGAAACATACCTGGGAAATATATATGGGATAAATACTCAACAAAAATGTTAAGGACCTGTATTCAATTCTTTCATATTGAAAATTGGGGGGGTCCTTAACTTTTGTTGTTGAGTATATATGATTGGATGTAAATAATTTTAGCAGCATTGGATGATATATGACGGTTTTCACACACGTTTAGACGAGTAGCATGGCATATAAGTGCTTATTGAGGCATGGGGCAAATTTGACTACACATTGTGGAATTACAGGCAAGAGACATGACATTGATATGACGGAATTGCGGGATTTGGGGCAAAAAGCAAGGCGCATCTGATTTTGAGGAGTGTTGAAGGCATGGGGCATGTATGGCTGCATTTGGAGTATCATAGGCAAGACGCATGGGACATACATGTTTTAATTGGGTTATTACTAAGAAGTGCGAGGCATATATGATTGATATATACAGCACAGCGTTGACCTTTCACTGCGAATTATTACTGAAAAAATCCAACGGGAACTGTGTTACCCGTCATGAACGATGCGCTGTCGGAGGCCAGGTAGGCGATGAGGTTGGCAACGTCAATAACCTCTGCTACTCGACCCAGGGCGAGTACTGACTTACATTGTTCGAGGAGCTGGAAGATGAAATAAATTCTCAAGTGACTTGCATGACAGCGTTGGTGTTCTTGTTCAGACTACTCATTTCAAATTATAAAATTCAAAAAATATTTGTCAAAAAGTCAACAAACCAAACTTGTCCGTGAACACCCCAGTTATATGACGGCGACGTTTTTATATTCCAGCTAGGACCAGACAAACCAGTGATTAATATTATCACAGCAACACTGTCTACTTCCGGATTGCTCTTATGCGCAATAAAGTATATCCCTCGTATATCCCTCAGTGGCTGGTTGGAAATGCTATTAAACTCAGCCATCCCTCGTATATACCGCTGTGACTGGTTGGAAAATGCTATCAAACTCAGCCATCCCTCGTATATCCCGCTGTGACTGGTTGGAAAATGCTATCAAACTCCGATGTTTTCAACCATCCCTCGTACATCCAGCAGTGGCGGGTTGGAAAATGCTATCAAACTCCGAGGTTTTCAACCATCCCTCGTATATCCCGCAGTGACTGGTTGGAAAATGCTTTGGAACTCCGAGGTTTTCAGCCATCCCTCGTATATCCCGCAGCGACTGGTTGGAAAAAGCTATCAAACTCCAAGGTTTTTCAGCCATCCCTCGTACATCCCGCATTTCGCTGCTTCATCCAAACGTTGGAAGTCGGAAACCTGCCTCACCCCGTCCAGAGCAAACCCCGCTCACACACTCCATAACTGCGGCTAGCTTTAAGTTAAACGAATAGTATGTGATTCCGGGCCCTTCTATGAGCAAGTATTCATGACTTCCGATGTGATGACGCCATCTGGTCAACCCCCTATCCCAGTTGCAGTTAAATGAATGTCATGTGATTCCGGGCCCTTCTATGAGCAAGTATTCATGACTTCCGGTGTGATGACGCCATCTGGTCAACCCCCTATCCCAGTTGCAGTTAAATGAATGTTATGTGATTCCGGGCCCTTCTATGAGCAAGTATTCATGACTTCCGGTGTGATGACGCCATCGGGTCAACCCGCTATGTCAGTTGCAGTTAAACGAATGTTATGTGATTCCGGGCCCTTCTATGAGCAAGTATTCATGAAGTCAACATCGTATTCCCCGCTGTACAGCAGCTGGTGAACCACAAACCTATTGCTAAGCACCACGACTGTCTGAGATCTATGTTAAATTTACGATCGTCTTTGAGCTATTGGTGTACATGTGGAATGGGCCCTTGCACTGTTCAGCACAATGGAGAACCGGGCCCTGAACATAAAACCGAGGTGCACATGAATGAAAGTTATTGACATTTCTTAGTGGATTTTCCAACATTTTCTTTATGGCTTTCGTTGGCACGCGATATAACTGAAATATTATTAAAAATTTGTGATATTTACCGTAACGTTTAAAACAGCTGACCAGGCCATCCCAAAGCTACAACAGCCACCCAATAGTTACCCGTCCACGTGCAGGTTTAATTAAGAGGTGAGGTGAGGTGAAATTGGGTTTAACGTCGTGCTTGAGAATATTTCGCTCATATGACGACGTGCATGCGTGTGTATGTGTATGTGCGGCTGCTTGTACTAGCCCAGACTGAAGCTGGGTTTATAGTGCTAGCCCACTGAGATATCATGCCGCAGTGAAGCATGAATACCCCACTCAGACACAGTATACTGACTCCGAGCCGACCAGTCCTTGTTGTACCCATTAATGCCGAGCGCCAGGCTGGGACCAACAAGTACCATATTTTAACGTCTTTTGGTATGACGCGGTCGGGGATCGAACCCGCGACCTTCCGCTCTCCGGGCCGACGCTCTAACCATGGTTTAATTAAGAAGGCAAGTTTACCTTGGCATTGTCCTCTTCAGTAAATCCAGCACGTCTGAAGATATCGGTGTCAGTCGCCACTGGGCTGTAAACATAGGATTCGGCATTAGTCTTCTGTCATGGAAGGTTTGATTGGCGAGATTACAGGGGAGGATGTGGGGTTATTTGTGGGGGGCACAGTTCTATTTAATATTCAAAATAATGTCCTAATAGAATATCAATTTGAATATTGCCCAGTGGTCAATTATTTATTATAATGAGTAGGGACGTGATGAAAAATGTTACACGTATACATGTGTGTGTGTGTGCGCTTTTGTGTGCGCGCATTTCTATGTACGTGTACGTGTGTCTGTATGTGTATGTAGGTGTAGGCTTCGGTCACGAAAAATGTTAAACATAATAAGAACCGACAACATATGATCGACGTAACACCAATCTACTAACCCTATAATACATTATGATGATGATGATGATTATAATGATGATGATGATGATGATGATATACGAACTTACTTTACGGCATTAACTCTGACATGTTTGGGCGCCATTTCTGTGAACAGAATAAGATAGTGCTCTCTTATTTTTCATTCAGGATGTAATTGAAAAATTGTTGATAAAATCTTCCCAATAAAATAAATAATGTAATAAACAATATATAATGTAATACCTACATAAGATAAATCTTTCCCAATGTTCTAAAACGAGGTGCTAACTTTCTGTCACTTACAATCACGCCAACCGCTGGTGAAGGTCGCTTACACCAAGTTGGAGGCACGCGTAAATTTGAGTTTGATAGTGGACAACGCCATTTGGGTCATTTGGGAAATGGGCAACTAACATCCCACCATTCTCAGCCTGCTCCACATCTTCAAAGTAGTCATCAACAATGAATATTTCAAAGGTTCGCCATGGACCCCAGTCTAAATCGTTTTACTTTTGGGCCAGTAGGAGATAGCTCCGCGGCCATTTTAGAAGCGCATGCGTAGGGGATTCGAGCTGTTGCAGATCCTGAATAAGCGATTAATTTTCATACTGGAAGCTATTTGAGGCTGGCAAATGCACGCAGTATTAATGCAAGTGTACTTACCCAGTGCAACACATCTGGTCATCTGGTTAAGAGCACTCTTTGACATGCTATACGGCAAAATGTCAGGAAACTGAAAAAGGTAAGTACTAAGTGTCATTATCTGCTCATATTACAGTAATGTTAAGTGTCACTATCTGCCAATATTACAGTCATACCATGTATCACTAATTGTCAGTATTACAGTCATATCATGTAACACTATGTGCCAATATTAGAGACATATAAAGTGACACTATCTGCCAATATTACAGACATATAAAGTGACACTACCTGCCAATATTACAGTAACACCATTTGTCAATATCTGCCAATATTACAGTCAGATTAAGTGTCGCTATCTGCCAATATTACAGACATATAAAGTGACACAATCTGCCAATTTTACAGTAATGCCATGTGTCACTATCTGCCAATATTACAGACATATAAAGTGACACTACCTGCCAATTTTACAGTAATGCCATGTGTAACTATTTGCAAATATTACAGTAATATCATGTGTCACTATCTGCCAATATTACGGTAATGCCATGTGTCACTATGTGCCAATATTACAGTAATACCATGTGTCACTATCTGCCAATATTACAGTAATACCAATGCTACTATCTGCTAATATTACAGTCATATTTAATGTGACTATCTGACGATCCAGTGACTGACATCCAGAGAATCAAGCTTCGCAACAAGGATACTATGGCATGCATGGCGAAACTGACCACCCGGTCCAACGCCTCATAGGACCAACATTGGTTGCAGAAGATCAGTTCTAAATGGATCTTTATCGCGTTGAAGACATTATTACAGAACACAGAATAGAATATCGAAGCATACCGCACGCAGTCCTGAATAGCTGGAGACCTAATATTGATGCTATGTAATAGAACGCATAATTAATGTAAATACTGGCAGTATTCAATGTTCATTATCATAGAATAGTAACAGTGGAATAATACGAGTTTGAAAGTAAAACTCACAAGAATATATCTTTAAACAACTGTATCACAATTCAAGTCATAAATAAACACTTTTACTGTTCGAAGATATAACATATTTGACAATTAGATATATAGTATGACCATAAATTATTGAGAATTTTAGGAACATGTTTGATTGATTTCTACCATAAAAACAACCTCGACCAGCTATCAAGTGCTTGGTTTCATCTAAGAGAGGCAACTCCGTTAATCCTTTTCATTAGTTTGTGAAGGGTTATCCCCTTTGTTTACTTGCTAGCAGACGACATTTTCAGTGCTCCTCAGTATGGATGATTTAGAGAAGAGGAAGTTGATTTTAGAGTATTATAACAAGGACATCAGATCAGCTAAAGTGATTTCAAGTAGAACAGGCATCCCTTTGTTATATTGCAAATGGATATGGCATTGAGCACCAGGGAGGCGCAGGTAGGCCCAGAAAATTGACTGTGGGTGACAGGAGGCGGCTTGGTATTCTTGTTTCTAAAAACAAACGAAGGCGTTTAGGAAACTTAAGGCTGGATATGATTGATAGAAGAACTGTGGCTGTCTGTAAGGAGACAATTAGTACTGAGATGCATGCAATGGGTTGGCAGAAAAGTCGAGGAACTCCATCACCGATCATGAAACCTGAACAAAAGGAGCGAAGGTTGAACTGGTGCTTACAGCATAGACATTTTAACTGGGACAATGTGATTTTCTCAGATGAAAGTTCTGTGTGGCTGTTTCCTAATACATGTACACTGAAATTCTGGACCAAACAAACTGAAAAACCTTTGTATCAGCGCCCAAAGTACAGTCCGAAAGTTAACGTGTGGGGTGGCATATCTGTGTGAGGGCCAACGCCCCATCTGTGTATTTGAAGGGAATATGAACAGTGAGCGGTACACAAATATTCTCGAGGGACATTTACTTTCATCTGCTCACGTGTTCTATGGAAATGTTTGGATTTTCCAACAGGACAACGACCCAAAACATCGTTCAAAGCATTCACAGGCCTGGTTTCAGACCCAAAATATGACATTATTAGATTGGCCAAGCTATAGCCCTGACCTAAATCCAATAGAAATGTTTGGGGACTTATGAAGGAAAGTGTCAATAAGAAAAATCTGACAAATATTGCTGAAATGAAAGAAGAGGTGGTCCGATATTGGGACAGCATGGACCACGACTTTCTAACTTCTTTGATCAGTAGTATGCCTCGCCGCATTGAAGCCTGCATTGCTGCCCATGGTGACTTGACAAAATACTAACTGTCTTTGAATCTGGAGTTATGTTCTGCTAATATTCACATTTAATACGTGAGTAATGAGAGAAAAGAATAAAAAAAATTACAATCTTAAATTCTCAATAATTTCTTGTTGTACTGTATATTCACAATTCAAATTGTTGCACTGGTTTTTTAAAAGGGGAGATATTTGTCTCAGAGATAAAAAAATCGGAGAGAATCCCTGGACATATACAAATACAATCTTAATATATAACAGAGACATATATAAATGTTTTGACATACTGGCCGGAGTCCTGCAATGCTGGAGACGTTGACGATGTTGCCTTTCGTCTTCACCAGATACGGCACACACAGCATTGTTATATTATACACAGACCTGCTCGAAAAAGTTTGCAAGCAAAACATAGCACAGCAATTTGTGAATGAAACCAATACCCATGTGAGCTATATTTCAATCTGCCAATCATCTGTCTGTCTTCATAGGCGGATCCAGAGAGGGGGCGGGGAAAGAGGGTGTTGTGCTGAAAGTTTGTTATATGACCATTGAAACTCGGGTAAAAATGAAATGAGCACCCCTCCTTTTTCTCAGTAGTGCCCCCTTCTCAAAAGGCTGTATCCGCCCCTGCTGCACAAGTTTTGATAAATAAAGGTCTAAATGCTGATAATGTAATTCAAGTTCTCTTTAAAATTTGAGGTCTTCTCTTAAAAATCAAGTTAATTATTCGAAATATTATTGAGAAATATTGTCTTGAAAATATTCAAATTATAAAATTGCAAATTGTCTTGAAAGTTAGTCTATGCTATCTTGAAAATGTAAATACGTAAAACTTCAAGAAAATTTTCATTTATCAAATCAACGTTCCAATTTGAGTTAAATGTTCATGATCAAGCTATTAACACATTATATGACCAAACTGGTATTCCTAAAATAATGTGGTTGAACTCGTAACAGTGGTTAATTCTAATGAGTTTCATGTATGTATTTTGCAAGATGGGAAAGATAGTGTTGGCCAATGTAAAAGTAACATCTTGGTTCTCGACATCACTGAAGAAAGGTCTATCCTATTGCGAGTTAACTGAAAACCTATATTCTCACCTGACATTGATGTTGAATATCTTGTCAAAGTCCTCAAGACTTGTTGTTTCAATACTGACAGTGCTAAACACCCCTGCGTTGTTAACCTAAACAGAAATTTAATGTTTCGGCAATTGTGTTATTTGTTGACGCCGCGCTCAGCAATGTTCCAGTTATATGACGGCGATCTGTAAACGCTACTCACCAATACCTCAAACCTGCCTTCAACTTCTACTCACCAATATGTCCATCCTGCCTGTAGCTTCTGCTCACTAGCATATCGAACCTGCCTACAGCTTTTACTCGTCTACTGGTATGTCCAACCTGCCTACAGCTGCTACTCACCAATATGTCCAACCTGCCTACAGTTGCGACTCACCAATATGTCCAATCTGCCTACAGCTGCTACTCACCAATATGTCCAACCTGCCTACAGCTGCTACACACAAATATGTCCAACCTGTCTACAGCTGCTACAACCAATATGTCCAACCTGCCTACATCTGCGACTCAACAATATGTCCAACCTGCCTACAGCTACGACTCACCAATATGTCCAACCTGCCTGCAGCTGCTACTCACCAAAATGTCCAACCTGCCTGCAGCTGTTACTCACAAGTAAGTCCAACCTGCCTACAGCTGCTACTCACCAATATGTCCAACCTGCCTACAGCTACGACTCACCAATATGTCCAACCTGTCTACAGCTGCTACTCACCAATATGTCCAACCTGCCTACAGTTGCGACTCACCAATATGTCCAATCTGCCTACAGCTGCTACACACAAATATGTCCAACCTGTCTACAGCTGCTACAACCAATATGTCCAACCTGCCTACATCTGCGACTCACCAATATGTCCAACCTGCCCACAGCTACGACTTACCAATATGTCCAACCTGTCTGCAGCTGCTACTCACCAAAATGTCCAACCTGCCTACATCTGCGACTCACCAGTAAGTCCAACCTGCCTACATCTGCGACTCACCAATATGTCCAACCTGCCTACAGCTACGACTCACCAATATGTCCAACCTGCCTACGGCTACGACTCACCAATATGTCCAACCTGCCTGCAGCTGCTACAAACAAATATGTCCAACCTGTCTACAGCTGCTTCTCACAAATATGTCCAACCTGCCTACAGCTGCGACTCACCAATATGTCCAACCTGCCTACAGCTGCTACGCACCAATATATCCAACCTGCCTACAGCTGCTACTCACAAATATGTCCAACCTGCCTACAGCTGCTACTCATCAATATGTCCAACCTGCCTGCAGCTGCTACTCACCAATATGTCCAACCTGCCTGCAGCTGCTACTGACCAATATGTCCAACCTGCCTACAGCTGCGACTCATCAATATGTTCAACCTGTCTACAGCTGCTACAACCAATATGTCCAACCTGCCTACAACTGCGACTCACCAATATGTCCAACCTGCCTACAGCTACGATTCACCAATATGTCCAACCTGCCTGCAGCTGCTACTCACCAAAATGTCCAACCTGCCTACAGCTGCTACTCACCAATATGTCCAACCTGTCTACAGGTGCTAGTCACCAATATGTTCAACCTGCCTACAGCTGTTACTCACCAGTATGTCCAACCTGCCTGCAGCTGCTACAAACAAATATGTCCAACCTGTCTACAGCTGCTAGTCAAAAATATGTCCAACCTGCCTGCAGCTGCTACTCACCAATATGTCCAACCTGCCTGCAGCTGCTACTCACCAGTATGTCCAACCTGCCTGCAGCTGCTACTCACCAATATGTCCAACCTGTCTACAGCTGCTAGTCACAAATATGTCCAACCTGTCTACAGCTGCTACTCACCAATATGTCCAACCTGCCTACGGCTGCTACTCACCAATATGTCCAACCTGTCTACAGCTGCTAGTCACCAATATGTCCAAGTTGCCTGCAGCTGCTACTCACCAATATGTCCAACCTGCCTGCAGCTGCTACTCACCAATATGTCCAACCTGCCTGCAGCTGCTACTCACCAATATGTCCAACCTGTCTACAGCTGCTAGTCACCAGTGTGTCCAACCTGCCTGCAGCTGCTACAAACAAATATGTCCAACCTGTCTACAGCTGCTACTCACCAATATGTCCAAGTTGCCTGCAGCTGCTACTCACCAATATGTTCAACATGCCTACAGTTTCCACTCACCAATATGTCAAGCCTGCCTGCGGCCGCTATGGTTTCGTCCACGATACGCTGTACATCGTTCTCTTTAGTCAAATCACCAATCAGCAGCACCGGCTGTGTTAGACATATACAGGAAATTAGATCGCTACCAATATTGTAGCTACAGGGTTCTTAACGGTTTACGCAGAGATGGGCTCAAAGCGCCTGTACATGGCCAATACGTTGTACAAGGTAGTTACTACATGTTCCATGGTTTAAGTATTCATCACTCTATATTGGCATTCCAGTTCTACAAATATGAAATACATGGGATTTCCAATGTGTATATACCCATTCCTTAAACCTGAATCCCTGTTCACCTGAATTTGTCGGTACCTATTTGATGTGGCAAAACCTCTTATATGTTATAAAAATAATCCAAAAGTAACAAGTAGCAAAGCACTTTGCATGGCATTTGATGTCACGCGTTGCCCGTGGTACGTGCACTTTGTGCACAATGAACTTAATCACTTTTTGCACGTTTTTTGACACCTGAAGTTCACACACCTGATATTGAAAATTGAAGAACGGTTGATTATTCTCTAACCTCTGAATGTTGTGGAAAGCACGTTAATTTCAATGGCAATCTGATAGGTCTGTGATACTGGGATGAGCATTCGTAACTACTCGCCTCTTTCCGTGACTTACAAGAAGACTCATACCTGTACATGACTGTATAGTACGCCACTATTCTCAAGAACCGTGTCAAACCAATCAAATCGCTCGTAGTAAAACGCATTTCGAAGCATAAAAATGGCGGCACCGTCGAACTTTGAAACTATGCAAAGCACAATTTAAGCATAAACTTTGAGCTAAAGGATCAGCAACTTTCAACACTGAAACATTTTTACGAAGGGAATGACTCTATAACTGTTTTGCCCACGGGATATGGGATATTGCTGGAGTAGCCATGTTTGGCAGCCTGGTTCCCTGGGTCTGTTGCGCCTGCGCTAACGCTCCGACACTGACCCAGGTAACCACTGCCGAATGGCGGCCTTCACTGCAGGGAGACGCGCCATACATTTTTTCATAGCATTTTCATCGATACTATTGCAAAGTATACGTCACCAGAACAACACCCATCGTTACTTTCAGTGTACGAACACGTTATTTAAGCAGTTTCGAGACACGAAAATCGTCGTTACATGGGCGATATGTAAACAATGACCCCCCCCCCCCTATTTTCATCACCGACATGTGCTTTGATATTTCGTGTCAGCTCGCTATTGCCACGAAATCGTACACATAAAACATGGATCTGAACGACCATATTGATTGAACATAGTTAGCATCTTTATTTTAGCAAATTTGATGACGTGTAATTCGATGATTTGGCCCCCATTTCTCCTGTTTTGTGTGTTGGAAATACACTGAACGCCCAATAGTAACTAAAAATGGTTGTTACCACATTATATAATTACTAATAATTATTTCTAATACATTTTAAACACATAAATGATTAATTCAACAATGTTTTTAGAAGAATGTATGTGCTTTCAAAAATGGAATAATATCAGAAGAATATGGCCTATTTGTTATTTGTATTCATTTGGCATATATCATTTCAATATAACACCCATATCTGTTCTTCCATTTTGCATTGGGATGATCACGGCGATGCAATAGGCATTGATCTTAAAAAGTTTAACAATAGTCACAATATGGCAACATCTGCGTGATTCTACTGGCAAGTTGATTACACATCGGACCTTTATATATAACATTGAATGTACCCCATTCCCCACCCCATACATAGCTACAGTTTTGTATATAGAGGGAAAACGGACACATTATGAAATATTCATAACTCTGTGTGTTTTAGCTTGTTTTGAAAAAGCCGACTCATAAAAAGGAAAGTGCGCATTGTCTAAAACACACTGATACACAATACTCCCAAATGGGGATCATGTTCGTTAAAGACATGTTTAGTACAAAACAGTTATTAATATTTCATAATGTGTCCATTTCCTGTTACATAAAAACACTGTAGCTATATCTGGGGTTGGAGAGGGTTGGGGAATGGGGTACATTCAGTTCTGAAACCTGTTGGTATTACACTCACAATAAACAAACAGTTTAATAAAGACTATCTTTGATTGCATGAAACACGCATGCCAATGAAGCAATGTATTACAATTTCCTTAGCTGTTTAATATAAACATAGACATGAGTTATATACAACAGCAAAGTTGTCTTGTCGTCTGTCGAAGTTTTCAGATGAAAGAATTCCGATAAAAGATGTTGGTTGGTTTGTTGTTTAAGGCTGCACTCGGCTGTATTCCAGCTATATGGCGGCGGTCTGTAAATAATCGAGTCTGGACCAGGCAATCCAGAGATCAACAGCATGATCATCGATCCAATAAAAAATGTTACAGTGTGGGACTTTATATATAATTGTTTAAGACCCATACATAATTCTTATGGCTGAGTAATGCCTACATACAAGGAATACATGCATATGAAACTCATCTTCAACAAAATATCTTCCCCTTAATATACAATATTTACAGTCATTCAGTGTATGGGACAGTTGTGTATCTTCCAAAATCGACTCGAAGTTTAAACCTACTACATCTTAAAAGAGCCATGGATAGTCTTAGGTGTACAGGGATATGGAGTGTAAGATTCTATTCCAATTTAACAGTGATTTTAAATGCTGTTAATAGAAGGAATCAGATCAACTGTTGATGGAACCACACCCTGATTGTTGTAGGTTGTCAAATGATCTTTGTCTCAAAAGGCGAATAAATATCTTCACATCTTGTGCTAACCGCACATATTCAAATCAGAATATTCTAAATATGAATGAGTCTAAACAGAATATTTTTAATATGAGGTACGGCATTGGCGAGGCAGTTTGCGTTCATCCAAATACAGTAGCCTGCACCAATACCTTATACTGACTGACTGAGTTTAGTTTTACGCCGCTTTTAGCAATATTCCAGCAATATCACGGCTGGGGACACCAGAAATGGGCTTAACACATTGTGCCCATGTGGGAATCGAACCAGGGTCTTCGGCGTGACGAGCCAACGCTTTAACCACTAGGGCTACCCCATCGCCCCCAATACCTTACAGGGCTTGTGGTGTGCACAAGTTGGAGAGGCGTTCTGCCACATTCTCCCCAAACCATATTTTTTTTTGCTGTTTTGAGAAACCGTTTCACATTTTATGCGATACATCTTCAATAATTTTACAGTATGAGGTCCCCCTTACTTCTGCACCATTACACACTATAGGAACAATCATAGCATTAAATATCATAATTAATCTTGACATGGTTTATTTTCAACTTTCTTTTGACATCTGTACAATGCCATAACAGCCATTTTACTCTGTGCACCAAGAGTAGTTAGTGCTTTAGTCCAAAAAAAAGTTTAGGTGTTAACACAATACCCAATATCTATATAAAGACACAATTTCAAGATACACACCATAAACTTTTGATTAAGAAAAAATATAATCACAATAGTGAACTGGTCAACAAGTACAGAGCAAATTACCCAAAATTAAAAAATAAATCAAATTCATTGTTTTGAGCTGTATATGTGTGTGCATTTTTGTATATAGATCATTTGATTAATCCTTGTTTATTATAATCATAAACATTTCTGAATGATATTGGTTATATATGTTAACTGTTTCATGTTGTTTTGTAGAGGCTAAATATCAGAATGACAAACCCTGTCATTAACATCATCCATATGATCTAAACGCTTTACCTTGTAATTTCACAAGGCGATCGAAAAAATATATCCGCTAAACCTACCCTGAAACGATGGAACGATGGGTGTTGTTCTGGTGACGTTACTTTGCCATAGTATCGATGAAAATGCTATGAAAAAATTATAACCACCCGTTCTCAGATTTTCCTATAGTAAATGTATGGCGCGTCTCCCTGCAGTGAAGGCCGCCATTCGGCAGTGGTTGCCTGGGTCAGTGTCGGACGTTAGCGCAGGCGCAACAGACCCAGGGAACCAGGCTGCCATGTTTGGAAACTCGGAGTTATCTTTCCTTGGAAATAGTACTAGACTATTTTCATCTCCACTTTAGGCTGTTGAGATCGCAAAGGTAAGGCTTTAAAAGTAAAGTTTCATAGCTATGAGCTTTGAAATATTGATCTACCTTAAAGATTGGTGGTGTTTTCTTGCGCATTATTATGTCATACAAAACAGGTTTAGTTGCTTTTGATGGAAACGGAATATCTTGTTTTTCTAGCCATGCTACCATATCACTTTTCCCACTATTGGATGTTGGAGCTTGTGCCTCTGGATCCTGCACGCTATGGTACTGTGCGTGGTCCATAACAATTACACATTTCTGGACCTGTGAAGGTCCGGGTTAGAATTGGCCTTCAGTAACCCATGCTTGTCGTAAAAGGCGACTAACGGGATCGGGTGGTCAGGCTCGCTGACATGGTTCACACATGTCATCGGTTCCCAATTGCACAGATCGATGCTCATGCTGCTGATCACTGGATTGTCTGGTCCAGATTCGATTATTTACAGACCGCCGACATATAGCTGGAATATTGCTGATTGCAGCGAAAAACTAAACTCACTCACTCACTGATTAAACATTTCTGAGGTAGTGCTAGTATCAACTGTTGTTCACCCAATGGAAGAAAACGTCACCATTCATTCCAGTGTGGTAATATCTGGGGTCTTTGGATTTCGACTTGTACAGGAGTGAACAATCAGGCAGAAAGCCCACACCTTTACAACCCGCCTGTAACACAATGTGTCACACACCCTTGCCCGATGGCAATTTCCTGTTGCATGGTTCTTTTGTGTACTCACAGTGTGCTTGCAATGTGGCCCGTTCACTCAGGTTTCATTGCAAAACACTGATTCGAATCCTTCTCGGCGTTTTGTCTGATAGTGTGTTGCGTAATAATCGCACGATGTCTTTTTCCCCACTTACTTTTTGTAACAAAACCCAAATTTATGCACAAGTTTCTATAACTGATATTTGGATATAATCAACGAATGTTCTGTAGCCATGTGTTTTTGAAAAATGAGGAAAGGAATTTATTTTTTGCTATAGAGTCTTCTGATAGCTTTACTTACTAACTCTTTCTGAAAACAGTCAAGTTTGTCATCTTTCAAATGTGGATATTTTGATACAGAATGAAAGGCTTTCGCAAAATTTACAAATAGGGCATAGTATTTTCCTCCTTTTGAATTCAAATATCTTTGTTTTATACTTTGTAATATAAACATGGTGTCAACAGTGGTATATCCATTTCTAAATACAACTTGCGATTTCATTTATCTTATCCGTTCTATCTTCCCAGCTTACAAGTCTCTTATCAACTATAAGAGTAAAAGTTTTACTAAATATAAGTAATGTTATTCCTCTATAGTTATTTGGGGTATTTACATCCCCATGTTTATGAATTGAAACAATGATACCAATCGTCCAACAATGTGGGAAAGTACCATTTTCCAATATGATATCAAATACTATTTCTAGGTATGGTATAAGGTCTGACGAATGTTTAAATAATTTTGATATCATGCCATCAGATCATATATATCATCGCCACTACCTAAAGCTCTCCAAGCAAACTGCAACTGATGAAGATGGAAGTTCGTGCACAGGAACTATAATGCAGATCTCATAATCTTTGGAAACCTATTTGAAGCAGATTTGTTCATGTGGTCTGTTAATTAATTATGGTTTATCTATAATGTGTGTAGGCATGATCTTGTACATTTAGAATTGCTGCGGTGATTTTCTAGTATCATGACTATAAAATGCTTACATACGCAAGCTTAAAATCTGCCCAATAAGCATTTGTACTTATAAGTAAATATATATTTTAGTCGACCTCCTTAGGTGTAGCAAATATATTTTTCCTTGTCTCCATTTACTCCAGGCGCATGTTTACTCACCTTCACTTGCCATAGTAAGTACATTCACTTATGTAAGTATATATACACAAATGAGTAAACGTGTCCATGTGAATGGGGCTTTATACACAGTGAACGACGGATTAATGACCTTCACCTTGTACTTGTCCTGGTTACACTGCTCTGCTGTCTTCTTCAGATTCTCCTCATTCCTCCCCGTGATGATGACACGGGCTCCCAGCTGAGAAAACAATATGGCTGTGCCGGCACCAATACCGGAACTGGCACCTGAAAATGATAGTTTGTTTTTAGTTGCACCTGATAAATAATTCGTTTAACCATTGTTCGTGAAGTCATTTTGTTAACCAGATATTGATCCTGATGTTTCTCCTTGTGCAAGATAGCGAATTGTGTCATGCACACACAATCGTTGGTGCCTGTATGACATATCTTACAAGTACCCCCCTTGTCTCGGAAAGATACGAAAGAAGAGACTTGTCAGTGTATAAAAGATACACCAGATGTAAAAGACTGACTGACTGACTGAGTTTAGTTTTACGCCGCTTTTAGCAATATTCCAGCAATATCACGGCTTAACACATTGTGCCCATGTGGGGAATCGAACCCGGGTTTTCGGCGTAACGAGCCAACGCTTTAACCACTAGGCTACCCCACCGCCCCAGATGTAAAAGAAAAAATAGGACATAAAAATGTCTCTTTATAAGCATTTATCGGATGTGAGAATTATATACAGTGATTAAGAAATGTCAAGGTCACGCACATACAAAAAATGAGAATTTCGTGGTAAATTATTGAACCAATCTAAATATAATAGAAGAACATGTACATTTACATCATCTGTACAGCTTGTTCAGCTTGTCACAGCTTCAAATGTCACAAACGGCAGGTCGAGGTAACTTCATTAAATAGGGGAGCAGAGAATGTTATTAATGTTGCGTTCCTGCAAATCATGCACATACGGATTCGTTACAGAACTTGTTCCGGAAAACAACACTTTTTAAAGAAAGTAAGAACATTGCTGTTCGGAGATGTTGACAATCAACTGACAAAAGTGCACCCCTTCACAATAGTCAACCCAACCAGTTGTGACACGGTCACGCAATACATTAGTATTCACTTGATCAAGTCAAGCTGAACAAGCTGTATGTCAGTATCAAATACCATCGTATTAGCGTCCAAAGTGAACAACGCAACTAGGCCTCACATCCAGACTGCAGGAATTGGGTCATCAACATCTCAAATTCCACAGCGCTAGATATAACAAGGAGCTTGACCCGCCTATTTGAAAGTGGGATCGGAATTCTGTGAATTGAAGTTGAAAAACACTATCTCTTTACAGGATGAGATACAGGATGAGATCATCTAAAGGGGACCTTGGAATGCTATGCCTTCTGGTTTCAGAGTTTCGAATTCCCAAACGACATGTACTTTCCGTTCAACACTGTACGGCCCTTTGGAGGCCAACGACCCAGAGCTGTCAACCCCTAAAGATGGTTTGGAGTGAGACTGAAAAAAATAAGCCGGGGTCCAGCCGGGGTTCCCCCGCCCCCGAAAATGAAGTTTAGTGATTTTCAGGAGCATTTGGAGCCTTCTGGTGGCATTATTTTGACACTAAAAGATGCATGCTAATAAATGATAATAAGCCGAATCATTCGCATGAACATCGTTTTAGTACTTCGTTCATTCAGGCGTTCTTTCAATGTTCAACTTTACGCAAAAACGAACGAAAATGCGTATTAATTTTGAATTTATTTTTGGCTACCAGATATGCGTGAGATTATTATTTGGAGGCGTGAGAGCGTGACATTTGTCAATAAAGCGTGAGACTCACGCCAAATGCGTGAGAGTTGACAGGTATGACGACCTCGTTAACATTTTATTCAGCTAAACACACTAATACAAAAAAATAGCATTTCAGATACGATCGACGAATTCAGTAAGAAGGCTGTTTCTTCTACATGTCCAAATAAATGTATAAGCTTACATAACACCCTTATAACAATGTCAAGCGATTTCCTAAGCTCCACTCACAGGTACGTGATGCAGGGGAGTGTGTCAAAACAACTCGTCAGGTGACACTGCTTTTTCTTGTGCTAGGTCTTCAATGAAAATTTATACATCTTTAAAACTAAGCAGGGACTCAATGAAAGCTTACATACCTGTCACTAGTGCAACTTTGTCATCGAGCCTCCCAATAGACGCCATCTCTCTGCAACCGTCCGTTACGGTCTACCATAACTATTTGATAAATAGGTAAGTGGGTTTTTCATAAGCGAGTTTTTTTTCTAGTACAAGGGACGTAACTCTCAATCCTTATCAGACTGAGTCGAGTCATTGCAGTTCAAACCTCATCAGTAATGTCAGTGCTGACGTAATCAACCCATACAATGTGCACTTCATATAGGGTGCAAACTTCTTAGACTTTATTTCGCTGTGAAAGTCAACGAAATTTTTGGTAGTACTTATCGCATTGAAATGCATTCTATGTGTACATGTATAGCACAGTCTGATTTATGCATATGGAAAAATGTTATAAGCCTAGAATCAATTGTAACACATACACGACCAAACGCGCGTACGCACGCACGCACAAACACACACGGAATAAAATATCGCAAAACGTGTCCTAACCAGCATATAGCCATTTATATTCATTTCACAATAGTGTTGTTTTTGTATGATTGACAAGTCAGTGTGTTGATGTACATTTCAATGAGTGAGTGAGTATAGTTTTACGCCGCTTTTAGTAATATTCCAGCAAATACACGGCGGGGGAAACCAGAAATGGGCTTCACACATTGCACCTTTGTGGGGAATCGAACCCGGGTCTTCAGCGAGACGAGCTATCGCTTTAACCACGAGGTTACCCCACCGCCCCACATTTCAATGATAAAAACAAACTGAAATCTGTCTTGATATTGTTTGAAAAAGCACATCAAGAAAGGCTACGATCAAATTGGAACAAGACAGCATTGACGCACGGGCTCCTAAACTTACAGATTACAATCACGATATCGACGGACAAATAACGTTGATGAAAGACACCGATCAGGTCAACCAAGGGCGACAACTGGCGCACAAGGTCCTTCATCAGAATGACTGTGAAGCCTTCTTTGAGTTACTGTCATATTTAAATGTCGGCGTAATGAACATGAACAACAGGGATAGTTCTATGAATATGTATACAACTGTAATAAAGTCATTTGATACATGTATACATTCTTATTTTCTTGCCTCGGTATGTCAAAGGGGAAGTAACTCTACTGTAGTGGTGTGCATAATGGTTCGTTTCATAAGCCCGTACGTTTCACCATCCGAACGTTTTTGCTGAAAAACGGAAATGTTCGGATTAACGCGGTCTGCCTGTACTTTCTTTATTACAATATATGCGACGTTTCGGTGTAGATGCTAGGACCGTTATCAAGCAAGTGATGTGTAGTACTGTAGTGGAGCATATATAATGAGTAGGCTCTTGAGTAGACTGTGCCTCTCAATCTGGAGATGAGCCTTACAGAGCTACAGGAGTAGTAAGTGGACAGGCGATTCGTCATCGGCTACACAGATGGAACCTGAAGGCTCGACGTCTACCTGTTACCTCACCATTGACAGACCGCCATTACTGCAAGACGGCTTTGGTGCCAAGAGCAGTTGCGCTGGACCAAGTCGTTTGGCAAACATTATGTTTTCTCGTGAATGATGGTTTACTGTGGACTCTTTGGGAGATGCAACATAATGTGGCGTAAACGGAATGAGCGTGTTCCTAGAGTTGACGTTAGACTGAACGATCGTCTTGAAAGTGGCACAGTTACGGTGTGGTGTTCGATCACTGTGACTGGCAGAACACTGCTTTACATGTTATTCACGAACGTGTCATTTGGATGCCGACATGGATGACCTATTGTGTTTCAAGAGCACATATGGCTTGTGGTGTTACTGAGTACCTACAACAGAAGACTGACTGACTGACTGAGTTTGGTTTTACGCCGCTTTTAGCAATATTCCAGCAACATCACGGCGGGGGACACCAGAAATGAGCTTCACACATTGTGCCCATGTGGGGATTCGAACCCGGGTCTTCGACGTGACGAGCCAACGCTTTAACCATTAGGCTACCCCACCGCCCCTACAACAGAAGAACCCAAACCACATCACCATGGCCATCACTCAGAACAGACTTATCGCGCATGCAACATGTCCGGTATATCCTTAGAAGGCGCAACGTCACCGTCAACAACCACCGACAGCTCCCAACGAAAATGGCGCTGCCCTGCTGGAAGAATGGGATGGAATGAACCATGTTGACACTGGACATGCAATTTAGGATTATGTCTCATGGAATCCTGGATCGTCTTGAGAACAGAGGCGGATTCACGCAATATGAAAGCGTTTGACTTTTCATGGGAAATGACGTGATGGACGGAATGGCGGTTTGGCCAATCATTTCACACAATCTATGGTCATCTGATAGTCAATGCAAATTTCTGTCAGATCTGACTGTTACACTGTTAAAATATTTTTCTCATAAAAGATATAAAATATCAATATTTGTGATATCTTTATATTTAATATCCCAAAGGTCACTTATGAGTACATGAAATAATGTTTTTAATGAAACATTTTTTATGGATAACAACATCTTTTATTCCGGAAGTGCGACGTGTTAATACAGATACAACCAGTTCAGGTCACATCATCAGCTGTGACGTTGTAGACTTCTATCGTACCGAGTGAAGAAGCACTGCGAGAAGTATGCCACGAACCTATGCCAGCCTCTCAACCTACTCCATCAGCAGCCTCAAGTCCGCCTGCAGCCACTCCTACTCCTACTTCACCTGGAGTGATGAGATCTATGAACAAAGACACCCTATGGACTTTCCCTTGTCCCACTTCGTCTGTTGGACTTACTCTTAAAGATCCAGGTTAGAGTTGGTCTTCAGTAACCAATGCTTGGCGATAAACGGGATCGGGTGGTCAGGCCCGCTGACTTGGTTGACACATGTCATCCTATCCCATTTGCGCAGATCGATGCCCGTACTACTGATCACTGGGTTGTCTGGCCCAGATTCGATTATTTACAGATCGCCGCCATATAGCTGGAATATTGATGAGTGCGACGTAAAACTAAACTCACTCACTCATATAGAGAAAATCTATTTAGAAGTAAACTTCTGCATACTCTTCAAGATACACTTGCAACTCTAATGTCTAACGGCAGATGAAGATTCTTCAGTTTCTCCATCAGCAACATCCTTCACCTCAACAATTCTCGCCGTTGTACTGGGAATTGCGGAGTAAAACAATAAACCAAATAAAACCCAGCTGGACAGTGATACAACAATCTGTATTGATACGAAATAAAAGAAGTTGTTATCCATATAGCTGGAATGTTGGTGACTAATGACCATCATTCACGCAGTTGGGGTATGATGGCCTGCAGCTATAAAGTACATTAATCTTGACAAGGATTCCAACTTTAAGATCCCTCTTGAAACGTAGTAAAATTCATGAGAGACTTTGTTTCAGATGTTGGTTGCTTGACACTTCTGATATTTTCTGTGTCTACAATTTAAATGTATTTACTGGCTGTTGCTAAACATCTTTCTCATTACTTAAACAAATTACATTAAATATCTATTGAAAGCAAATAAAGAATCACGATTGACCAGGTAAACAGTTTTCAAAGTTATGGAATGGAACCAGGGGATTTTTATCGTGGACACATGCAGTGGCGACCTCCGTCTATAGACTCTGTGTTGCCCGTTATGAATGATGCACTGTCGGAGGCCAGGAAGGCGATGACATTGGCAACTTCACGAACCTCTCCTACTCGCCCCAGGGCATGTGTGGTCTTGCAACGTTCTAGGAACTGGAGATGAACAACATTGAGTGGACGCATTCATCAGAAACATTGTGTATATTTTAGAATAAGATTGAAATATTCAGACATGGAAAGACATAGTTTTCACCAGGCATCAAATCTAATTTAAATAATTGCAATTTTAAAACAACCAGTTTTATATTTCAAGGCAACAATTTGACCGACTTAAGTTAACAATACTTTCGTTTGAAGAGTTCCACCAGAAAACTACATGACCTGGGTTTCATTTCAAGTGGCGCTTTAGCATACACAACATTCACAGCTGCCCTCATAAGTCTTATATCACGTACGGTCTTAGCTTAATTCCATGTAGTCACAGTGTTACATCATGTACAATCACTGTACTATGTACAGTCCTAGCTATATATCTCATACAATCATAGCTTTATACTTTTACACAATCATAGCTTTACACAATATAGCTTACACAATCATAGCTATATACCATGTGGAGCCAGAGCTAAATTTCGTATAACTTTACACCACATTCAGTCACAGTGAAATAATATGCACTGAATGTATGTTATTACAGCTTTATACAATGACAGTCACAGCTATATACCATGTACTGTCACAGCGGTTTGCACACACAGTTACCGATTTATACCAAATTAAGTCACAGCTATATACTTTATACTGTCACACTGACTGACTGAGTGAGTTTGGTTTTACGCCGCTTTCAGCAATATTCCAGCAACATCACGGCGGGGCACACCAGAAATGGGCTTCACCCATGTGGGGATTCGAACCCGGGTCTTCGGCGTGACGAGCCAACGCTTTAACCATTAGGCTACCCCACCGCCCCTATACTGTCACAACTTTATACAGTGTATAATAGATAATTTAATCATATGACCAAGACACTGCAACAAAAACATAAACCAACTGTTTTGAATAACTCCGTGGACTTGGATTTGTACAGACAGATCATAGCTGAGTGGTTCTAAAACATCACAGACTTTCTTCTTTGGAGGGTGTGTCAGATCATCATGCAGAGAAGCAGAACATCACAGTCAAATATAAAATACATGATACTAGCTGCAGTAGTTGTGTTTGTAGCTTAATGCCGCACTCAGCAATATTCCAGGTAGATGGTGTCATCAGCTGTGTTTGTAGCCTAATGCTGCACTCAGCAATATTCCAGGTACATGGAGTCATCAGCTGTGTTTGTAGCTTAATGCCGCACTCAGCAATATTCCAGGTACACGGGGTCATCAGCTGTGTTTGTAGCTTAATGCCGCACTCAGCAATATTCCAGGTAGATGGAGTCATCAGCTGTGTTTGTAGCTTAATGCCGCATTCAGCAATATTCAAGGTAGATGGAGTCATCAGCTGTGTTTGTAGCTTAATGCCGCACTCAGCAATATTCAAGGTAGATGGAGTCATCAGCTGTGTTTGTAGCTTAATGCCGCACTCAGCAATATTCCAGGTACATGGAGCCATCAGCTGTGTTTGTAGCTTAATGCCGCACTCAGCAATATTCCAGGTACATGGAGTCATCAGCTGTGTTTGTAGCTTAATGCCGCACTCAGCAATATTCCAGGTACATGGAGTCATCAGCTGTGTTTGTAGCTTAATGCCGCACTCAGCAATATTCCAGGTAGATGGAGTCATCAGCTGTGTTTGTAGCTTAATGCCGCACTCAGCAATATTCCAGGTAGATGGAGTCATCAGCTGTGTTTGTAGCTTAATGCCGCACTCAGCAATATTCCAGGTACATAGAGTCATCAGCTGTGTTTGTAGCTTAATGCCGCACTCAGCAATACTCCAGGTACATGGAGTCATCAGCTGTGTTTGTAGCTTAATGCTGCACTCAGCAATTAATATTCCAGGTACATGGAGTCATCAGCTGTGTTTGTAGCTTCATGCCGCACTCAGCAATTAATATTCCAGGTACATGGAGTCATCAGCTGTGTTTGTAGCTTAATGCCGCACTCAGCAATATTCCAGGTACATGGAGTCATCAGCTGTGTTTGTAGCTTAATGCCGCACTCAGCAATATTCCAGGTACATGGAGTCATCAGCTGTGTTTGTAGCTTAATGCCGCATTCAGCAATATTCCAGGTAGATGGAGTCATCAGCTGTGTTTGTAGCTTAATGCCGCACTCAGCAATATTCCAGGTACATTGAGTCATCAGCTGTGTTTGTAGCTTAATGCCGCACTCAGCAATATTCCAGGTACGTGGAGTCATCAGCTGTGTTTGTAGCTTAATGCCGCACTCAGCAATATTCCAGGTAGATGGAGTCATCAGCTGTGTTTGTAGCTTAATGCTGCACTCAGCAATATTCCAGGTACATGGAGGCATCAGCTGTGTTTGTAGCTTAATGCCGCATTCAGCAATATTCCAGGTAGATGGAGTTATCAGCTGTGTTTGTAGCTTAATGCTGCACTCAGCAATTAATATTCCAGGTATATGGAGTCATCAGCTGTGTTTGTAGCTTAATGCCGCACTCAGCAATATTCCAGGTATATGGAGTCATCAGCTGTATTTGTAGCTTAATGCCGCACTCAGCAATATTCCAGGTACATGAAGTCATCAGCTGTGTTTGTAGCTTAATGCCGCACTCAGCAATATTCCAGGTATATGGAGTCATCAGCTGTGTTTGTAGCTTAATGCCGCACTCAGCAATATTCCAGGTATATGGAGTCATCAGCTGTGTTTGTAGCTTAACGCCGCACTCAGCAATATTCCAGGTAGATGGAGTCATCAGCTGTGTTTGTAGCTTAATGCCGCATTCAGCAATATTCAAGGTAGATGGAGTCATCAGCTGTGTTTGTAGCTTAATGCCGCACTCAGCAATATTCAAGGTAGATGGAGTCATCAGCTGTGTTTGTAGCTTAATGCCGCACTCAGCAATATTCCAGGTACATGGAGCCATCAGCTGTGTTTGTAGCTTAATGCCGCATTCAGCAATATTCCAGGTACATGGAGTCATCAGCTGTGTTTGTAGCTTAATGCCGCACTCAGCAATATTCCAGGTACATGGAGTCATCAGCTGTGTTTGTAGCTTAATGCCGCACTCAGCAATATTCCAGGTACATGGAGTCATCAGCTGTGTTTGTAGCTTAATGCCGCACTCAGCAATATTCAGGTAGATGGAGTCATCAGCTGTGTTTGTAGCTTAATGCCGCACTCAGCAATATTCCAGGTACATGGAGTCATCAGCTGTGTTTGTAGCTTAATGCCGCACTCAGCAATATTCCAGGTACATGGAGTCATCAGCTGTGTTTGTAGCTTAATGCTGCACTCAGCAATTAATATTCCAGGTACATGGAGTCATCAGCTGTATTTGTAGCTTAATGCCGCACTCAGCAATTAATATTCCAGGTACATGGAGTCATCAGCTGTGTTTGTAGCTTAACGCCGCACTCAGCAATATTCCAGGTATATGGAGTCATCAGCTGTGTTTGTAGCTTAATGTCGCACTCAGCAATATTCCAGGTACATGGAGTCATCAGCTGTGTTTGGAGCTTAATGCCGCATTCAGCAATATTCCAGGTACATGGAGTCATCAGCTGTGTTTGTAGCTTAATGCCGCACTCAGCAATTAATATTCCAGGTACATGGAGTCATCAGCTGTGTTTGTAGCTTAATGCCGCATTCAGCAATATTCCAGGTAGATGGAGTCATCAGCTGTGTTTGTAGCTTAATGCCGCACTCAGCAATATTCCAGGTACATTGAGTCATCAGCTGTGTTTGTAGCTTAATGCCGCACTCAGCAATATTCCAGGTACGTGGAGTCATCAGCTGTGTTTGTAGCTTAATGCCGCACTCAGCAATATTCCAGGTACATGGAGTCATCAGCTGTGTTTGTAGCTTAATGCTGCACTCAGCAATATTCCAGGTACATTGAGTCATCAGCTGTGTTTGTAGCTTAATGCCGCATTCAGCAATATTCCAGGTAGATGGAGTCATCAGCTGTGTTTGTAGCTTAATGCTGCACTCAGCAATTAATATTCCAGGTACATGGAGTCATCAGCTGTGTTTGTAGCTTAATGCCGCACTCAGCAATATTCCAGGTATATGGAGTCATCAGCTGTGTTTGTAGCTTAATGCCGCACTCCAGCAATATTCCAGGTATATGGAGTCATCAGCTGTGTTTGTAGCTTAATGCCGCACTCAGCAATTAATATTCCAGGTATATGGAGTCATCAGCTGTGAGGACAACTTACCTGTGCATACTTTTCTTCCGTCATACCTCCTCTCTTGTGGACCTCTGTCACAATCACACCCGGACTGTAACCAATGGGTCAGAGGATAACACCTACCATTTGTGATCAAATATGTTATAAAACAGAAAGAAAGTATTTCATTTGACGTTATTGGGATTTCTTTATTCCAATTCCTGCAGAACTGGCGTGTAAAATCAACCTTTATCTGTGCAGGAAATGGTGAGTGTGATTATGATAATCATGATTATTATACTTATAACCGATTGAATTATAAATAATTACAGACTTACTTCACGCAGTTAACTCTGACTTGTTTAGGAGCCAATTCTGTAAAAAAAAACACATGAAAATTTAAAGTTCTGAATGACATATGCTAAACACAGACAATGACAATGTCCTTTTCCTTCATGTAATAGCAATAGCATCAGTTAGTTACGAGGTAATGCATATCTGTGAATACTCACCCAGAGCCACACATCTTGTCATCTGGTCAATGGCGCTCTTAGACATGCAGTATGATAAGATACCTGGAAACTGAAATAGTAAACCACGTAGTGCTGTGATTTTATGGAACTTAAGCCCTAAGTTTGTTACAAATATACACACTGAAATATTCAGACCTTTGTTTTGTTGAAACAGTATGCCATCAGGGAATGACTTGGGCTCCGGTTATAGCTGTCACTCTAGCATTCATTCAGTGCAACTGAAATGTGATTCCTATATCCCTGTATGGAGCTGTTGAACCCTGAGCGGCCAGCCAAATTAGAGATCGCTTTAAGAACATGACTACTTTTTGTAACACTACCAGAAATGTTCATTTCTGCTATAATATAACAACATCAAAACTAAAAGGATATACAACCACTATTATTCCAAAATAATATGCAAATGTCAGCTCACAAATGACCATATTTTTATATGCTTTATGGCTGGAACAGTTTTCACGAACGTCACCACTAGCAAGAATGGCCACTGTGTGGGAATTACAGCTATTGATCAGCGTGTCTAGTGATCAAACACCAGTCGAATTTAGAATCTACGACAATTCGTTTGCAGAATTGTGCATAAAATATTGCGAAGTGTGAATTAATCATTTAATTGCTTTTCATCGTAAATATTTAAGAGGTAATTTATTTTCTTTTAGTCATTGCTAGTAAGTTCAGATTTAAAAATATTTCCTTTCATATACACAGCGAAATTGAATAAAAGCAGCATGTTTCATAAAATACTATTTTCGAATAGAAACAATATATATTTTGCAAGCAAATAGAAACAACATTTATACAAGTTACTGTTATGTGTCTTTACACATTTTAATCAACAATAATTGATTAAATACACACTGTGTCAGACCCAGAAACACTTGATAAACGCCATGTCATCTAAATGAACAGCTGTTTATGGTAAGCATGATTGCTAAACAGACCTACGATGGTTCATTTCCATAGTTAGTGAACCGAAATACTTCATGAATTCAATTCGTTTTTTGCCTTTACTAGAATCGAATATTCATGAATGAGAAGTGAATTTGTCATAATGAATCAACACTGTCAAAATATGTCCATAAAGATATTTTGTTATTGTTCCCCTGAATACAATGAATAATAAATCAACCGTATTCAGTACCCAATAACATTAATCGGTATCTAATATTCCTGCTATGCATAATATTGGACAGGAACGCACAAGTTTTAATGCAACTACTGGTTGTATTCAATGTTCATTATCAAAGAATACTATCAGTGGTATAATTGAGTTTGAAGGTAGGACACAAAGGATATATCTGTACAAAAACAACAACATGTAACTGTATCATAATGCATGTCATAAAGATTCAACATAGACTCCACTGATAATTAGAAATATATCATAACATTTCAATTTTTCACTGCTTTTAAAAGGGGAGATATTTGTCTCACAGGTCAAAAAATCAAAGAGAATCCTGGACATATACAATTACAATCTTAACATATAACACAGATAGTTATAAGTGTATAAACATACTGCTCGGACCCCTGCTATGCTGGAGACGTTGACGATGTTGCCCTTCGTCTTCACCAGGTGAGGTACACACAGCATTGTTAAGTGGTAGATGGACCTGAAGCCACAATGAGACAATAAGGTCCTCCTGATAGCAGCATCCAGGTTATTAAGCTCCATGTCTTGGAGCAGGATCGGTGTATGATTACATGGGGCAACTCATGAGGATATCAGTGTCCATCGAATTAGACATAACTATACATTCAAGTCCGTGCACATGTGAGTCCTTCTTTGAAAATTTAGGAGTTAGGAATCCATTCCTAACTCTCTTGAGTTCACCAAACGATGACAATTATTGTGTATTAATCAGTTTAGCACTTTTAAAGGTGACAGTTTCGAGTCGCGATCGAGTAGGAAAGGGTTTGAGGTAGTTGCCGCCTGTCCACAAGCCACAGCAACATGGCGAGTCCATGATTTCTATGCTGACTTCGGGTGTATAAACATCTTGCCAAAGCAATGACCATGTTTAAAATTCAAAATGTACTCTGCTTAAATTGGAGTCTCACCTCACATTGATGCTGAATGTTCTGTCAAATTGTTCTAAACTTGTTGTTTCAATACTGCCAGATTCAAGGATTCCGGCATTGTTGATCTGAATGAAGAAACACAAAAAACTTTATCAAGGATGCTGTTGGATATCATGAGTAATAAAATAAGTCTGGCTAAATGTCCTGCTGCAGTTTTTACCTGCTCAGTGAAGAACATGACACTTGACCCAAGGACTGTTACCTGTCCTGCTTTCCAATATTTTACACTCAAGGATTAAGATTACCGTGTGTATTTTCTGGTAAACAAACCCGGAAACAGCAATCAGTTGTGAGTCACGTGAAACTGCTGTTACTTGTTAAAGATACAGTACTAGTTGTTGAGATGAGTTCACTTACTTCTTTTAACATTTAATACAGGTAAATTAAACAATTTGAAGAAAGGAAATGCATCTATTAAACAGCTGACATCAATTTAAATGAATTTGAAAAAATCCCACAAATCTCATCAGATCAATAATGCACTATCAATTATCGTATTATGTTCATTAATAACTCAACTGAACACCTCAACATTGACCGAACAGTCTTCTTAGTCAAGCTAATATTTAAATCTAAGTTTTATTCCTGAAACTTTGGAATTTGAAACAACACAAGTGGAGACTTCAAGAATTAGCAGTGATCGTATCAGTCCAGTAATGACTAATACATGTATGGCGTCAGATTATGTTTACAGACGTCATGTGTTTCGGAAAGCAGTGTTCATTCGCGCTGTAACAAGGCGGGTTGCATCACGCTGACACGGATGGCTTGTGTTTAAGATAAAGTTAACTATCATTCGTGCAGCGACAGAGGCCGACTTAGTTTAGAGCCTTTCAGTCTGGTTTATTCAACAAAGAGACGTAGGCCATCGGCCCATGACATAAGCAGGTTATACAGCAGCCACATTACGTTTTGCTTACATTGACAGATTTGTGCTCCGTTGCATAGACTTATCAACATACATAGCCAACTTTCTTACAAGATCAATCTTATCACTGGACATTAAAGATTTAATTTATCTAATGTTGGAAATACATAGTATTCCCTTGGTATAAACTGTTCACGCAAATCGACATACGCCTTGCACACAACAAGAAGTAGTACTATCTTCGACATAGTTCATTTTACAAACATCGCAAAATCTTTGTTTTCTTGGGACATGTGAGTATCTACCTATCTCAAATTTTAGTTGGTGAAAACTACATCTAAACTTAACTAAAGCGACACAAAATTTCTGAATAGTTATATGCTTGATATAATACTCTTGATATAAGTTAGACTTATACATAGAATAATGATATGTTTGAGAGCCTTGTGACAAAGATGTGTAACCTCTAGATTAGCGCTATGTATGAGTTGCCATATTAGTACTTCGTACTGGCTCAAACTGATAATGGACACAGGATTATATTATACTGGATAGAGGAACATATTCATACTGGATGCAGATTTATTGTCCTCCTTTATAGTGCTCTTCATTAATACTGGACTTTGGCTACTGAATACTAGGAACATATTGACATTAGATAAGAACTTGTACTGGTACATGATATTGGCTTTTACTGATACTTGACATGTATTGATACAAGATACAAGACTAAGGCTACTGAATACTCGCCTATATTGATACTGGACACAGAAATGTAGTAATATCAGATATGTTTGACAGAATATATATATATGCTCTTTCAATAAATATCTAGACTGCAATAGGTAACTGTAATTTAAATGTTCCTGACCAAAATGTCCAGCCTGCCTGTGGCTGCGATAGCTTCCTCCACAATACGCTTCGTGTCCTCTTCCTTTGACAGGTCACCAGTCAGGAGGACGGGCTGCGGAGGACATGGAATTTGTAAATGTCTTGTTGATATTGTCTCCATAAGTGTAATACAAATTTTCTAAATCATATAACAGTACTGGTGATGCACTACTGAAACATGATCTGTTTGATTGGCTTAGAAGTTGATGAATAACAAGAAAGGTGTGATACTTTATAGACAACTTCCTTGAATCGAATCACACTATAATAAAGAAGTTGTTATCCGTAAAGTATCATACCTTTCTTACCATTAAAACACAATGAGAAAATGTGAAACTAAAACATTTGAACATGGAAAATGCCAATATTTTTGTCTGAAGTGCTAAGCGTTCAAATGTCACTAAACAAGAACTGGATAATAAGATCATTACCCTAATTATTTGTGATGACATGCATCCTTCATAGTTTTCCCTTCCAAACTCCACATTATACTACTTTCCAGGAGCTCATCACTTCTGTAAACAAGGATAAATATCTTTAACACATCAGGGGTTCCTGGAGCCTTTTTACAATATGGTGAGTGCTAATCCTCAACAAACAAGAGCACCATGAAATCATCTATTCTGTCTGTAACAAGGGCGACGGGGTAGCCTAGTGGTTAAAGCGTTCGCTCGTCACGCCGAAAACTCGGGTTCGATTTCCTTTTTTGAAAGGAGGAGGTGCAACACTTCATTTTCACGAGAGTTTCAATGGTCATTTAACACACACACGCACGCACGCACGCACGCGCACACACACACACACACACATCCGCCTGTGCTCTTGTCCCCAGCCGTGACATTGCTGGAATATTGCTGAAAGCGGCGTAACACCCTAAACTTACTCAGTCCACAGTTATTTATTTCACCTGCTATCTCCTTTATGATAAAGGGAAACAAGACTGAAGATTCATCATTTCCCATTTGTAAACCGTAGGGTCGTATAACTAATAGCGTGTTGTGCACTGTACACGTACGGGCTGGTTTATTGGCGGCGCATTCATAAATATCAACCTGAAACGCATAATGAGTTTGTTATATAGCTTGGCATCTCATGCAAAACTGATTTGGTTTTCGTAAAAACGTTGAAGTGAGCTATTATTGTTTTGCGTCCTCCGATCTCATTTTCAACTTGTTTTTCGAATGACAGTGCGAAGCCTGAAAATCCTTGCAAACTTAAGGGATTAATTCCGATTGGTATGACTCGTTTAGTGAACCAATCAGGCTGCTTGTTGCATTTTCACGTTTTGTTGCCAGTGGGAACACGCCAACTGTCAAACGCCAATGTCAGTCTAAACGTCTTCCATTTTTCGTGAAGAAGCAATGAGCTGATGGAAAGGCTGAACGATTAGAAACATTTACCACTTTGACGAACAGGCGGGCACGGAGCACAAACCTAGAAACAAATCTCTTACACAAGCACTGGGTTGGCATTTTAATGTGTTAATGGCCTTCACCTCATACCTGCATCCGTTGTCACCTTATATATCTTATACACTGTTTATGAAGTCCATTGCCCAATGTGTCCGTGACCTTCACCTTACACTGGATCCAGAGTCACTTTACATAAGTCAATGTATGTCTCCGTGTGTCCGTGACTTTCACCGTATACTTGGATACCTTTTACCTTATATATCTTAAACACTGCACATGAAATCGCCTATTCCAACGTGTCCGTGACCTTCACCTTGTACTTGTCGTGGTTACACTGCTCTGCTGTCTTCTCCAGATTCTCCTCATTCCTCCCTGTGATGATGACACGGGCTCCCAGCTGAGAAAACAATATGGCTGTGCCGGCACCAATACCGGAACTGGCACCTGAAAATGTGAATATGTTAATGCATTCTGTGACTTGCACGTAACATAAAGTACTTTCATTACATCAACCTGACGTCAGAGATACAGCCAGTTTGGTTTATGTTGGAAAACAATCACTCCAAATCACATGAGGTAAACACATACCTACGTATCCACGTACATTGTGTTGATCTCTGTTGCAAATCCCTTAGGGTGGGGATGAATTCAAATTTACCACCTGGATACCCGTACCCCAATTATCCTACTCCGGCAACTGCAGAAGGTATCAAGAGTGTGGTTAATGTAATTTGGCAATTGTTTCACCAGAGCAGAGGGCATTGATAACTCTCAATAGACGCATGCTGATTATGGATAAAATGGAGTTGAATAAGGCTTATATATTCAAAAGTCTGACACTATATAAAAAATGCATATGTGTCTTCAGAAAGAAATGTGAACATTATTGTTGATTATCTGTGGAGTGATTTTCGTTAAAGTAAGCAGAGGTTTTAGTAGTCCAGCTTACTGAGTAACCAAGTTACTCCTTCCTCTTCCAAAAATAATTCGTGAAAATTACTCGGTCTCTACCAAGCTGACACATATGAGACTGACCTCAACTGTTGAAAAACAGCAGCTCTAGAATGATATCAGTATCTATCATCAGTATCACCAGACCACCACAATATCCCAACACTACCAGTATCAGTCAGTGCTGCATCATGACAATATCCCAACACAACCAGTATCAGTCAGTCCTGCATCATGACAATATCCAAACACTACCAGTATCAGTCAGTCCTGCATCGTGACAATATCCCAACACTACTAGTATCAGTTCAGTGCTGCATCATGACAATATCCACAACACTACCAGTTTCAGTCAGTGCTGCATCATGACAATATCCCAACACTACCAGTATCAGTCAGTCCTGCATCGTGACAATATCCCAACACTACCAGTATCAGTCAGTCCTGCATCGTGACAATATCCCCAAACGATCAGTATCTGTCAGTCCTGAATCTTGACAATATCCCAACACTACCAGTATCAGTCAGTCCTGCATCATGGCAATATCCCAACACTACCAGTATCAGTCAGTCCTGCATCGTGACAATATCCCAGCACTACCAGGATCAGTCAGTCCTGCATCGTGGCAATATCCCAACACTACCAGTATCAGTCAGTCCTGCATCGTGACAATATCCCAACACTACCAGTATCAGACAGTCCTGCCTGCATCATGACAATATCCCAACACTACCAGTATCAGTCAGTGCTGCATCATGACAATATCCCAACACTACCAGTATCAGTCAGTCCTGCATCATGACAATATCCAAACACTACCAGTATCAGTCAGTCCTGCATCGTGACAATATCCCAACACTACCAGTATCAGTTCAGTGCTGCATCGTGACAATATCCCAACACGATCAGTATCCGTCAGTGCTGCATCGTGACAATATCCCAACACTACCAGTATCAGTCAGTCCTGCATCATGACAATATCCCAACACTACCAGTATCAGTCAGTCCTGCATCATGACAATATCCCAACACTACCAGTATCAGTCAGTGCTGCATCGTGACAATATCCCAACACTACCAGTATCAGTCAGTCCTGCATCGTGACTGCGAATATCTGCTCATGTTTTAATCAAAACCACTCTACTTTAAAACAGTTAAGTACTAACTAGACAAGCTGTTCTACACATGGCATCAGAATTACTGTTAGTGAAAAAGCGTCATCACTCTAACGAAAAGAAGAAGCGTGAAATGTATCGTGTAATAAAGGGGAAAAGATATCATACCAGAAGATTATTTGTTCGTTAATGTTGTTAATGATGGGACCATCAGTCGTTAAAAGTATTAATTTAACGTAATGACGCACCTGTCACCAGCGCTACTTTGTCAACGAGCCTTCCAAGGGACGCCATCTCTCCAGTGAATGAAACAATCTACTGACAATGTGCTCAGGGCGTGTTTGCTTGGCAAGTCGAAGCAGAAGTTTTGCATATGAGCTGATCAGGGACACATGTTCACACTCGTAATGACGCACCTGTCACCAGCGCACCAGTCACTTCTTTGATACCCTATTGAGGGGCAGCCCACGCGTACACGACAGAGGTCAGCGTTCGAAATTAACGTCGGTCCTTAGGGCCCGAAGCCGACTAAAAACCACTCGGACCCACAGCTGTTGTTTTCTGCTGGTCCTTATGGCCGACAGCTTTTTCATCCCCAATAACTAACAGTATTATTTCCATAAGATATAGTACATAGGGCCTACACATTCTGATCAGGAACCACAACGTTTTATGGTTCTGGGTCCTTAGGGCCTGCAGCTTTCCGGGGTTAAGGGCAACCACTGTCAGACTTTGTGGATGTGACATGCATTTACCACATAGAATCGCTAAGACAGCTTGTTACAATGTTTTCCCCAGCATTTTCATAAGTACATCTTTCAGCGTATACATCACAAGAACATTGCCTAGTGTTACGTTTAGTGAAGGATAATATGTATAGCTGTTTCTCGAACGAAATGATGCTTGAATGACACATGTACCATCCTCTATGCGTCGTTTTCGCAGACATGCATCCTGAACTGTTTTGTAAATGTGTTCATAGGTTTGAGAATCTCTGTCACTAAAATGTTTAACTACTTTTCACAAATTTACGAAAGAACTATTTTTCAAACAAAAATTAGAAATCCAAGTGTGTTTTGATGTGTTATAATGACCTTCACCTTATACTTCTTTAGGTTTTCCTGATGCTGACACGGACTCCCAGCAGAGAAAACAATATGGCTGTACCAGTACCAATATCTGAACTGGCACCTGGAAATTACTAGAGAGGAACTTTGAGAGTTTTTCTTTACCATATTTCGACAACCATCCTGTTCTCACAAGGCCGGTTTACAACAATAATAAGTAATAAGTCTTGCAGTGATGAGTTTCCTACACGAGGAAGCATCCGCAACTCTTCCGTGGTCAGCAGAAGTCCAGAACCTCAAACCATGGTCAATCCTAGGATGGAATGAGCATCGCACGTGAGTGAACACTTTAACTCTCTTGGTATCCAAACACTTTCCAAGTGAACGTTTTACCTAATTTTTCATCATTATTTCGAACAATCGTGAAATCATCCAAGCAAAACTGACATTATTCTTCTCATTTTCTATGCCAACACACACTCGATTTGCATCAGCTGACATCACTGCGTTTGAATAATACAAAGGGAAATACCACTGCCCATCTCAAAACAAGGTGTTGCGATACGCTTTTAGATAAACATGTACCCGTTGATATGACTCAAGAGCTCTTGAGCTGGATGATAGAAGTGGATGCCCCGTGAGATGGCATACTGACTCATCGAAAGCCATCTTACAAATTTGGAACAATGAAGAGTCGGATTCTCGATCCGTGATTTTAACATTCCCCTCGAATTTGTTTGACATATTTTACCAACTTAACGTAGGTGTCTGATCCACGGTATTCCAGGACAGTATTGATCCTCACTCACACACTTAGGCCTTTCATGTGAAGATATTTCACGTACCACTCTAGTAAGGATTTGCGTGGCGACTTCCGTCAGGTCTTCACTTACTAAATGACCACTTGGTGTTTCTTTATCAAACAACGCTCCATCTTATCATGGTGGTATTATGTTAGTTCCAATGTTAATCCGTAACATCAGGAGTTAGTTCGATGGAGACAAAGACTACACGAAGATTTCCTTCTCCGATGTCAGTGACAATAAATCGTTAAGTCCACCCAGATGGGTTGCCCTTTTTAGTTATATTGCCCGTCATACCGCCTGAGGAGCTATAGCAAGAAGTGTTACGCTGGCCGATTCTGTATCACTCTGGCCAGTTCTGGGTCTCTGGCGAACACTCTCCGCCCGATAACACCCTGGAGATACCCTCTTTGGACATGTTTCTGGGCTTTAAGTACCAGTACAATGTCCGATAGGCGAACGCTAAGCCTTTGACTTATATACATATATAAAAAGAACTCCACTTTTGTGGAAAATGATCACAGACGGAATGCCCATACGCCTATTCGACGGAGATACCGGTGACAGGCTGGATACCGATGTAGTCTTGCATTCTGAGCTTGCAGCTCCTAGTTTCTCTGGTAATTCGATTGACTCGAACAACTTAACCATTGTCTGGAACAGTTCAAGTTATACATTTATTGCAGTATCTGAAATTCTTTTGCAGTTTTGCAGTATCTTAGTACCTCCTGAGGCCGTCCAATAAAGACGACATTTCTGATATGTATGTTTGTAGAAATGTCATTGTTGTTTAACGCCGCAGTCAGCAATATTCAGCTTTATTGCTAAAATACATGGAACTATCATGAAACGGCCCTCCCATTATCAGAAATTTGCGGTCCGCTGCAAATGAAATTGGACCGCTCAACCTTAACGACGGGCCACTATCAGTTCTGTGGTCAAATGACGTCATAGTGGGTGCGTGGGCTTACGGTTCATTCGACATTAATTGGCTTTCGACTGGCAGATATTCTGGGTCAAACAAGTCAAAGCAACCCCAATTCCCCAGCGGTAATATTGGCTTTCTTGTTGGTGCTAACCTTAACAATTGCACTATTAAGACTGTTGATGGACCAAAACCGAACACTGACATAAGATAAGATAAGATAAGATAAGATAAGATAAGATAAGATAATTCTTTATTGCCCCAAGGGAAATTGTTTTTGCATCATACGTTCTCCAGTTTTTCATTCATAAAGCAGCCATACATAACATTGCAATTGGTAATCATGAAATAATCAGGATATAAATACATCAATTTAGTACACAAACATAGATATTGAATAGAATTTTGACAATTTAAAGACAAGTCACAGAATTTGTTGTTAATGCATCTAATATTAGCTGGAACAAATGAGTGGCGAACCCTGTTTGTTCTAAAAGTCGGCATACGCAGCCTGCGTCCAGAAGGTAATGATGAATATTCAGAAAAGAGTATGTGAGTAGGATCACTTAAAATTTTCTTTGCCTTTTTTAAAATTTGCTGCTCATAACAAATGCCGATACTTTCGATAGGAAGCCCAATAATTTTAGACGCAGTGTTTACGATTTTTGAAAGTTTGTTTTTATTCTGAACAGACAGGTTCCTGAACCAACTCAAGAAATTAAAGTTTATGACACTTTGAATAAAGGTTTTGTAAAATAACATCATGATAGTTTGGTCGATTTTAAAATGTTTAAACTTCCACAAAAAATGCAAGCGTTGCTGTCCTTTGTTATATATTTTCTCAGTGTTTTCGTTCCAGGAGAGTTTCGAATCTAAGACAGTACCCAAATATTTGTATTCAGTTACTCTTTCGATTTCATTATCTTCAATAGTTACAGCATTTATTGTTGACTTAGCTTTCCTAAAATCTATGATCATTTCTTTGGTGTTTTGCATATTCAAAAATAAAAAAATTGATTTACACCATTCTACAAATTTAGAAATTTCAGCTCTGTAACTAAGTTCTGATTCCCTAATAAGGCCTACCAAGCATCATCCGCGAATTTGACTGTAAAACATGTTTCTGCGTTGGATACACAGTCATTGGTGTACAATATAAACAAACTTGGTGAAATGACGCAACCTTGTGGAGCGCCAGTTGATGTGTTTACAACTGATGATTTCACATTAGTAACCTGTACAAATTGTTGTCTGTTAACTAGAAATGAATTAATCCATTTGATGATGTTAGAATTAACATTCATTTTGAAAAGTTTCTCAATTAACAAATGAGGTTGAATAGTATTAAAGGCAGATGAAAAATCTACAAACATGGACATAGTTTGACATGTTGCAGGCTATGATCTTGTCAAAGACGAAGGTCGAATATCGTCACTTTCTGTTGTGACGTCACTTGAATTGTTCGATGACGTAATTGCATTCGGGCAGTCAACCCCGTCAGAAGTTGATTTGGGTAAACTTACAGTCAAATTCCTTCATTGTTTCCTTTTTCTTTTCAACACAAATTCCATGTATTTTAGCAATAATAACGGTAATGCTATTTTTGAGGGCATTATCATTTGCAGAGAACCTCGGTCTTTTTCAACAGTTAATGGAAGACCTCGGGCTTCTGCAAATGATAATGACCTAAAAAACAGCAGTACCGTTATAATATTACGGTGGTCTGTTAATAACAGACCCTGGACCAGACAATCCAGTGTCTGGCATTCCGAGCATTGACCTCCATAAGTGATGTCTCTTTCTATACTGAAACATCACTGTGTTATACTGTGTAATTCATAACTAGAGAGAATGTCATTCCATTGTCTGCTCGCTCCATTACTTTTCAGGAATGGAGCAATGTGTACCAGTTTCAAATTAAAGCCTTCATTTTGTCATTTTGACATTTAATTTTGATAACAGAAATATTCCCAATACTTTGAATGTAATTTAAGTAGGGTAATAGCCTCGTAACTGTTCCATTGCATCAGCTCCATTATTTTTAAGGAATGGAGAGTTACTCGGATATTACCCTCTACTGACACACGTAGATCTGGTAGACCAAGGGCAACAACTTGCTCACAAGACCGTTTTACCTGAAAGACTATTACGAAACCAGGGTTTATCTTCACAGAGCTACAGATGTTACAGGAAGAGGTGGGACGATTCGTTATCGGCTCCACAGATAGAACCTGCATGCCCGACGTCCATGTGTTCTGGCGACATTGACAGACCGCCATTACAGGAAGACGTCAAGAGCGGTTGGCTGGACCAAGTCGTTTGGCAAACATTATGTTTCCTCGTGAATGATGATTTACTTTCTACTTCCTTGAGAGCACAGAACAACAGAATGTGGCGTAAACGGAATGAGCGTTTTCATGCCCTTGACGTTAGACAGAACGATCGTTTTGAGGCTGGTTCAGTTATGGTGTGGTGTTCGATCACCGTGACTGGCAGAACACCTTT